CATAATGGTAAATCATATATGGGTGACGAGGCAGTCAAAGTGTTAATTAGATATTTCCAATATGGCGTCCCACATTTTGCACATTTTTCGAACTATACCTCAAAAATTGAGTTTATTTGAGAATTGAGAAGGTTTATGGTAGAGTAAATCGAGTTCGTGCAAGTTCGACCCGTAATCCATTGTCGTTTCGCGACCATAAACCATTATAGTCATAATAGTCCATAAAATGTGCATTATGGGTTCACGAAAGTTACGGAGGAAAACGTGTAATCCATTATTGTCCACCGTGACTCATGCAACGAACACATTGTTCTCTAAAATATGCTAGAAATAAATCTATTTAATTGTTGTTGTATCAGCGCCTCCCCATGACTTTCGACAAATTTACTGCTTTTGAAGGAGGATCTGCCCCCCTGTGTTATAAATTTGCTAAAATTACCCTGATCTATGAAACTCGCGCCGATCGTCGATCTTTTCGACGAACGGTGCGTCGCGTAGGTGCGTTTAGTTTAACTTTGCGTGGCCTTGAACACGTAACGCGCCAACTATTCTCCACCACGAACGATTAGCTCGACTACGTGGGTCCCCAGTGCGTCAGGATGGCCACGAAAAACGAGTGAAACGTGTTTAAAATCATTAGAAACCACCACTTCCGGAAGAAACTATAATCGTTTGAACTGTTAACGCGTTCACTGTCCAGTTTCTCAACGGCGTATCCAATAGCGTGGTGATATGACCCACATACGAGTCATGGACAGTGAACGTGTTTAATTTGTACAAAGTTTCCATGAATGAACTGTTTTATTTTCATTTTTATTCGAGTATTAAAATGGCGATTGTTTATCTTGGATCGTTATTTTTGTGTAACAATTTCGTCTCTGGGAGAAGATCCAGCGTCGAGGCGAACGCGACGACCGAGCATGTTTTGCACGTAGCTTGGCTGGCGTGTTACGAGCCACGTCCAGTCGTAATGCACCTCAGGAAACTCGAAAACAATGGGTACCTATGCAGAACGTAAATGACGCAACGGTACACGAAGGCTGCGACCCGCTCGTAAACGATTGCTCGTGGCTCGCGATCGACGCGAAAAATCGATCGTTCGAATCACGAGCGGCACGCGGAAAAAAATAACAAACCAAATTACTGTTACCAAATAAATCTTTTCAATCGTAATAGATTCGAACTTTAAAAAGGTACGAAACTATTTTTTACATCTTTTCACTAAGGGAATAGTCTATTTTATTTGTAAATTTCATAAAACTTTGTTCAGATCGTCTAATCAAATCTGATCAAATCTGATCACTTATATTCGAGACACCTTGTAGATTGGACTATACAGGGTGTCCCAGCATCGATGGTACAACCAAGAGGAAGTGATTCTACGTGAAAAAAAACAAATTGAAAATGAAGAATAAAATTATTTCATTTGAGATTTCATTGTCCAGAACTTAACTATGGCTTAGATAAATAGATATCGATACAGGCTTTTATTATGTTTTTTGTACTTCTGTACACTCATGTTGACATGATTTCCTAAGCACGTATTATCATTTTATTTGTTGTCTATTATCTCAAATTTTGTCTAATCATGGTCCCCATATTTAACACTCCTTCGTTTGTATCTATGGGGTCATGTTAAAAGAAACGAGTATAAGAAGAATATTTTATGCACTCCTCAATTACAAACGAGAATCATTTAATTAAAAATACAGAATACAATAGAATCCATTACTTCACACAAATCTAATTTATAAAGATCTCTAAAAAATTCTATTTTAGAAAATTGTATATATAGCACGATGAGCAATTCTCAACAATTTTTGTATGTATTAAGTTAGTTTAATAAGTAAATTACACGCCTTATTTTCATTTAAATCTACTTCAAATCCATAAACATAGGTAACACAGTACATCAAATTGATACTAATTTCTATCCAGATCAATTAAGAATTGATTTTCTTGACAACGAAACCTCAAATGAACAAATTTTATTCTTTATTTTCGATCCAGAATCATCCTCTTCCCGCTGGGACACCCTGTATAAATTACAGACGATCCCATAACACAAATAGTTTACAGATCGAACGCTAATGTGTTCGAAATGATCTCGAAAATCGCGCCATTTTGATCGTAAAACGTCGTTCCCGTTCAATTATACGGGTGGTCCCGGGCAGGCAGTTATCCGGAACTCGCTGAACCGCTTCACTCCGCCCGCGGAGGGGACACACGGTTCGGCCGCTTCGCGGATTCGTCGAATCATCAGGTTTCCCCGTTCGCGATGGCACGTTGGCTCGTACACCGGTAGATAACCAACGATGGGGTTCGACCATCTTCGAAGGGCCGTCGCGGCAAATTTAACCAGGAAGGCGGAGCGAACCGTGGAGAAAGGAATTCTTTTCGGTCGTAACGGCCATTCGCGTTTCAGCGTAGCGGCCATTCCCGGGCATCCATGATGATACCACTGGCGCATCCTCCTCCCCCTCCACCTCCCCCTCCTCTTCTTTCACGGGTTTACCTGTGAACTCCGCCGGTGTGGTCGCGAAACGATGACCTATACCAGATGGGGCACCCAATGGAAGCTCCACGAGCGTTAAAATCCGGTTTCTGATACCCCAAAATGTGTCCAATGACGATCAGAAATAAAGAAACCAAAGTCCACGTATCACGAATTCTTGTTTCAACACTTTCAGGGAACTCTAATAACACGATTTCACTTAAAACTTTCGTCGTTGTTGTGATCGTTAGTTCAGAAATGACCCACGCGGAATTGGTATTTTAAATGATTGACCGTAGAAATGATCGGTGCCTGATTTTGTACAAAATTCCACGGGACGATGCTACGATCTATTCGATCGCGAACAAACGCCAATATCGTGCTATTGTTGCGTACATTGACCCATAACGTTGTGAGATCGGCTGGATGGTAGAAAAACTCTGATAACGAGTGGACTTGGACCCTCGACTAAATATGTAACAAGTTTGCTTTCGCGTACACACGAACCTAATTATTAAACGTTACGCCAGTCTGTGTTCTACGAATTCTTGTATCAAAAAATAGTAGTAAAGGAACGTAGATTTTAACGTTACGCAAGTTTTTTTTGTTGGAATTTGTTGCATAAAACGTTCCTCGAGTTTGGGATCGCCATCGAGTTAGCGTAACCAGAGGCTACGTTGACAGCGATGGCAAATGGCGGCGGAAAGAGGGGTTATGTGTGCGGACTGACGAACAGACGGGCCAAAGGAATAATGCAAACAAATGGATCGTCGATAGAGCAACCGTGAATCACCGTGGAGCGTGAGCTTATCGAGGAAAATTTATTGCTTGGGTCGAAGGTTTCCACGGTCTTTCTTTTTATCGGTCGAGGTGTTTTGTCCGTTCGAAGAAAAGATACCAGTCGCAAAGTCTCTTTTTTTTCTTCTACTATTGACCAACAAAGGACATTTGCCAAGCTGAAGGGACAATTTCGAAATACCGTGAGCAAATAGAATAGAAAATGGGGGCAAAAAAAACATTTTCGTAGGTATGGATTTTTCAATAATCGCGATTGAATTGATACTAGTAGCACTCGAGTGTTGACTAGCTTCGTTACGTGTTGAAAAATGGCGATCGTCTCTTTGCGTGAACTCCGACTCCTCTGCTCTTTCGTGACCTCGTCCGAAGGAACCGAAGGTCTACGAGAACGCGATTCTAACGCGTCGTCGAGGAAAACAACGATCCCGGTCGTTTTCCACTCTCAAAAAACCGCTGTGCGCTCGCACAAACAACAATGACTCCGCAAAATGGCAAAAATCGTGTCAGAAATACTTATGAAGCCCCAAAAAATAGAAAGGGATTTGGAAAATTTAGACACTTCTGAATTTTTAAATATTTTAAGCTCCGTTACACTTCTTGCATAACTTGGCCGCTTAAAACAACTGTTTAATTGCTATAAATTGGTATAATTGCTCGGTATAGGACATGATACTGCTGGAATTTTCAATGACTATTCTAAGAGGAGCAAATTCATCTATAAAGTACAAGAATTGCCTTGTATTAAAACTAGATGAATAGCTTTAGTAGTTCAATTGCTATCCAACAAAATATTCCCTTGGTACAGGGCATAATACTGCTACAATTTTCAATGACTATTCTAAGAGGAGCAAATGCATCTATAAAGCTCAAGAATTGCCTTCTATTAAAACTAAATGAATAGTTTTAGTAGTTTAATTGCTATCCAACAAAATATTCCCTTGGTACAGGACATAATACTGCTGGAATTTTCAATGACTAATCTAAGATTAGCAAATTCATCCACAAAGTATAAGAATTGCCTTCCACTAAAAGTATAACGTTTATAATAGACCTAATTACAACATTCTATATACGATTACTCGCTATATGCTCAAACAAGCATATTGAGACTACAATTTTTATTTTTACAACGCAAATTAACATAGAATTGACCAGAGCAAGAACATTGAAAATCTTATTATGAAGTATGAAGGATATCCTAGTGCCTACCCTATCGACTAAGGGTCAAAGTTCTGGTTTTGAAGGTGAATAAAAATCTATCCCTTTTCTCTGCGACTCTTCAGTGTTTGTACCTCAGAAACAAGCGCATAAAACCTAAAAAACAATAGTTATAGCAAGAAGTGTAACTCGAGACGATATAGTCTGAAATTTCGGTATTTCGTAACGGTTTTCGAGGTTCCTGGAAACGGAAGCTGCGGCAGCGACAGGATCACAGGCACCGCGGATCGAATGGGCCCGAGGGAACCGGCGATGACAGCCTACCGAGTTAGACGGCGTTATCGCTACCAGTGGCGGAGTTATCACTCTGATATCCAACGTATGTATATACATCCCCCACGATTGGCCCTCGGTCTTCAGTGACTCGCGGACCACCGGCCGGCAGTCGGTTCCACGAGAGGGACCCTCGAAACTCTTTTCCGTCGCGTCGATTCCATACGAGGTCATATAAAAAAAAAGAGAAAAGAAAAAAAAAATAAGAATCGCTCACCGTAGTCGCGTTGCCGTCGTTTCATCGTTTCGCCGTGGTCCTCGTCGTTGCTCCTCCTCCTCTTCATTCTCCGTTCCCCGTTCCTCCGTTCCCCGTCGATCCTTCCTCCTGATCGCGAACTGAATGACCCGTGGATCCGTTGAACTCTTCGTTTCCGCCGCGGTTACCCCCCCGGTTCGACACTGAACAATATCCTGCCCCGAACACGGTAACCGACGTTTCCTGCTCGAAGGTACGCGCGAACAAAGCGTCGTTCCCGCGCGACGTTGCACACGATCCCGTCGAGCCGCGATATATGGTGAAAACGAGGCAAAAAGTTTGGCAAATTCCGGCTAGAGGAGAGCACGCGTTGGCCACTGCTCTATGCTTGGAAGCGAGGCTGGTGTGTATTATGTACATAGAGGAGAACCACCGAGCAGAGTGGAACCGACAAAGAGAGAGAGAGAAAGAGTGCACGGTCGATAGAGAGAGAGGAGTCGTACGGGCGCGAGAGAGACGCGGGAACGCGAGTCCGTGGATGGTCGAGACAGATTCGGACGGAGGTACAGAGGAGTCAGATACCGTCCGATTTAATCGGATCGTCGGCTCGAAATCGGGACCGGGCATGTTCCAATTTGCGTAAGAACGAAACGGGAACAAAGAAACGTGTCCGTTGGAGGGACAAGGAGAAACGTTAAACTTCTCGAAGGGGGCACCTACGGCCTGTTGGCTGGACGGGGGAGTCTCGGTGGCCCCTGTGCTCGCGGACTTTGGTGGGGGCACCGCGAATAGCGCTAGGGAAAACTATTGCGCGCGGTGAACTCGATTCCGTCGACGTGGATCGTCGTAGCTCGATGTGCACGCACACAATGGCGCCGCGTCCGCGTTCGTGTGCGCCAATTCTCTCGGCTCGTCTCTGTCGCGAGAAGCGCATGCGCCTCTTCCTTCCTTTTCCTACGCGTTTTCCTTATCAGCCGGCACGGGGGATACACGCACGCCGCTGCCTCGCTCCGCCGTCCCACTCCTCCGCCGGCGTCCCACCCCTTCGCCCGCCGCGGATCCCCTCCTCTTCTCCTCCTCGTCGCACCGCGACGATCGCCGTTGCATTCGGACCTTTGTTTACCTACCTTCCGTTTCTACCCTCTCGACCCAAATTATTGGCCCGATCGTCGTGCACGATTTACGAGCTGCAACAAAAATAATCGGCTTAAACCCTTGCAACACCGCAATTCGAGCTTACAACTACGCGTTGTCTTCCAAGTTACTAGACTTGGGAACAAATAACATCGAAATGCTTCTGAACAAGTGTAATGAAAATCTAAAAAATGTAAATGTGATGCTTTCCAAGTTTTGTAATTTTCGAAGAATCCCCTAAACGAGTTTGGGAAGAAACATCCGGAGGAAAAATTTATTTGTTAACCTAAAAAAATCGATTCTATCTTTCGGATACTTCGATGTTATGATAGCTATTAGACGGCAATTGGAAAACGTTGACTCGACTAATATTTATCATTGTTTAGTCACGGGTTGCTATGACATCTCAATGGCGGGCAAGGTTCGTGCATACCGAATCTGTCCAACATAAATCTTGTCTCGATGACTCACGCAATTTTCCTTTCGGCTGGGTTCGTGCTAGACGTAAACAGATTACCTGCATCGATGGTAATACGCACGACGCATCCATAAACTGTCATCGCGGATGAGAAACACAAACTCGATGAACAAAGGGCAGAACTAAATTATCGTGAATCTCCGGTCGACTGTGTTTTTACATGATTCATGCCCGAAACGGATTTTTGGATTTTTTGGAAATTCATTTATTCTTAACCTTTTTCAGTATGAACTTTCACGAATAAATAATTAATTATTTCGAATTTCAAATCGTACAAACGGAAGTTTGAAAATATACTTTTACACACAAGCCCGCCATTTTGTTGGATTCGCCCCTGTTCAGATTTCAATGACACGTTTTGTACGAACAAAGAACACATAGAGAAGTTACGATTTAAAGCGGAGATGAACTATCCTAATAACAGATAACCTATAAGACCAACGTATAGCAATCTTTTCGGAAAGTTATTCGATCGAACGGTTAGATCCAGATAAAATGTTTGGGCAATGTCTTGTGCCCGTTCGAAGATCGTATTCCGCAAATGGAATCTCCTGTTCGATATCAAATATCGATCGATTGCTTCGGTCGGTCAAGGATAATCTGTTACCGGAAATACGTTGCTATCCAAGGACGAGTTTCTTCATTCATTTGTCTTTGATACAATCGATCGATCGAACGAACGCGTTCATTCATTCCATTCGTCGCATTGCACACGCGTTCCGCGAAAGCCATACCACGAAACCATCATCTAGGTACATATATCATAACCATAAATAATTGTTCCAGACAGCTTGATTTACTTACAAATTTCTTCGACACCATCGCATGCATGGTCACGTGGCTAAATCGAGGGAACGACATTCTCGAAATGTTCTGTGTTCGAATCTCTTGAAACGAATCATGTAAATCGAATACAACGTTCTTTCAACGGACGGACGAACGTTCAAAATCACTCCATAGACGAAATAATGGCGGTACGTTCCAGCGATAAAGCCTAACACGCAAAGGGGGCATCGCACGAATACTTCGATGGAGGTACGATAGAGGTCGACCGTCCCTACTTCCAAATCATCGAACTATACGAATAACGTATAAACAAAAACGTGGAATATGGAATCTGAAATAACGTCTCGAGCATTCCGTAGATCATAAATTAACAACAGACCGCGACATTAATGTTCGAACTTTCTTCGATTTACCTCGTACGCTAAATGTTCAAATATTGCCACTTTCATCGTGTTAATTACACCTATAATTGTATGCTAGATTGTTTCGTCCGTAACTATGTGATGCTTACATGGTACTTTAAATAAAACAGTTTAGTGTGACTGTAATTGGGTAGGTGGCAGTAAATGGGTCCTTTACCTCAAACTCGAGATGGCGTGCAAAATCACTAACCTTATGCCTACGCGAGCCCTTCGCATTTATACTTTGAAACCTATCTCCATCGTACGATAACAATTTTACTAACCTCTCTAATACATTATGCATACTATTCAAATACCGCAGTTTAGTACTTCGCGGGTATCAGACGTAACAGTATACTTGAAATTACATTTCGTTACACGGAAGTAGCAAAGGAAAGATAGTACCGTTGGAATTGAAATAAAAGTCGAATATAACTAAACGTTTAAACTTCTCGTAGTCTGTTTTGATTGACCGTTGATCATCGAAAGTCGAGAAAACCGCCTTACGATTCTCGACAGCATAATCTCGAACCTCGTTTTACCAACGCATCGGACAGATTCGAGTTCGCGTTGCTAACTTCTTTTAACGATCTCCCGCCTAATCGTGTATTGTTTGCTTCTGCGATACCGTCAGACGTTAGCAACTTTTCTTTTTTTTTTGCGTACCCTCGCGTCTGAGCAAAAAGAGCGACCGAATTATTCCACAGAAAAAAATGAACAAATTGTTGTTATCGCGCTCAACTACCACGACGCGTTTACGCCGTTATTTCATTCAAGGTAAAAGCGACTCGTCTTATAATTACGTGAAACAAAGATGGCCGATCAGACAACGGGTCAAAGGTCGTTTTCGTTCAACAACACGTGTTCTGTTCTTTCGAACGCGATACATGGACGAACGAACATCGTACAAGGGCTGTTGATAGGGTACAACGACGATCGAGTCATTAGAAATGCATTCACTATCAGCATTTGCACAAACATTTTTTTACTAACCTCGTTTCTAGCTGTTATGCTTCATATTTTTGTTTACTATTATCGAACGATACAGTTTTCACGTGGCCTCGCGAAATATTACGAGCAGAAAAAAATCATTAGGCTTCCACTCGATCCATTAAAAAATCGATAACGCCTACGAGTCGACGAACCGTATTATTTTTTACAAAAATTTTACAATCGATTACATTATAGCTAATTAGTCGTTTGAAAGAATCGAAGAGTCGGAAAAGGCCGGAGAGGTACGAGGAACGAAAAATTCTATCCTAAAACTGTTTCTCAATGTCAACTTTATTCTACCTTCGTTTGATCGTGTTCGATACGGGCTCGATTCTTCAATGAGTCATTTTAATACATTGTTTTTCACTTTTCTTTACTTTTCGCAGGACTTAAATCGCACTGACTTTAGCAATACACATTTTTTTTATTTTTCTTGTATCTCGAAACGCTTTCTTTCGAAATCATCAGCGTTTTCTTTGCGAGACAAATACCGAACCATTGTACCTGGTATTAACGATGCGGTTCCTAAATAGGCGAAATGAAGAAATAAATAACCGATGATTCATTGTTTTTCCGATTCGAATAAATGGATCGAACCGAACGTAAAATCTATATAGTTTATTCAAGTCTGACGGTCTCGACATAATGTGAATGGCAGTAGTAAAAACTTTTCAACGTTGACAATTCCTTAAACTCGATGTGATCTCGTAAAAAATATCGTTACAACATAGACTTCAAGGGTTTATGTGCTCGCATGCACGCACATTTGTATATGTATAGTTAAATTTAAGCGGTCTGCAGAAGCTGAAACATATTGCGATTCCAGGCATCGACTCGAGCGACGGGTTAAGTCAATCGATGTTAAACCCTTCGCTTAAATCCATTGCAACATGTTTCAACCCCCTGCAGTCCGCTTTAAACGAGAACCTCGTACTATTTCCCGGGAGTAGATATATTTTTATACACCTGTACACGCGGATGACGAATGTGCAGACTCGCTATATCTCTACGTCCAACGAAACTGGAATAAACATCGTAAAAACAACCGATAAAATTCAATAATTTATACTCGATATTCGAAACAATAAGCTACGCATGCCATAGAATTAAAGGAATATACACAACGCTCAAACCCTGTTGGTACGGTGTTTCTTTAATAAAAATAATCAAACAACACGATCATAGAAACACGATCGATGAACTGATGAGGTAATCAACAAAGGAAGGGGAATTGGATGAACATTATTGATACTAATTACAACGTTCTCTTAAGCGGAGTGCACAGAAATCGAGATACCCCCGTCGCTTTCCTTTCAATCGTTTGGCTAGATCACATACGCAACCATTATTGGACTACAGGATACCCTTAACCAATTATCAATCCACAGCCCAATCTAAATTGTTCTTTACTATGATTCATCATACCGCTTAACACAAACGTAAATGGCAACGGCTGTAATTTCTTTTCCAAGACAGCACCCACTGTCCAGTTCGAGTCGACGCTTCCTGCAATGAAAATTTTTAAGTACTCCAACGTCTCGACAACGAATTAGAACACGCAAGAAGGATACCGAACCTTTGAATATTAAATCTGCCTTGGGTAAATCAATTTGATAGGCAATGGTTCCAGTGGATTCCTGTATTCTACTAATAATATCTAATTCCACGCCAAATTGTAACTGTTGACTAGCTTTTTGATGAAAACAGAGATGGCAACCGGTCGTTCCTAACGAAACACAGATTCATTGCTAACAGTTTCGCAGTTGCATAAAAAAACACATAATGCTCTCTACGTACCTAGATTTGCACTTATTGTAGAATCTCCGTTTATATACCTTATGGCGGGTGAAACAGCGGCAACCTGACCTCCTGGTACGCCAGGACCCCGCTGATAGGCGACTTCAGCACCGAGAGCGACAGACGATGTTATGCTTTGAAGATACTGCATCACAAAAACACCTGGAAACAATTCCATGCCATGATCGTTTCCACGATTCTGCGTAATCGATTTTTACCTCGCGTGCTTACCAGAACCACTAAGTATATCTGGATTACCCACAGCCAAAGACACAGTGTAAGCATCGCCGCGATAATCTGTTGCCACTTGCACTGCAGTATATTTACTCTTTTGTACTTGAGTTGCTAATTTTCCTCTCAGTCTCTGACCAAACTGATGAATGATATTAGCATTAAGATTTCCACACGAATCGATATCACCTAATAAGACAGGATAAGCCTCCGAAGGTACCGGCTGCTTTGTACCAACGTACGTTGCACCAAACCTGAATAAAATGGAACGGCGTCATCAGCATCAGATCAAACTAAACGCAAAGATCCAATCGCATTTAACCTTACCTATATCCGGACGGTGCAAACGAGCTCATATTTATCGTATGAGAAATTTGAAAGTGATTACTAAGACCTTTGTTGAACATTAGTTTCGCTCCTTCGAAGTTTACAGGGAACACATCTGTATTTGAATGAAAATCATTGGTAAAACGCGTGTCATTGCTTTAGTAAGAATAAGGTGACAAAAACAGACAAAATAATAAGAAAGAAGTAAAAGAATCTAAGAAAGTATCGGCGATAAAAAGCAATAAACTAAACTGTACATACCTTTGCATTTCTTGTGAAGGTCCTCGATCGTGCCCGGATTTTCTAGACGATCCGATCCTTCGGTAGGTGTGATCAAACCCGTAGAAGTGTCTTGCTTTCCTAAATTCGTTACCAAACCTGGAGCTGGAGGTGGCGGCGGAGGTGGAGGAGGTCCAATGGCTGCTAATACGTTTCCCATTTCGTCGAATTTTATGCCTAACAATTTCTATGATTTTTGCTTTCGAAATGTGGATAGCAGATCGCTTGAACTGCTATACAGAACGTGAACCCTTATACGTGAACGATAAATACGTATTTACACAACAATCGTCGATGGAAAACCCTCGCGGTCAAACGAGTCGGCGTGCTTCTCCGTGAGTCGCCATTTGTAAAAGACAACCACTGCCGCCTAGACCACGAGATATGTATCTCTCTTTCTCGAACTACGGTTTCACATAGCAGCACGCCGGTGAATACTCAATGAACGACCGATCAATTTCCTAATTGTATTAATTTTTATATTTTAATTATACTATATATAAAACCATATTTCTATATCGACGTTACTACGGTTCCTGTCTTTGTTATAGTATGTGTTACGACCCCGACTTTATTGTTCATGCGTGAATATAGCTAGGTTATATTGCGCAACCATGTTCATGCTTAACTATGGAGGAAAAATGAAATCAGAAAACGCTTCAGTTGCGATATTGTTTGTTGTAAGATCAATAATATTCAGACTCACGACAAGCAATTTATTAAAAGAAAAATGCACGAGATATTTGTACGTTATTACGAAAACATCGTTACGCGTTGATCGGTTTAACATGCACAGGACCTTAAGTTAGAAACATCCGAACTTTCATTCCAATGTCGCTCTAGACTGTATGTAAGTAATGGATAGGATTTGAATCTATTCGAATCTCTGTTATAATACAATATACGTTCAAACTGATGCTAAATGATTCGAAATCCGCATTGTTTTAAATATTCTTTCATTGGACATAACCTTTATAGAGAATGCGACAGATCATGACCCAATGCGTTCAATGGAAAATTTTAATTGTCTATATTGTATATATCTAGTAATACATTAATATCTAAAGATTAAATGCACCAGCTGTACAAATTAATTAAACAAATTTTGAGGCAATGGCTAACAATTTTGTGTAATCTGCACCTTTGGCGTACGACTTCTCTTTCATCATTGTACGAAGGATATGTGGAATCGGTACATGAATTCTAGTACCCAAAGGTGTTCCATTGTCATCTATGAGAACTAAATTGTTGCTATCAAATTTTGGCACCTTTGCATTTTGATGTTTCTTCAGCCCGACCAATATACCTTTCTTCTTTTCACCTTTTATCGCAACTAACACTCTGTCTCCTACATTGTTTAAATAGGGAGATATAAAACTACCATCGAAGCCATTCCGCGATCAACTTACCAATAAGTCCTACGCCTTTTTTATTGTAAACATGTATACAGCGCGGTGGTTTTCCTTCCAACATAGCCTGCTTCCCAATTTCACTGTTATCCACTACTCTTAAGCGTGTTAGTTTAATTATTTGATTCGATATCGTTGATGTAGAAACGCTTCTAGATAAAATATTGAACGGCACGGGGCAAACAGACATTGCTGCAACGTTTTCTGGAAAATAGAAACATCGCGTTTTTTCATCAACAATGAGGTTATAAATATAAACTTCGTAAAATAAAAATCACATAAGTAACTTGTATAAAAGTAACTTCTTCGCCTAATTATACCTAATTTCAAAGCTCGTAAATGACTGGAAAACACAGAGTTGGTTTATCTTTAGTTTAAAAACGCGTTCAACAAATTTCAACGCGTTCACTCGGTTCGGAATTAAATAATTGTATGCTATGCGTTTAATCTCGATTCTGTTAATCTTATTTCGTTGTCACGTAATGTTAAGAGCATAACTCGGATAAATTGTTTGCAATCACCTTAAAACAACGGCAGATTTTTCAATGTTTAGATTCAATGTTTAGAACACCCGATCGAAGGTAAACGTTGAAACATAACCTACAAATTTTTTACAGAAATCACATTGTCTGCGAGCTATCATGGACAAAATACAACTGTACGGGAAATTAATAAAACAATTACGATCCGTTTATGAATTCCGAACGAGTTCGATATTCGTACGAAATTATAGCACAGAGAAAAGTTCGGATGAAACACCAACAAATACAGAGGATCAAAATGAAAATATTACGAAACCTAAACTATCTGGTTACGCGCAAGCTTTCGACAAATTTGAATCTATTATTCAAGAAGATAATATTTTAAAAACTCCGCAATCTCACACCTTTGCTTCGTTGCTTCGGCATTCAAAGTTTATGGATGTAAATATCATATATTTAATAACTTTGCGTAGTCTAATATTATTTCTGCAAATCATGTTATTGAAACAATGAAAAGAAAACATCGTTCGTATTTCTAATAACATTAATTAACATTTCAGTTAGGAGATCCCAACGGAAAGATCGTAGAAGGAGAAATTTTTCATGTTGTTGATGACGATCTATACGTAGACTTTGGATGGAAATTTCATTGCGTATGTCCAAGACCTAAAGTCGATTCTAGGTAAGATATAGTCAAAGTTGTAGTCCCGACAAATGTTAATTATTTTACTATTTTAGTATGTACGTCAGAGGTTCTAAAGTCAAATTAAGGATAAAAACATTGGAATTGTCCACGAGGTTCTTAGGAGCAACAACAGATTTAACCATTCTAGAAGCAGATTGTATTCTATTAAGTCTTATATCATCTCCGATGGAAAGGTTGTAAACATGAGATGAACATTTAATTGTACTATATAATAAATACTTAAATAACATATATGTGTTTTCTTTAATTGTTTTCCTGAATACACAAACTTGGAACAAGTACATATAAGATAATAAAGTTTTTCAATGATGATGTTGACTGTTTATTAATGTGATATATTTAAGTGATATATTTAATTGTGTACACAGTCATGTGCATGTACGAATGGTTGCATGCAAGCCCGTGCATGCATATACCTAGTAAACTTCTGGACGTTTCTACATGAGATTATACATGCATATATACACACATGTGGTAGGGATTATTTTTAGCATGCCCAGTCGTATTGTTTACTATGCTGTCGTGTACTGTAAACATTATAGAAAACACTGAAATAATTCCTTAGAATTATCAACGATTAGTTTTGTGGAAAGCAAATTTTCCTTATTACAAGGAACAAAATGGTACGGGCTTTTACACCATTTACGAAATAAATAACACGTCATCGAGCATAACCTGAAAATACATTTACATATTTTGTTTTACCGAAATTAAATGAATTATTATTAAATTGATTTGTTCATATGCAATTGTAGCAAACTGTTTGTTGCGGATGTTTCGAAACACTTTCAGACAACGAACGGAAGAACGTATTCGACGAAACGTTATGGATTTCTGTAGATGATTGCGTCGAAAATGGTATTAAAACCAATGAAACTAAGAAACAACTGAAATTAAGTCGTAGCATCGAATTAATTACAGGTGAAAAAGTGAGTCTGTTCTTTGGAACTCATCGTACAGTTAATTGTTCAGGATCAAATTTAAATTTCTCTTTTTTATTTTTAGATTGCGCAGTCTGACAAGAAATCTGTTAACTTGTGTAACAAATGTTTCCAGAATGTACAATTGTATATAAATTTGCGATCCCGACTGCTTTATTCGTTACGCTCGCTAAACGATAGGTCTGATTCGATTAACGAAGATGAATTCGGTTTAAGTATAGAACGTACAAAGGTATCTCAGAACGAAAAGGATAATCAATTAAAGGAAAATGTGAATTCGATCAGCGATAAAGTATCGAACAACAGAATTATAATTGAAGATGTGATTAACGTCGATGAGACAAGCATGCCTTTAGATTTTAATTCGCAGTTATTCGATCAAGAAACTGAGATTGAACTGCAAAATGATCAAGAGAACGATACATTGACTGATTTGGAGAACTCTAACACTGATTCAAACCCTTCCATATCCAAGGAGATGATTTTAAAAATTCAGGATAACGACATAGAATCGGAGATAGATGTATGCTCTGGAGAGGACGAGGAAGTATTAGAATTAGATCATCAATGCGAAAGAACCAATATTGTGGAAATTAGCACTTCTTCCGAATCTGATATAGAAGTCTGCGATTATGAACCGATCGGAAAGAGAATGAAAAATTATCACGCATTTTCGCCTCGTTTGCTTTATTAATTTTTCCTCCTTCGATCTTTATGATCTCTATTGATCTTATGTAAAATAAGGACACGTTATTTGGTACAAATTTCCACGTTTGATGTACGATATTAAAAATACTGTACAGTTCAAAACAAAATGTATCGCTACGATTTAAACTATTGTACATTCTATGTATTTATTATATATAAAAATTGTTTAACATGTTACAACTATGTAATACATTTATTATCACCCAACACCAAATAGAATGTTAGACTATACTCGAGTCAAAATGAATCCCAAGTCTACGTTTCGAACAATGATCGATCAGTTTCTATTTGACTATAAATTTTAATGTGACGAATTTTAAAATAGCATTTTTGATTTATCACATACTTTCCTTCACGTTGAAACGTGTTGGCCCATTAGCTCAGTTGGTTAGAGCGTCGTGCTAATAACGCGAAGGTCGCGGGTTCGATCCCCTCATGGGCCAAATTTTTTTTTTTTCAATGAAAAAATGATTGCTTACGAAATACACGCTAAATTATATAACCACGTTGGTAAATAAAAGAGAAACAAAAATGCCTGATAAGGGTATCATGAATTAGGCTACTACTGTTCGTGCATATGAATTGAAAGCCGTGTATGCATTATCTTATCTACATGCAGTGACTTGTAGTAATATATGTGTATAACCTTTCGATAAAACTTTTCGGTGATGATCATGTTTATCTTCGTTGTTTACCATACGTATAAGCATGATCTAGAACGACATTCGTTATTCTTTGCCGCGTTATGTTATAGGACAAGAACATGTATCGAATTGAAAAAATGAAGGCTCTATTTATGCAGTAAGTAAACTACAAAAAATAGTTCCGATTTACTGTACAAGCATCTAAAATTATTACATATTTATTATTGTCCAGGTGGAGCGTGCTATTTCCAAAGGTACAAAATTTGCATTGCTCAAGAATCTCAACAAACAAATTTAACAAAGTGAGAATTAACTTGTTGTTTACGATTTTGTAAATAATTCTATGTTTATCAATTATAATCGTTTGTGTTATAGATTCTTATTGCAAATAGAGGGGAGATAGCATGCCGTGTTATAAGAACAGCCAAGAAACTGGGAATAAGAACCGTCGCTGTTTACAGCGATGCGGATCGTCATTCTATGCACGTAGAGCAAGCGGATGAAGCTTATCGCATCGGTCCTGCGTCTTCTAGCCAGAGTTACTTGCGGCAGGATAAAATCATATCTATAGCAAAAACTTCAAAATGTCAAGCGATACACCCTGGCTACGGATTCCTCTCGGAAAATGCAGAATTTGCGGAGGTTTGTGAGAAGGAGAACATTATATTTATCGGACCTCCAGCAAATGCAATTAAAAACATGGGAATAAAAAATGTTTCGAAAGCTATGATGATCGATGCTGGAGTTCCTGTTATAGCCGGTACAGTCCACTTGATTAAAAGTATACAACGACGCGCATAAAATTATTATCAACGTGCTATGTTTGTTGCCAACGAATGCAGGATACCACGGAGACGACCAATCCGATGGAACCTTGCTACTGAAAGCTAGAGAAATAGGTTTTCCGTTAATGTTAAAGGCTGTACGCGGCGGAGGAGGAAAAGGAATGAGAATTGTTTTAAAAGAATCAGAGTTCGCAGAGGCTTTGGAAGGTGCAAGAACCGAATCTGAAAAAGCATTTGGAGATTCTGCAATTTTGATCGAGCAATATGTCAGTGAACCGAGACACGTCGAAGTACAAGTCTTTGCCGATAAACACGGAAACGTCGTTCACTTGTTCGAAAGGGATTGTTCCGTTCAAAGAAGACATCAGAAGATTATCGAAGAAGCTCCTGCAGTACGTATGTCCGGTTTACGAAAGTTCATAGTCGTACAGTTACAAATGTCTAATGATCATGATCACAATAGCCAGGTATCTCGGCAGATTTAAGATTGGACTTAGGTATGACGGCAGTTCGAGCTGCGAAAGCAGTAGGATACGTTGGCGCGGGTACTGTCGAATTTATAATGAACCGCGACGCGAACACCTTCCATTTTATGGAAATGAACACGCGTCTTCAAGTGGAGCATCCTATTACGGAGGCAATTACGGGGCTGGATTTGGTCGAATGGCAATTACGAGTTGCTACGGGCGAAGAACTCCCGCTAAATCAAGAACAGATCAATTTCCATGGACACGCGTTTGAGGCAAGGATTTACGCCGAGGTGAGTGAATTAGTTTTTTTACGAATGGCTTGATTGTTTGTTTCGATTACAGAATAAGGTAAATCTATGTTTCTTTGTAACTGCGTGGTTTGTGGATAGCGATATTGCTCGTAGCTTATTTGTTTTTTGCTTGAGTTTGTACGTCGTTGCAATAAATCATAGAATCCAAGGAACGGTTTCCTACCAGGAGCTGGGCATCTGTCGTACTTGAGAGTTCCGGAAGTCGTGTCAAAGACAGTTCGAGTCGAGACCGGAGTTCGCGAGAAAGACGAAGTATCGGTACATTATGACCCGATGATCGCAAAACTGGTTGTCTGGGGAAAAGATAGAGGAGAAGCATTGGCCATACTTAGATCAAAGCTGAACGGATACAATGTAAGCATTGAAAGTTTTAAGACTCCAAGAAGTTTCACCATTTTACTGTGTTTTCAGATTGCCGGGCTCGACACTAATATAGAATTCATCAAAGATTTATGCTCTCATCCTAGCTTTCAACAAGGTCAAGTGCATACAGGGTTCATAGAAGAACATTATCAAGACCTGTTTCCCAAGTTAAAAGTGCCGAGCGAAGTTGCGGTGCAAGCTGCTCTTGCTTCAATACTTTACGAAGATATGCGCTCTTTACAGTCTTCTCTTACAACTTCCGATCCTTTCAGTCCTTTCGCGACTGAAACCGGAGCTAGATTGAACCATTCTTTAACGCGAACTTTTCGTTTTAACGTTTCTGGGGACGATGTCGAGATTGAAGTAAGATACGTCGAACCTGAGGTGTATCGTATGAGAGTCGGTAAGATTGGTCCTTGGAGAAGAGTAACAGGTGCATTAAAGAAAAGGAAAAACTCGTTAGAATTATCTATTGAAATTGACGAATGGATCACCCGGACGACAGTAACTAAAATTCATAACAAATTACATTTATTCACCAAGGTTAGCCGATTCGTTTCATAGACACCCCAATCTAAAAACATTCAAAAATGCCTTAAATCGAATTTTTTTTGTCACAGGATCGCGAATGGCAGTTCGAAGAGCCTACTATGAAATTTTTGTCCAATTTTGAAGGTAACAATGTCGAAACAGATCCATATAAGGCTCTAAGTCCTATGCCGGGCTTCGTAGAGAAATTATTCGTCGCCGAAGGAGACGTTGTAAAGATCGGCGACGCTTTGCTTGTTATTAATGCCATGAAGATGGAAGTACGTTTATGTCTTTCGTGATCAATTTTCAATATGGCGGCCAAACTCAAAAGATAACATTCCGTTTGTTCACAGCATACTATCAGAGCATCCATAAATGCCACCGTCGAGAAGGTGTCGTGTTCAATAGGAGATAACGTGCCCAAAAATAAAATTCTCGTCAAGTTAGCTAATTCTGCGTCTTAGAGTGTAAAAATTAAAAGTTATATTTGTTATACTTGTCGTGTAATTTATTTGTAATACCCATCCTTAACTTAGATTAAAGCAAAAGACAACAATATTTTATATTTTTATATATACGTATATACACGTGTCTTAAAATGTAATAATGCGTATTTAATAAATAATCTGTTCGTTGGATTGATAATTTACTACAAAGTTTAAATAACTCCATAGCGTTTCAACGACGCGAGAATTAGAAACTTGCCAAGAAGAAGGAACTTATTTGGTACACTGTATTCTCCAATATTATTCTGATAGTTATTATTTATAGATCTCTGTGTACGTACTGAAATGTGTCCGTTGCAAAAGTTGTGGAAAGTTCATAGACGTCCGATTCGAGTAACCGAACTGTTCGAATTCATGGTTTGTTTGTGATCGCCGAATGCGCGCCAAAAGCTGTTTGTTTTCAACGAGAAACGATTCGAAGGGTAGCAAAATTTTTCCAGGAAAATTGACGAAGTAAATCAGTGAAAAATGAATAGCTTTCGATCACCGATGAGCTGTATTTCTCCCAATGCAAGGTAAAATATTAAATTTGAAGAAACGATGGTGAAAGAAGGTTAGGAAGCCGGTTGTTTGTTAAATAATTTTATTCGCAGAGTTTTGACCGCCAAGCCTCAGGTAGAACGAACATTGGACGTGAGACAGATGCAAAATAAAGCTAGAAACAGCATCACATGGTTTTTCATCAATAGCTCTTTACTTGGGATCATCGTTTTCGACATGTGAGGGATTCATTTTTTGTCAACGATAATGACGAATGTATTATTTCTCGTATATTTTACAGATTGTACGGAGGTGCAGCGTACAAACCGTTTTGTTGGGTCGAATGGTGTCTAGCCTCTATATTTGCATTAAATGCCCTTTACCATATAATAAGATACACGTGGACAAGTCTCACTTTACAGCCGGTTATACTAAGTCCTAAGCAAAGACGTTTACTGGGAGTGTCGGAGGACGATCCCATTTTTAAGAACGAAGTTTCATCGCCTCAGAAAACATCGGAGCCAATATTTCCTTTGAACTTGTCGTGCATAAGTCTCAATAGGCGGTTAACGCCTCTTGGTTCTCCGGGGTTAAGCGAATCTAGTACGAAAGCTTTATTCTTTGCATTACAACGTTGTTAAAAATCTTTTATATTGCATAGAAACTTTTTTTCAAGAGAATTTTTCAACACTGAGTCCGTTCTTCAAGTACAGTAGCCCGATGTCTGAAAAATCGCAATGCAGTCCCAATGGATCGTTCAACAAATCTTTCAATATTTCGACGAACGGGAATCTAACTAGCGAAGAACTGATTCAAAGCGAGAAAGAGTTACAAAATTATTTGGACGAAACACGCCAAAGGAAGCATGTTCTCTCCACTGATATCGATCAGCCCTCGAATCTGCTTAGCTCGTTTTGGTCGCATCCCGCGATCAGAAGCCCCGGAGAAGTTTCTCCATTGCTAAGAAGATGTGCTTACCAATTAGCACCAATTGTTGGTAATACTATACGTGAACTGCATAAATAAGTATAGCATAAACGTACATTATTAAACTTTACAATTATTAGGAGATTCAGAAATATGGTAAATATGTACAGTATTGGAAAGAAAAGGAAGAATTAAAATAAATAATTATACGCCCGAGAGGAACTTTACCATACCTTGAACATATAGAATAAAATTTGTTCAAATTATTTTGTATCATTGTTTAATAATCTATGCTTGTGTGTGCTATACTTATCAGTCTCGTTTGTTTTGATTTGCTAATTCTTATTTTTTAGATAAATCAAAGTCGATCAGCCCTGGGACAGAAGAGGGAAACTCGCCTAGAGGTATGTTCGGTGTACCCGACGTCTGGAGGAAATACAGAATCGATCCAAACAAAGTAAACGAGTGGGCGGCTAATCTTCGCGTAGTAAGTCGAAACAGATACATTTTGAACCTTTGGTAGATGAAAATACCGTTAGTTTATTAACGAAAAGTTCTAATCGTTCTAGTGGATCAATAAAACAGTTGTCGAACGAGTAGCCGCCGAGATCGATAACGTCAGCTCGGCACTGGTTCGTCACGGATTGAGCGATTCTCAACCAGGACACGTTGGATTAGACAGATTACGAAAACTTGCTCAAGCGCCATTTTTAGTCACAGCTATTCCTACTCTGCCGACTTTAGTGCCTTTCCTGGAACTTTCCAACAATCAAGAGTATTTGGTCAATAGGATCAAGATTCTTGCAACGGGAGGTTCTATGAGCGAATTCAAATGGAACAGCGGAGGTCCACACAATGGCAAAGATTGGGATACCAGTTTGCCGACTGATTCAGCGGTAATTTGATCTCTACCGAACGAATGGAACGTTGTCACAGTAATGATATTATTTTTGCAGATAATCATGCATTTAGTGTCGACGTACATGGACACGCAACTGGAAGCTCCGTTGGATCAACCAGATGCCCGACCCTTTACATCAAGATACATGGCTAGATCTGGAATGTCTTTGCCGCGTAGCAAGGGGCCCGTGATAGTGTGTCAATCTATAAATCCACCGCATTATTGTCTGGCGCATTCCGGAGACGCTACTCCAAACGATTATGAAGAAATACAACGGGTGAGTACCAGAGATCACCGTTATGAACGCATATTAAAATACACGTGGTACGTTAACTCTGTATTGAGGAATCAAGGATCCGTAGAACTTGTCTTTTGTTTTATTTTTCAGGGTAGAAACAACTTGTTTCATATGCTTCTGTTGTTTCTGTACATCGTTAAAACGAGAGATCATGGCATGTTAGGTCGCGTTAATTTAGGCACGTCAGGCATAAACGTCCTTTGGGTAATCGATGGTTGAACAACACTTTTTGATAAAAACGAATATTGTGCCATACCGCGAACTACTAATATCAAAAACTGACCATCGAACGCGTACAATACTTCTTCCTTAACTGTACACTGCCGAACGGATCATTTATCTTTAACAGCGTTGTACAGAAACTTTTCAATTTCGCACAACCATTGCAGGAATGGCTGTTGTTGTTTAATTCGGACCAAAAACGAGGGGAAGCAGAAATGTTTCAATACTACGAATGCTTTATTCACAATACTTACGTCTATGTACAAAGAAATCATAAAACACGATCCGTATCTAGCGAAACTGAATTTTCACTTATTTAATACGCCGCAGTATAACAAATGTATGGCCGCTGCTGGCAGGCCACTTTTGTTTCGTTCCTTATATTTTGCGAATTATTGAGTGTACTTATCGCGCACGAAATGTGACAAGACTCACAGAACGCTTTGCAGGATTTTTCAAAAATGGAACGGAGTCGATCGAATAAATGCGTAGATGTAACGACGGATCGCAAAAAAAAAAAATAACTGCATTCCTATTCATTGCACTTGTATCGTACCGCATAGGGAATGCATTTGTATCTACAGTCATCATCGATGCAGTATATTTTTTGTACAATTTTATACCTCGTTTTTTTTTTTTTTTTTTTATTGTAGTCTAGCGACCGAAAGACATGTCTCGTAAAAAATTATTTTCACACTTTTCGTGCAATTTATAATACAATCTTTGGATAACGATTCTCGCGTACTTTAAAATCAATGTGTATGTACACCGAAGTCATACATCGTGATGCAATTATAATGGCCTGTCCAACTTAATTACAAAATCGGAAAATTCGCCCGCGAACGAATTTTTTTTATCCTGTCGTTCTTTTTTTTTGATATCTTTAATTCGAAACAAATCATAATTCCACAAATAAAAGATAGTCTTTGATAAATACCAATACGAGGATTGGTCTTTCTTTGCGATATCAGTGGATCAATAGCTTCATAATTAATTCGAAATAGAAATTACTGCTATTGAACGCGCCACGTTTGAATAATCGTAGAATCGCGCCGTAAGATTTCGTAGATCTTTAACCTTCCCAAGAGAAGATAGCGAAGACGGAAGAGAACTGGAAAGAAAGTAAGTTCCTATAAAAATCATGCAAGACCTTCGTTCGTACGTACGTATTTCCCTACATACGTTCCACAGTGGGATTATCGGTCGTTGCTAATTAGCCAAGAACGAGAAATGTCGTTGACAAACGATAAAACTCGTTTGTGCTATTTTTCAAAAGAATTCGAAGGAACTTTAGCGATCCAAAGACACGATGTTTGACTCGAGCGATAAATTTTTACTCTTGCTACACGCTATCTCAGTGTTTCTCAAACTTAACTTTTACGCAGACACCCCTCTACGATTAAAAATTTCTGATAAACTCACCTCGGAGTAAAATTAAATTATTAATTTATATTTCTCTTCCGCGGTGCTGTACAAAAACCTAACCCAAACAGATTTTAAATCCTTTTCTTTTTTTTTTGTAAAACAAACTGTGTGTTCTAAACGTTTATCTATATTTTTAACTCAAACTTTTTATATGTACTTTACTAAAACAATGTACAAAAATAAATTAATAAAAATTGGTTGATTTACATCGATCGTCTTGGAATTTATTCAATACTATTAAATAATAAACGAATTTGTTTATCGAATAGTACCAAAGGATTCTCGTTGTTTGATTGTCATGTACGATAAAATTCATTACGAACAAAAAATTTAATAAAATTTGTTACTTTCAATAGAATTAAAATAAAAAAAATAATGAATATGTCGTAAGTATAAAACAACGTCGATAAAATTATGCAAGAAGTTTCAACTAGTCCTCGTTACGTTTTTGGTACTTCGTAATTGGAATTTTGTAATAAAATTAAAAATATTGCTAGGAATATATTTTTTTTTTTTGCTTTCGAGAGCTCCTAACCCCCTTCACCGTTACATTCACAGGCTCTCAGGAATCTGCAAATCACAGCTTGAGAAACACTGTCTATTCGAACGCACAAAATAACCCCGTTTCCATCCTCCTTCATTTTTTTTATCGTTTTGCAACTACTTTTACCCCATTCCCATATATTTGACGGCTTGTCTCGTATTTAAATATAAACAGAGATATACAACGTATAATACATTAAAAACGTTATCTCGGATGTTTTTCGATTTCGCCGTTCGTCCTTCTCTCTCTCGTCTCGATTATCAGGAGAAACCATAGTTTTTGCGAGAGAAATCGGGCACGAGTAATGGTAGGGAGAAAACGAATCGATAGACGATCGATCGGCTGTCGAGAAAGATTGATAATGCGAGAACACGCGTTCGAAACGAATGTCAAGTTAAGTCGTCGTGTACAGTTTGGCTCCCTCGGGCAGGATGACCTCCTCGCTAATGTCGGCGACGGTGACAGTCAGTGGAAAGATCAGTGGCATTATTATTTCCTGATGTTGCGAGACCTGCTGGCTGGAAACAGGTTCGGGCTGTCTGGTGATCGTGATGGTTTTAATGTTTTGCGTTTTAACCAGCTGCCCTTGGCCAAGCGCCGCCTGTTGCAGTACCCTCTGTTGGTTTTGCACTGCCTGCACCTGCGCCAACGGTTGGCCACGATTCTGATTTTGGACAAAGTTCTGCTTGCACCTTTTGCTGTGAGCGTAGCGGCTCCCGTTGTTGTTGAACCGTCGGTCGCAGGTAGGGCAAGCGTAAGGCCTTTGACCAGTGTGGATGAAAACGTGCTCCTTGAGGGACTTCAGACGACGGAAGTTCTTCGGGCAGTACTTACAGTGGTACTTGGCTTCGCCAGTGTGAGACGTCAAATGATTGGCGAGCGTGTCGGCTCTGGCGAACGCGCGCGAACAGTACTGACAAATGTACGGTCGTTCTTGGGTGTGCGTCCTCATGTGCATTTTTAGGTACGCGTTCGTCGTGAACGGTCGCGAACAGACCTCGCACACGTACGGCTTGATACCGTTGTGGGCCCTCAGATGGGCTATCAACGTCGTCGATTGCGTGAAACTTTTCGAACAGATCTCGCAAAGGAATCTCTTTGAGCTGTCCGTTTCTTTGTTCTTCTTGAAGGTACGGTCGTGCTTCGACAGATGATTGGTCAGTTGCTCCTCCTTGATGAAACGTTTCGTGCAGCGTGTACATTTGTACGGTTTTATCATGTTATGCTTGGCCACGTGTATCTTCAAATGTTCCCTTCTGTAGAATTTCTTCGGGCATATGTCGCAAAGGTACTTTTTCCCTTCGTGCACTTGAATGTGACGCAGAAGCCCTTTCCGCGACGTGTATTGTTTGTTACACTCTGTACATTCCAAACCGACGATGTCCGTCCTCCTCTTTCTACCGATTTTCTCGCCCGGTTTCTTCTCCTCCGGCCGTGGTTCGATGTCTCTCAAGTCTTCCTCTGTGAGGATGCCCTCGGTGACGTGTTTCGCTCTGTGCTCCCGCAGAATCTCGTTGTTCTCGAAACTGTCGCCGCAAATGTTACATTTTCTCACTTGGTCCGGATTCTTTTCCGAGCACTTGTCGTAATGAGCTTTCAGCTTATCCTTACGGTAAAATTTAACATTGCAAATGTCGCATTCAAAGTTCGGCTCCTCGTGCAACAGCTGATGCCGTAACAACGATTTCTTCGTGCTGTAACGTTTTTTGCACTTCGTGCACTCGTGATGATCCATCGGCCAATCCAGGCCGCTCTCGAAGTCCGAGTCGTAATCGTCGTCCTTGATGGTCTCGTTTGCATCCATTCCCTCGTTCATGCATGCTCTTTGTCGGTCCTTCTTCAACGATGGCTGTCGTTGCTTCTCCGACTTGACCGCTTTCTCGACCTTCACGTGCTGTTCCATGTGTTTCGACAACGATTGCTTCGAACTGCACTTTTTGTTGCAACTCATGCACTCCAGGTCCTTCTTGTAAATGTGTTTCTTTTGCGCGGAACTGTCACGTTTACTTCGACCGTAATTCCCATCCGTATGGGCGGCGTTACGGTTGAGCAACTTGTTCTCCTCCTCCTCGTCGTAATCCTCCAAACCGTCCTCGGTTTTAATTTTATCTATGATCTTCTGCGCTGCTCTCGCGGCGACACGTTTGATGCGTTTATTGGGATCGTACTCCTGCCCGTGAACGAAGGTTTTATGATTAGTGGCTATCAAATGGTTTCGCAGAGTAAGCTCGTTCCCGAACGTTTTATCACATTGTGTACATCTGTAGGATTTAACGCGTTCGTGTTGCTCGGCGTGCCTCTGCAACAGATCCTTCCTGGCGAATCGCTGATAACACACCTTGCAACGATAGTCGGTCCCCGTATGTGACTCCGTATTTCTAAACAAGACGATACGCATTATCAAAACACGGTTCGTTCGAAATGACTTTTTTGCAAAATATTTAAAAATCTCGCCTTTCAACCTACCTGCAATTTTTCTTCGATGCACTCTCCGCCTCCAACGTGTCTACTTCCTCTCCCTCTTGTTTCTCTTGGTCCCCCTCTTCCCTCTCTTTACCCTCAATTTTATAACTATCCGATTCATTATTTACCGAGCAATCTGCATCTTCCTCCAAATCTTGTTCAGTCAACACACCTTCGAGCACGTGCTTTGCACGATGGTTCCTCAGTTTCTCCAGCGAGTCGAACTCTTCCTCGCATACGCTACATTTAAGGATGGCGTGCAAAACCTCATGCTTCCGTAAACCACGCCTAGTATAGAACTTTTCCGAGCATTTCTCGCATGCAAACATTTCTGTGCGAACACCCCGTACCTCACGTTCTCTGGTTCTCTTCGAGTTATTATGCTCCCCATCTACGTCCTCCGTTTTTTTCTCGTTTCCCAATTCCTCGTTCTCCCCGTCCTCGTCCATCTGATGTTCCCCCATCTCGTCACTCTCCAGCTTCGATTTCGTCCCATTCGCATCATCGTTTTTCCTAGCTCTTTTCCGATACTCCGTATCGAAATCCTGCTTGATCACATAATCGTCGAGATCCAAACTGTGCTCGTCCTCGTGAAACGAAATTTCCAACGGCATCGGTTGATCCTTCGTCTCGTCTTTCTCTCTCTCGTGTTTCTTCAAATGCTTGCTAAACGAGATTATGTATATGTATTGTTTGCCGCAATGGGGACATTTGTTCAACCTCTTCCCGGACGGAGGCGATTTATCGACATTGCCGACAGGTTTCTGCGGTTTCTCCGGACTTTTTTTTAACGACAACGCTCTCCTGACCTCCTCGTGCGAATGCATGTGCTCTCTCAGAACGTTCTTCGATAAAAATTCTTTGTCGCAGAGGTAGCACATGAAGAAGATCCGGTCCGATGTATCAGAAGCTTGAGCCTTCTTTAATCGCGAGCTCAGATTCAAATTCTCGAAATAATTCTCCTCGTCGGAGTCCCGCGTCGACTCGACGTTTCGTCGAATCTGGTTACGTTTGCTTCTTCTCGCTTCATTTTGACATTCGCTATCTTGTTCTATCTTAACGTTAATTTTCTTAAGATCCGACTTTTTTATTTCCTCTTCATCTTCGTCCACGGTCGCGTCCTCAGCCACATCCGCGATCGCGTCCTCCTCTTCCTCTTGGTTCGTCGCGTCGGCAGCTTTAACCAGCAAATTCACATATTCCGCGCAATCGTCGCGCGGAAATGTTTCTTCAGAAATTAACTGATGCTGTCGCTGCTCCTCCTGCTCCTGGTGGTTCTCGTCCCCTAATATATATTCGTGGTGCAATATATAATCGTGCTCTATCGTCGGAATACTCTCTATGCAGTTTCTAGTGCTACTCGTGTATTTCAATGTTGCTTCGCTACGAGGCATATCGGTAACAGGCTTGACGTTCTCTTCATCCTGACTAGGGCAATTTTCTTGCCCTTGTTTCGAAATTATCACTTGGTCAATCGCTTCTTCCATTACCGGACCATTATCCTGCTCTAAACACAAAAAGACTTTTAGTATTACGAATCAAATTTAATTCTCTTTTTATAAAATTTTTATTTACCTCTCATAGACGATTCTTGATCGTCTAACTTTCCCACTTGCAGTAAAGATAATTGATTCTTCAGAAGGGATTTCTCTTCTCTGGACATTGAATCTAGAGTTTCCACGGTAGATTGATAATCGTGTTCCATGTGCATCTCTCCAATATCCCCGTTTTGGTCCCCCGACTCGAGATGCACTTCAACCTCGTTGAAGAACAACTCTTCCTTCATATTCATAGTGACGTATCGTTCTCTGAGAACTGTATCGGCTTGTTCCACTTGCAGTTTGAACTCGTACGCGGACTCGAGTTTATCCGCACATATGCAACATACACGTGTCGGTAAACCATCCCCAGGTAGCATCTAAAGCAACGAAACGACACGGTTAATTCGATATCGTAATTGAAAGTTTCGCGAAGCTACGAAATTGGTAAATAAAGTAAAGGCACGGAACGTAAATAAGATTTAGAAATGGCATTTACAAACGTTAATTTTCTTCTTTTCTCTAAATCACGTGAAATTCGAACAACACGCACGTTGTTTAGCCGATATCTCAAACAGGACTTTATCTTGCACGGTTTGTGATATTCAACTTAACCTCAAATTACGTGTCTAACCTTAACGTTGGCGAAGCTCATTGCTTTCGCCGAAAGAGAGGCGACCTCGGTTTCTAGAAACAAGTCTCGCATCACCAGGTTCCCGAGAAGGCAAACGCGGCATATTTCTACCGTCGCCACGATGCTATCCTCTACGTTTTGTGGTGAATCGGACGCATTTATTTCTACGGCGTCCATGTTTTGTTTGGCGAACTACTGGCTCGTGCTTGTGTCTGCTTCCCGCAGCCCGCAGCCCGCAGCCAGCAGACTACAGACTACAGTCCCTGCTCTGCCTTTTCCTCCCTCCAGAATGATACCAACCGTCGCCCCTGCCCAGCCCCCCAAATAACCGCACTGCAACAATCTGTCAAATACAAGCCACCGACCCCGCGATTAAAAATTAAACTGGCTACCGTCCCTCTACACCATTCTCGGATGTCCTCGCCAATGATACCGATCCTACCCGCGGATGCACACGATCGTGACACTTTGCTTATCGATACACCGTTTCACGATTTTCATCCGTACACTCTTTGCCTCCCTGTACCTCGTCACGCGGCTCACATTTCAACACGGTTCGCTTTACATCCTCAGCATCGTCGCTGAAAGATACGATCTACTGTTTCGGAATTAATTCGGAACGTTTCGACGGAAGCGAGTGTTCGTCAGCCACGATAGATGGCTATCGCAGTCGTACGGGCCACATCCTCGGACGAGCTGTGAATAATTGTTTACAACCGAAGAAGAAAGTAACATGAAAGTTTGCGTTTTGACCGAATATGCTGCGTTCGTAGAATAATAAGTAACGGCGTCCACGCAAGCGTATATATGTATATACAAAGGTGAAGTATATTACACGAGAAAATGAAGCGGAATGTAAACAGAGCTTGTCACGTGACCGAAATTTCATTGGTTCGCTGTGTCGACACGGCATTTCAACTAGGAATGTATCGTAAGGCTCGACGCAACAACGAGAGATCATAATTTATTGCGTACTATATGATTTAATTCATACCATACTCGTTCGAGTAATGACTGGTTTTACATCAATTAATTTTTGTGCAATTGACAAAGTTTTACCAGATACGAGCAAATAAACCTATGTTAATCGAGCTGTTTTTTTTAAAATAAATAGTAATTGGAGACGAGCAATGAATTAAAGTATATTTATTTTTTAAAAAAAATGATGATATACAACTATATATATCTAATATTTCCTTGCCAATAGAAAATGATTTTCTAAAAGAAATAATACGAGAAATATTATTTTTATGTACAGATTCGTTTATCATAGATTTTATCAAAGTCAATTATATTCAACAATATTTAAACTGGAAAGAGAATATTCCAGACTTAATTGTCAAATGAAATATTAAATTGTATCTAAAGCGTATTGGAATATATGGAATAATTCCGCCGCTTAAATTTCTTACAATTTGGCTCAATTTGTATAAGATGTTTATTACCTAAAATATAAAGATTTTATTTTCAACTAAAATAACATTACACGTATATTGTAATCGGTGTGTTACTCACCATCGTCTATACAATCAAAATTAACTTCTGGCGTTAAATTATTCATACATCCGTCTAAAGCTTCTTTACTATTATTTATTTCTACGTCTTGTTCTTCGCTATTACTTTTTGGGGATAAATTTAACGGCGATACTCCATCGAACGTGGAGTTTAAAACATTGTCTTCCTCGAATGAAATAGAAATATCATTGGAACCTGGTATCTGTTCGTACGATGTTTCTATTAACATTCCATTTGATTTAGATTCTTTTGTGTTACTCATTAATTGTAATAAAACAGACGGATCATCTATACCCAAGGTGTTACAAAACTGCGTAGTTTGATTATTTATTAACAGTTTTGGCGATTCGACTGAAACGTCTAAAGCATCAGGATTGTATGGCTTTGTAGTTTGTGTAAAATTTACGGGAATTTCTAAATTATGGGTGAATCGTTTGAAAATGTTTGCTTTTTCCTCTACGGTTGGCGTAAATATCCATCTATTATTGCCATATTGCCCAGGCATATAATGAATACCGTTTTTAACGCTTAATAAATGGTTCGTTAAATATAATATTGTTAACCATTCTAAATCATAACGTGGTTTTAATGGTAAATTTTGATCGTGTTCTAGTTCGAGTATTTGAAGAAATTTTCGTTTTGGAAGACACTTATCTAAAGCTAAAAATTTAGTCACCCTTGTTCCCTCTTTTTCAGGAACAAGGGCAGCAAATTTACAATGTAAATGTGCAGAAAACCAATAGTTTGGATAATGATGTTCTAAAAGTTCCATACTCGGTGGACTACCAAGCATATTGTTCTCAATATCGTTTCTGTAATAAAAAAAATTTAACACATTCGAAATGTTATGAATTGTATCGGCTAATAGTTTGAAAATCATGTACAGACGCTGAGCTATAATAAGGGAATAATTAGCTTACTTGAAGAAAGGTTTTCCTTTCAACAACATATTTTCATTTCCATATTTAGTTACCCCCGCTGGCCAATCGTGAGATAAGAAAATATCGATATTGCCACTAAGCTACAAAGAAAACATGCAATGCAATGAACAACTTACGTTAGAATAAATTTCTTCAAAGTATTACCTGCTTTAATCTAAATATTTCTAAGTTTCTAATGTGATATACACTTCTGATTGTATTTTCATTATAAGGTGGCTTTTCGTAATGTCCCTGCATCAAATGTTGACCTTTATAGATTCCGGACAGCCCTGCAATTCTGATACCGCCTACTGTTATTACACCGGCGTATCCCAAGTAATAAATATTAGGTGCTACCCATCCGCCGTACGGCAATTCTTGAAGATAATTAGACGCTTCGTGATTTCCTCCAATAAATATCGTTAACACAGGGGCAACTTTTTCCCCCGAGTAATATCTACAATATACCGTAGGGTTAATTTCAGTTTTATACGGATAAAGATTTCAAAAATTTCGAGAGATAGTTTACGAAAATATAACGAAAGATTTATACATAATCTTAAAACCTGTTAACCCTTTTAACAACCACAACTTTGCAACTTACTTATAAAAAGTACACATATCCTTATATTTATCAGGTACAGCCATGCAACTTAAATCACTCAAGTTTCTCGTAGATTGAAAATCCCCGCAACAAATGAGCAAATCTATCTTTTTCCCGTCAGCCTTTTCCATTTCTTGAATGGTTTCGTAAATAATATCTAATTCACCGTGTGCACAACCCTCTACAGCGATTCTCATCTTTATTTTTATATGCACCTCGTTACTTGTACAGTAATCAACAAATTTACCTACGTTCCGCGCAATTTACCTAATTATTAAAATATTAAGAAAAACAAGTATTTATAACAATCACTTAACCTAACTAAGAACTCTCTGACATAGCCGCCATTTTTTAGCTTAATCGGGCACTGTTGCCATAACAACGATTGTACCGATGATGTTTGCTCAAACTTAGGCAGTTCGTAATCATAAATATTTCCATTGTATTTGAGTCAATTATGAGCTTGATTTTTTCGAGCGGCGAAGGATGGATCGTCTCTCATTTGCAATATCTTAACGATATTTATAAAACTGTAAAGAACGGTAATACGCAGTGTAGACTAATTTTTAACGATACGTTGTTCGAAATAAACTCTCAATATTTACGTCAAAATCAAATAACTCAGTCCGATCAACACGAAGGAATTTCGTTGCAAAATAGAAGTAAAAAGAGAAAGCGGGCGAAACTGTTACCGGAGGAAGATTTAAAAGAGGTAAAATAACAAATTTGATAGTATATTAGATGAAACAGACAACTAACGTTTATTCGTATGTGCTTCGTAGATAAATTATGTCAAACAAGCATTCAATCAAATAATTTCATCCGCCAAAGCAGACGGATTATTCTCTTCCAACGTAATGTGTGATAATAACGAAGCAGCACGCTTGGCATCGCAGAAATTTTATCAGGACACGTTTTCCGGGGAGGAAGAGAACTTTTATGGTTGTAACGATACGGATGTAGCTATTATATCAGAATCACAAGAGAAAACATACGTGTTCCCAAAGAAATGTAACTTTTATTGTTACGATGTGAGCGATGTTGCCAGGAAGTTGGAATTAAACAATCAGTATGATTTTATATTGTTGGACCCTCCTTGGTGGAACAAGTCCATAAGAAGAAAAAAAACGAAATATTTAGAATCTAGGTGATCTTGTATGGTTCAATATAAGCCAATAGAAAAAAAAAAAGCAAACTCTCTGAACAGTTTAACGAGAATAAGGACTTTGATAATAGTATAAGTTTTCCTTGTTCTCAGTTTTGCAACCATATGGGTAAATAAGATTTTAGACGCAACTTTTCGACGTAAAAAAATTATTGTTGCACAATATTAAAACAGTATCGATACATTTTAGAATTGTTTTATGTGTACGATCTTTTGTCAGAATCATATACTTTTGTACAGTTATTGCGAACGGCCATCTGCTATAAATCGCACTCTATATATATATTATGTAAATTGTGTTTTATATTCTTACGTTGAACAGTTATAAAATGATGTACAACGAGGAGTTAGCCAGGATACCGATTGGGAAATTATTATGTTCGAATGGACTCGTAGCAATTTGGTGTACCAATGCTCCTAGTCATCTGCATAGTATTTTTCACAATATATTTCCATCGTGGGGCATTACGTATAGAGCGAAATGGTACTGGATTAAAGTAAGCATATAATTACTTAAAATTTGAAAATTCCAAAAAAATATCCATAATCCGAACGATACATGTTTAGTTTTCATACTTCAGGTCACTCAAGAGGGAAGTACAACGTGTAATTTTAATTCAGCACTCGGTAAACAGCCTTACGAACTACTAGTATTAGGATCTGTATTAAGTGATAGTGAATTAAACATTCCTGATGGGAAAGTGTTAATAAGTGTTCCGAGCGCGGTACATTCTCACAAACCGCCTCTTACAGGTAAGGAATCATCGATAGCGATACGTATGAAACTCTATAAAGGCATTAAAAATTCTAGAAGTTTTGCAAGAGTTTCTTCCAAGCGAGCCAAAGTGTTTAGAAATATTTGCAAGATACTTGCTTCCTGAATGGACAAGTTGGGGCCTTGAAGTTTTGAAGTTTCAACATTTATCATTATATACAGTCATAGAAGAGACAAAAGATACTCAGAACAGCAATAACATGGATGTAAATAAATTGATCGATTAGGATTAAACTTTACGAGATAACAAAAAGTTGCGGTACTATTGTTATTTTTTTTATTTTTATTATAAATTAATCATGCTTGAATAGTAATCAAATTATCCCATTATGAAGTGCCATTTACGTGGTCGTTAATACCATTTTTTATGGTAGCACGGTAACCATGTGGATTCATTGTTTGCCACCTCCAAAAATCTTTACCTATATTAAAGATAACATTAGAAACACGCCAAATACAGAATGAAAAGTACTATGTTACGTACACATCTGTTCAACGTCGCATTTGGTCGACCATCCTAACTCTTTTTCTGCTAAATCCGTGTTAGCGTACATTGACACTATATCACCTTCTCTCCTGTCTTCTATAACATACGGCACTGTCGTTCCCGTGACATTTTCAAACGTTTTGATTAACTCGAGTACGGACACACCTTTGCCAGTACCTAAATTGTAAATCTTTAGCCTCAAGTGTTGTTTGTGCAAGGCATTCAAAGCTGCCACATGGCCAGCCGCCAAATCCATAACGTGAATGTAATCACGTATACCTATAAAAAAAATTAATATTCTAAAGGTATTGCGTGATTTAAAAAATCCTTAATTGTCTAAACGTACCTGTGCCGTCTTTCGTAGGATAATCGCCTCCATAAATGACGAGTTCAGGTTTATGCCTCAAAGCTACTTGCGCTATGTAAGGCATTAAATTTGTAAATGGCTTTGTAGGATCTTCTCCAATCAAGCCACTAGAATGTGCACCCACTGGATTGAAATATCTGAGGGAAATGATGTTCCAATTCTGTTGAACAAAAATAACTACATAGCCATTTTATTTGCGACATATTATTTGTTGATGAAAAGTAAAAAGTAAGTTATAAATACTATATTTAGCCTGTTAAACGCACCTTCTCGGCTCTTGATATATCTTTAAGCATTTCTTCGATAAAATACTTCGTTCTGCCGTATACGTTCGTGATATTGCCAGTTGGATGCTCCTCTGTGATTGGAAGTTCATTCGGTTCCCCGTAGACGGTACACGAACTGCTAAAAACTAGTTGGAAGCATCCAGCAGCTTTCATTACCTTGAAGCAGCGAATTTTATTTAGTTTCATAACACACGAAGCGACGTAAACGTGAGAACGTATTAAAATGCAGTTTACCTCTAGTAAATTAATAGCACCGATGATATTATTACGATAATAATGTAGCGGAATCTGCATCGATTCACCGACGGCCTTTATCGCCGCGAAATGAATCACGCAATCTATTTTATGCTAAAACGTAAAACATTTACTTTCAGAGCTTCGTTCGCTTGTAAATACCCGATTATATCAGAAGTTATGCCACGGCAATTCGTTACCTTATTGAAGACTGCTTCGAGCTTATCTCGGTCGATTAGGTCGCAATTATAGAAGGTAACTTTCTTCCCTGTTATTTGCTCGACTCTTTTTAGAGCCGCAGATTCACCGCTACCCTCGATCACGCTATTAGCGAAGTTATCTATTGCTACAACATCGTATCCACTTTCCAAAAGTTCGACGATACAGTGGCTACCGATGTAACCGGCTCCTCCGGTTACGAAAATCGTTTTCCAATCTTTGGTCATACTTCTATCAAAACGAGAAAAATGAAAATGTTAAAATTGTATACGATTCTCCTAAATTATTCAAAACAAATTTTTATAACAAGAGTAACATATGTAATATGTTTTTCTTCCTTCGAGAACTCGAGGACCCCAGTTTGAGAAACGCTGAATTATTATACGGTTCTTTTGCACACGGGGGAATAGAAATGCTCGTCCTTCGTCAACTACTTGATATTACTTATCACGCGTTTATAGTTTTAAATTGAAAATAAATCGTTTTCGACTACGCGCGATACAGAATTATTAAAATGAACGAAAGTTGTTCGTAAATATGGTTCTACGCGCGAGGCGAAATATACAGGTGCTTAGGACATTCACCTGCCTTGAACTGTGTGGAGTTCAAGGTCACTAAAACACGTGGTAAATCATTACGTTTATGACACGTGAGATTAGATTTTTAATACACCTATTATTCGTCCAGTTAAAACAAATAAAATCCAAGTACCACCTTGAATCGTACACATTTTCTATAAACAATATTTTCAACTTACAACGCGATATTTCTAATTTGAATTCATCGTCAGAAAATTAAGTAGAAAACAAGCGAGAGAAAAAAAATTACTATTCTTATTGCTCACTGCGCGAAGGCAAAGATGATTGAAAGTTCGACTACTAAACCGGTGTATTTAACGGTACTCAAACTTCATCGGACACTTTCGGCACATTACGAACACTTGCTTTGCTCCACGCATTTATGCTCAAGCAGAATATATATTCGATTTTGATAAAGAAAACATCATTAGTTCTCAATTAACAATAAATTATGCGTGGTATATTATATTAGTGTTCGTTGCTTAATAAAAATTGCGCGTGAAAGTTTTATTTTGTACAGGATTATGATCGCGGCAATGTGACTTCACTTTCAACTTGGCATTTGATTTTATTATGCAAATCGTACAAGTTCTTTTGTTAATGTATGTTTGGTAATAGACTGTATACAAATAGGCGTCGTACGTAATTTTTTAAGAGAATATATCGTTACCTTGACAACGTAAGATTTTTAAGAGCAAATACGTCGAACCAATACCGAAGGGTTCGAGGTTGCACCGTGTAATCACCGACTACGTCCTGACCACTTGTGTTGTCTTCTGGTATAGGAAAGTAGAGTTTAGTATATTCGTGGAACGCGAGGCATCCCCTCTTCTAGAACAACACCATCGTCGTATCATTGTGAAGACACGCACACTATGTATTTCGAGCCTCTCTCGACCCTTGCTTTTCTGCTGCAACAAGTTCTTCCTTTCACACAGACGCCCAGTTCTCTGCTTGCCTACCTTCTTCGCGACAAGAATGAAGGAACGATGACACACGTACGAGACCGACGGTTACCGCTTGCATCATTCGATGATTTGTAAAGGATTGACTCATAAAAATGTAATTTTAAGCAACGCTCGCTTCGTCAAGGAAACCTATTTTAGCATAAGAACGTTCAACGCGATAAACAAAGGCAGATGAATCGAATTTTTCAGGATATCGTTCGAACAAACCTAGATTAACTATGAAAATAAATAAACGATCACATTATGCAATGATTTATTAGCTTTTGTCGGTGTTTTCGGTCGCGTGCATGTACTATACATTAGAGAGTGGTAAATAAACAAATATAGTCGAATATAGAATCGAAGTAAATGAATGTTCTTTATTTATTTTGTACACTATAAAGTAAATTATTTCTAAATTCGAAAATTCTCAACGCTGTTGAGGTTCATTTATCGTCGATCAATTCGTCGTTATTTGAATCAAATGAAATAATATACACTCGGACAAGCCTTACCCGTAACTCGAATAATTTGAGGTAAAAATAAAGTTAAAATACTTTACTGCGTTGTTAAAACTTGAATTAACTTGTGCAATAATTCTTTTTGTTCTGCGCTTAAATAGGGCCACAATTCACCTTCCAGTTCTAACAATGCTTGATAATCATGGGACTGAGATGCTAATACCAAAGATTGTAACAATAATAATTCATTTTCGCTCATATTGAAATCTGCAATATAGTTTTCGTTTATCCATTGTAATATATGTAAATTGTTTAAAGTAAAAGCAGAGGAATGCTTACCATTGTTTGCAGTTTCTTCTATCCACGCATATTTCTCTAAAACTTGAGCCAAAGAAGGTGCAAGTCTTTGCGGCGACGGTTGAAGTATAAGTAACAAAAGTACTCTGGTCACTTCGCACCTGTAGATGAATATGATTTTCATATTTTTTACTTACAACATAATTCTAAACTTTCAATTGTATATTATACCTATGTAATATAACGCTGTAGTTGCCTCTCGCGCCAGCATTTACGTAAGTTTCAATAAATTCAACAAATTCGTTCAGAATTAACAAAGCGGATACATAATCGCCTAATAAATAGTGTTTTTATTAATGATCTTCATCGATTATAATTATTTGAATAAATATTTACCTTGTTTGATGTGATAAGAGACCAATGTATTAATAGCTTTTGATGTTGGAAAAATATCAATAGCCTTGCGTAATTGTTGCGTACCAGCCGGAGTCGAGTCTAAAGCTAATGCCAATTCTAACGCCAATCCAGCAGACATAGTGTTAAATCCTGGTTGAGTTTGGCAACGTGCTAAAGCATGACCGAAACAACTTATGGCAGCCTAAATTAACAGTTAGAACTTGAAAATTTTGTACGATTCACATTATTGCGTACGAATCTAGGTAAAACAATAAACCTGTGTATTTTCTTGTCCTATAGAAGGGCAACCTATATCTTTATCCTTTTTATCGGCAACAAGAAATTCTCTGCCCGCTTTTATTAGAAAATTTAATTCAGGAAATATGTTTTTTAACGTTCCTTGGCATCTAGCTGCAGCTAACGAACACAAGCCTGCGTACTGCCATAATTCTTTTTGTTCGCATTCTGTAGCCAAGGCACCTACGAAGAAAATAATAATATTACACATATTAAATTACATATTTCTAACAAGCCATGCATTGCGAAATTTTTGTGCAACTTGCCGAATTGATCGCTTGCTTCTGCGACGTTCGGATTCCTCATAAAACGTCTAAAATATTATTAACAACAAATGGATCTTTATAAGAGAGAACAGAACTATTCAAGAAAAAGAAACGAACAAAGATACGCTTACTTTTTTAATTTATTAGATATAGCGTGGTACTTTGTCAAAAAATTCAACGAATCCCCCATTATCTGCCTTTGATTCAAATGTGCCATTTTTTCAAAACTTTCAATTCAATTTTTTTTCAACGCTCTCTTTGGTTCGCATAATTGGTTGCACGATGCAAAACACGTATGTATCTCTTTCGTCAAGAATGCGTGCAATTAAAAGTTGTTAGTTAAACGGTTATTTCGTACGTGTCATTTTTCATTTTATTCAATTTACTTTCCGCCAGTAAAAGTAAACAAATGCTAAGCTTATAAAGATGTATTTTTCAGGACACCCTATGTATACGTATCTACGTAATTGATAATAAACGGCAATGGTATGTAATAGCTAAAAGTGGTTACATGTAGAAGTAGAAGCAGACGGAATTATATTTTACGTAATAGATGCCGAATAGAATTAAACGCATAACGATTTATTTGCAATAATTAATTGGTCGAACAGTTACTTGGATAAGTGTTGTTATTTTCATGCAACGTATGATACAACATCACTCTGTAATCCAAATTCTAATTTCTATTCAACCAGTAACGAATAAAAAGTTATTTATCTTTCATTCATTATTTTCGATTTTTATCTAGATAAGAATATTACTCTTCTGTAGCTAGAAGATAATATGTAGTGTACGAGAGATACATCGGGTGTGCATTTTCATTACAGAAATTATTATTTATCACCTTTATTTAATGAATAAATAATTGTTTAATGTTGGAACTGATGTATTTTGTTTCGTATTGTAACGATATCTGTAATTTTGAAGATGTACAGTTCTTACTTAACTTTGATCTGATTAAAACTCGATAAAGTGTTTGTGTATACTTGCGTCTATCATCAATTGCATCATAGGGTAGAATAAAATTAATAGAACGTGATACGCGACAATTCCGTGATTAATTATTTAAAATTTTATGATTCGAGCTACATATTACTAAAGTGAACATTCTATGTTTCAGGAGCGCGAAAATATCGAGTTATCATTCGGCTGTGTGTAGATATTGCTGTACACAAACAAACGTTATCATTAGACAATTATAGATTACCAAGTTTATAAGAGTTCCCAGAAAAATGTGCAGAATCACATGCTCAAGTAATACAGAGTGTCGCATGAGAATATCATGATCAATGTCTTTGTATGCGTAGAGTTAATTGCTCGCATCTTTTTGGTAAAAAGAAACCATTAACAAGACTAAAAAAAGCTCCCTTAAAAGATGCATGAATTTATTGAACTAATTTTGAACAGTGCTTTCTTGTGGATATTTCTACAAACTAGCTGGAGCATTTTAATAAGTGTTTTTTATTATTTCTGCGTACCATGGATTGTTTGGGGTTCTGTCTTTATCACAGTTGGAATAAAAATAGCCAGGATTCCGCCGCCGAATTTACAAATTGTACAAGAAGTGCTTGGTGCGAATCCCCTTTCACTGAAAAAAGATAATACCGTGTCCAAGGAGTACGATAACAGAGAACAATTTTGCATGCGAGTGGTGGCTCATCGTGGTGGAGGATACGATTTCCCTGAGAACAGCTTAACAGCTTTTCGTAATGTAAAATCTTATATATAATAATGGTTTTTGTACGTTTAGAATGTCGCTCTGGAGAAAATAACAAACCGACATATTTCTAATTAGCTATTTTGGAATACTAGGTATCTTTGTAACAGGAACAATTGCTTACTTTTTTTCGTAATATATTAGGTATAGAAAAGAGTTCTGCGCCTGTTTTTTTACTTCGGCTAGGATCTGTCTGTCTTCAGAACTCTTTCCTACATCTAACAGATAAGGATACTAAAGTTGAGAATAACATTATAGGCGTTTGCATATTGTTATTTGAGACCTGGACCAAAGAGGAATATGCAGCCTGCAGATACCTACAATGTTTCTCTTGGCCCTAATACAGAGTTAGGCATGTAAAATAGACCACTTAAATAAGTTACCTACCTTTTATGACAGAAGTTTGTATGTCGATGGATCTCCTGATTAGGCTAGACCCTTATTATTTGTTTTTTCAAACATAACAAGGTTTAAAATTGAATCACTTTAGAGCTTAGATTACCAAGGTGTTTGATCAGTATTTTTCCATTGCAGTTCACCTTCAATGACCTTTAGTCGTTCATAGTTATGAAACCGAAGTTGACTAAAAATCAAAAATAGGCAAATTATTCAAGTAGCCTGTTTTAAATGCCTTCGTTCTATATCGTAGTTATAGCAATCCTATAACATCCTATATAGTATACACGAGGAGAGATTTTACTGCTTTTGTGCAAAATAAATTCCACCTTTGCTTTTTTTATAAATTAAATTACAAGTAGAGCAATAATTAACTATGAAACATATCTTTTAGAGTAAAGAGAAAGGTTGCAACGCGGTTGAACTAGATGTTTGGCTCACAAAAGATAACGTACCTATAGTATTTCACGATGAGACGATTGATAGAGTTACTGGAAAGACTGGACTTATCAAAGACATGACATGGGATCAATTAAAGACATTAAATATTACGCACAATTATCCACTTAAGTAAACCGACTGTTCTTCTCGTTAGAAAACGTTTCTGAAAACAGGGCTGAAATTTAAATATAAATTATTTATTTATCGTAGAGATAAGCTTGTCGACGATGAAAAGATTCCATTGCTCAACGATGTATTAGAAATGTGTTCGAACAATGAACAAAGAATAATTATGGATATAAAAGATACAAGAATCGAAGTTGTGCAAGCAATTTTAGATGCGTATAAAAAGTATCCAAAACTGTTTCAAAGAGCAATTGTATCTAGCTTTAATCCTATTGTTGTATATATGGTAATAAAAAAAATAAAAGTATAAAAAAATGAAATTATAAGCGATTCTGATTGATATTAGGTTGACTAAATAATGATTTTTATTGTAGATTAGACGAAAAGAACCCCGAATTGTGGGAAGCCTTGCATGGCGACCGCAATATTTTTCAAGAACTTCGTATTCAGGTTTTGAAGGTCCCGGGCCAGCACGATACAATAACCCATTCAAACACATGGCAGCTTGTTTATTAAATCGTTTATACGAATGGGCGATTTTCCATTGTGTATACTATATTGTGGGCATTTCCGTTATTTTATTACACAAAGACACGCTCAGCCAGTATGTACAGAAATTTCTACATTATTTATAATAGCATGTGAAAAAGGAAAATATTTTTTGTATATTTATTTTAGGCGCGTTGTACAAGAGTGGCATGATCGCGGTATTCGTGTAATGGCATGGACAGTAAACTTACCATCAGAGAAAATTCATTTCTCACGATTACTTAAAGTAACTTATTTAACGGACACATTGTTATATGAAAAAGATATGTAGTATTGTATCGTATATTCTACAAACATGGGTATATTCTATACTATTGGCACGCAGACCATTTAATTCAATAATCTAGTCGATACATCGAAACGATGAATTGTATTTATATATTTTATTACAACAATTTGGCGTTTATTTTATACATAAAAATATTTTTTTATTCTCATTTAAATTCTAAACGTGTAGGTACTAATTCTCGTCGATCAAATGAAAATACTATTCTCTTCTGTATTAACACGTTGCTTTATTGTGTATACTTTTTTTATTAATATATTCAACTTTTATATTAACTTGCATTTAAAATTATGTAAACATAATTTATACTAACGTTACGAAATTTTCAGCGAGAACTTAAAACATGCACAAATTTTAAATTACTTTAGAACCGATAATATTAAGCTAATTATAAGCTTATACCTTAATATATATAAAAAGTGAAATGTCTATCTTTTGAAAAATATGAAATTATTTTAATGACTGCCAGAATTGCACATTATTTCTACATACCATACTTATACTGCGTCATTAACATTGGTATCGATAACTTACAATTAGATATAGTTAAAAATGTTTCGCTTCGCGGACGGAGATATTTATTTCGTAGATATTTACTTTGGAATTGCCGAGCGCTTGGTTGCGATTTAAAAATTTAATCACACTATAGTAGTAAGTTTACTTTTACGGGATTCCATACCTTGAATAAGTCCTGTTAACAAATCTTCCATTTCAGTTGTAGCACGTTTCAATTTACAATTATCATTAGCAACGTAAGAATCTACAATAACAATTTGTATAAATATATTTATTTACGATAAGAACAATTTGTAACACCGAAATGTAATAACTTACCGTCGAGTAAACAGTCATCAGCAACCATATTTTGTAATCTATCTAATATGTCATTTAAGTCACCCTGAATATTTTGTAAACTACTGTGCTGCGAATGTTTGTCTGGCCTCTGAAGAGAAGACGGTGTATTATTCCTATGAATGCCCATAAGAGATTCAGAAATTATTAACGGCGATTCGTTTTCGGTGCTGGCTGTCATAGTTTTCATCGAATACTTTTCTTTCTTGCACCCGGAATCGGTCGAGCCTAACCACTGAGAAAAACCACTAGCGGCAGGACTTATTTCTAATCTCTTTGTTCCTAATAATTAAAAATCTTAACGAATTAACATTATAGTCTATACAGATTTTCGAACAATAAAAATTAATAGTGACAATGTACCTCCGATCCATGTACTGAGTTCTATGCGAGTAGATTCTAGTGTATTACTGAAACTTGAGCTGGTAGACGCTTCTCCAGCGCAAATAACATCGTGGTTTTCTTCGGTGCCGCATTCTACAGATAACGTTGGATTAAAAGTGTTCGTTTGCAGCGTATCTGTATCGTTCGAGTTCGAGATCTGTTCTATATTTTCTTGCCGAATAATTGGGCTCAATTCAAAATTTATAGGTAAAGCAGCTAGCCTCGATGACAAAGGTGGAACCATAGGCGTACTCTGCATGTGATTAATTACTTGAGGTGTGTGAGTTCTATCGGCAAACAAATATTTCTAAAAAATAATTCGTGAAATATTTCAGATTGATCGTTAAAATTTTTGCAATACTATAAATTATTAATTAACAATTTACTTTTAATAATTTTAACCGTTGTAGCTGTGATTCGATAGTAACTCTGTGACGCTGGAGTCTTTCTGCTCTGGTACCCTGTATATCGAGTAATTCGATTTGCAATTCCTTATTTTCTTGCTCCAAATGAGTAATTATGCTCTGTAGCTCTTTTTGTGGATCACTTAGGACTCGTTTTTTCATTGTACCCCTTAATGATTCATTGTCGATGTGTGATATCTCATTGCTACATCAAATATTTTAAGTAGAAGTTAAACGTTTTCCTATGCTTTATATTATACTATTTTTCTCGTGATTAGTAACCTGGTTATATGCGGTGTCTGATCCTCAATGTTCATTTCGATCGACCTGGCAGGGCACAATCTCAATTTGTTCCTTATTAACTCAATAATTAACTTTGTTACTTCTCGATTTGAAGTCTAAAGAAATATTACATGTAACGTTCTGTATAAAAAAATAAGGGATATCGATATACCTTGGTACAAAACTCGCGAACTGGATGCTTCAACTTGTGCTTCCCTGATATTTTACTGTATAAAAAACATTGTTGGCACTGATGATACGCTGTACATTTCAAGCATGTGTACCGTGGTCCTTGAATGGTCGATGCTTTGCAAGAGGAGCATCTGACATTATGTGTAACTATAAAAAAGAAAATATTTGTAAATTTTATACAAATTTAAAACGTAACATAGTACATACTGTTTTCTGCAGATTTCATACGATTAAATGTCGTTATCCAAACAAGCAAAGGAGGTTCTTGCATGATCCATGCTGCGAACTCTGATTCGGTAACTCCAAGGCATCCTTGAGACTATCGTTAAATTTGTTACTCGTCAAGTAAACGTATTTAAAAATTATTATTTTGTTATACCTTTGAAAAACAACTGTCAACGTGTAATTGAATGTTTTGATATCCATACGCAGCACTTTCTCCAAGCATTTCCGTAATTTTACAAATATTTGTTAATAACGTGTGCAAACTAGCTTTGGACAAACACGCATTGTGGTCCGCTAATTGTTGGTAGAAATAACCATATTTCTCTTGCAATCTCCCAGAGCACATTAATATTAAAGCAACTTTCACGGAAAATACCGATACGCTTCTAGTACATTGTCTACAATATTTATTAAATTTATAATAGTTAAATAATATGCAATAAGTGTAAACAACGAAATATCCGCGACGACGTACTTATCAAATGTAGTCAAAATGTAATTTACAGCAAGTTTCGTCGTAAGATCGATATCAAAATTAGTATTATTCTCTTTGCATGCTGCAAAATAAATGTCTGAAAGGACATCTTCAATTTCGCTTGGATCCAAATTTACACAATTTTCTGTGATCGAAAGTCTATGACGTTCAAAGACACCGGCGATTAATTCCAATTGAATGTACTGCACTAGAAAGAAATATAAAACATTACCGGTTGCGAACTTACCAGTGTTTAAGTACTATCGCGATATTAAACTTACTACTAAGTTCTTTGTGTAAAATTTGCATTTTTGCCGCTGTTCTATAAGATGTATACCGAATGGTATTACATTCTCTTATAGATTGCATAATATTTTGCATCTTTAAGTATTTTTTATTTCAGATAACTACCTATAAGAAACAGAATAAATTAATATATATTAAAAATTTCTTTATTATTTATTAATTTCTTACGTTTTTATCAAAATTGAAAATAATTATACGAATGAGTTCAAATTAAGCTAGTTCCAATGGACATTATAATCCTTGATCCTCAACGGCATTATAATATTGAAACATAATGTTTAATTGTAATACTCGTACTTTTAAACATTTTCACAGAAAAGTTCAAGTCCATAGAATCTGAAAAAGATCTTGTATTAATTGCAACGTTGAAAGTTTCAAATAAAATCGAACATTTAATGCTATTAACACTTTCAATTTAATAAGTGGAAGTAGAATGGTTTTATAATTTTTCTATTCCCCATTTTGCAATTAAATAGAACCAGAACGTGAATAAAACTTTTAAGATTTTACGTTACACTAAGGATACTGTTGCGATCTTACATAATTATTATTAACGACTTAATTGTTCCCGAATGAAAAATTATAACAAATATCTTACTCTCTGACATTGCAACGTAATTTTACAATTTAAATGGTGATACATGTAAACAAAATAATGTTTTCGTAAGTTTAATCATGGATAACGAAGATCAAAGAAGAACAACTCCTTCGATGGTTTACTGATTTTGCGAATATTCAAAGATAAATTAAAAATTTTATTTGACCAGTACTAACTAATTATAACTCTTTTAAATTATATCGACTATGCAAGAATATGCATGTCGACAATATTGTATAAAAAATCTTCATATTTGAAAATTCATGTTCTCATTTAAAACGCGCCTTGCTATTAGTCAATCTGAAATATAACCCCACTTTTGTTTAAGATTCAAGGAAACGTGATTAATATTCTGACATTTATCTTCTTATGAAACATTTGTTAATAACTGTAAAGAAGTAAATATTACAAAATAGACGATCATTATGTCTGAACAGTTCGACGAGGGTCAATTTAGCGATGCTGATGAAACTGAAATATCGTACGTAAATTTAATTATATTTTCTTTAACGATACATACATGTTCCAATATTTTATTATAGATTAGGGACGTACAAAGGACAACCATTGTTTCATTCTCATCTTTCTAAAAATATGGATAAGTTAAATATCTTTAATAGTGAAGAGGAAGAACAGGATGACGATGACGATGATAATGATTTAAACGACGGTTGTTTCATATGGGATATAGATAAGAACAGAGCTAGAACAAAAGATCTTATCGTAAAAAATATTCAAGCTAAAAGTGTTAACGCTCAAAACATTTCCAAAAAGGTTACCAATTATCAGCCATCGGATAAATTGTTTCGTCGTTATGCGAATAAAATCAATATCGAAAAGTACGAAGGACCGTCTTTACCAGGACACGCGGCAAATCTTCTTATCGAAAATGACAAACGCATAGAAAAGGATAGGTTTAGAACCAAAGACAAACACGATCGCGCGACCGTTGAACAAGTTTTAGATCCACGTACAAGAATGATATTATTTAAACTTTTAAATCAAGGTATAATTGCAGAAATCAATGGGTGTATATCGACAGGGAAAGAAGCCAACGTTTATCACGCGACGTCGAAAACAGGAGTAGAGTTTGCGATAAAAATATATAAAACGTCAATTTTACAATTTAAGGACAGAGATAAATATGTCACCGGTGAATTTCGTTTTCGTCATGGATATTGCCGTCATAATCCACGTAAAATGGTACGAACATGGGCTGAAAAAGAATTTCGAAATTTAATACGTCTTCAGCAAGGAAAAGTAACTGCGCCGAAACCAATTTTATTACGAAGTCATGTACTACTAATGGATTTCATAGGTACTGACGGTTGGCCATCGCCTAAACTGAAAGATGTTGTTCTTACGTCATCTAAACCAAGGAAACTGTACAGAGAATGTATAGAAACAATGTGGAAAATGTATAATAAGTGCAAACTTGTTCACGCAGATTTAAGCGAATATAATATGCTGTATCATGATGGGTCAATTGTAATAATTGATGTATCACAGGCAGTTGAACACGATCATCCTATGGCACTTGAATTTCTTAGAAAAGATTGTACAAATATTACTGGTACGTGACAATAAAAATTGTCAATATAAATGTCATATTTATGAAGAATATAGTGCACAACTTTATATCATGTTTTTAGAATTTTTCAAGAAGAACGAAGTAGGCGTGATGACCGTCAAAGCATTGTTTGACTTTATAACAGATCCAACGATAACCGAAGAGAATATGGATGACTATTTAGATAAAATTTCAGAACAAATGGCACAACATAACGAACAAGAAGTAGATCCCAAACAGCAATTAGAAGAACAAGTATTTAAGCAAGCTTACATCCCTCAAAACCTAACTCAGGTACTATCAAAGAATAGCAGAATGTACGTCTACGTAACAAGCGACATGTGTGAACTTGTATATGTATATTAATATTCACAGGTATACATTTTAATATAAGCATGTTTAGGTCATTGATATCGAACGGGATATAAAGCTTGCTAAATCGGGAAAAGAAGATTTAATATACAAGACCCTCGTTGGCTTAAAAGCAGACTTATCCAAGCCCATTGATACTCCCGAAATTCTCGCGTCAAATTCCAAGAAAATCAGCGATACGGAGGAAAAGGATGATTCTTCCGAAGAAATTGATAATTCTGAAGAGGATGAAGATAGCGACGAGGAAGGTGTTTCGGATGGCGAGAAAAAATTTGTGAATTCGGCTCGGCCTCGAAACGAAAGTTTAGAAAGTAAAAAGGTAACAATTTTGTCAGAAGATTTTTAAAATTTTTCTATTCGTTTAAACGTTAACCGAGTAGATTTAATTTCAGGCGCGAAAGAAGGCAGTGAAAGAACAGCAGGCTGAAAAAAGGAAGACTAAAATGAAGAAACATATAAAAAAGCGGAAAGAGAAGGTTCTAAAGAAAAAATAATAGCTGAAATATTTTTGTCAGGGAGATATTCCCAAAGGAATATGAAGAAGTTGTACAAAAGAAATAATGTTTCATTTTTTTTGTTTCATTTTTCCAACATAGGAAAGTGGGCATAATAAAATTGTGTTTCCTTTGTATCAAGGAAAGTAAAAAGTAATATAACCTGTCCCGTATATGTATCGGAATTTAAGTTCTTCTCAACTAATTAATCGATTAATCGATTCTCTTGAACTAATCGCTTTCGACGATTAAACTAATCCTAAATTGCTAATAACAATTCATGATTAAATGAATCATTAATTTTTTCAATATTGTATTGTTCGATAAGAATAAGTTCACCAATCGCTGTGGGACGATTAGCTATTATCAATTTCAATGGAAATTATCAGAATTTATCCGAAGTTGCGAGAATATCAGTTATTCTCCACCCACCACTCTGTTCGTCGTTAATAGTGTCGCCATCTGTGCACCCAATTACGCCAAATTTGGCCACACTGACTGGAGATACTATATACACACATAGTGTTTACTTTAAAATGTATCATACAATTCGTAGATGCATATTACGATCAAGCTTCAAAGTATTATTTAGCAATAGAAAATTTCGACAAATACGTTTGAAACGATCAAAATAATGGCAAATTATTTTGGTACTATTATAAATACATACACTTATATTTTGTACAAATAATATGAATTTTCCCCTTACACGTGTGCATTATTGTACAAAAATTTTACATTTTGTAAGTTTTGTTTCTTTAATAATTATTACGTTTATATTGTTTTATGAAATCAGAAAGTGCGAGGATAATGAAGGAACGTGAAAAATTTCTCACAACGGGTTGCTTGAAATTTGATGCACTGCTTCAAGGTGGTATCACTACACGCGGGATTACACAAATTTACGGGGCGGCTAGCACGGGGAAAACTCAATTGGCTTTACAACTATGCTTGACCGTACAATTACCCGTAGCAGAGGGTGGTTTTGCTGCTGGTAATATTTAAAAATTTCATGTTTCGTAATATAAAAACTAAGTTACAAAAAAATAATTTTTAAACATTATATGTAAATTTAACGATTAATATAGGCGCTGTATACATTTGTACCGAATGTGTTTTTCCATCAAGACGGTTACAGCAATTGATAAAAAAATTAGAACCCGCTAAGAAACATGGAATAAACGGTGACTTAATATTTGTGGAACATGTTTCATCTATTGTAATAATAATTTCATTTTCAAGTAAATTTTAAAAGCTGCTGAAATGATACTCGATGTTGCATCCTTACAGAATGAATTGGAAATATGTTTGCTTCATAGAATTCCGATATTAATGTCCGTATACAAGATAGGATTGATAGTTGTAGATTCAATCGCTGCTCCGTACAGAGTAGAGGATTGGAACGACGAGTCTAACAATAGGGCAAAGAGTTTAAGAACAATTGGGCGTCAACTACATAAATTATGCGGAAACGAAGTGTGTGTAGTTTGTATCAATCAGGTAAAACGGAATATCGTTTTCATTACCATATCCGATAGCTCGATATATTTTTACCACTTTATAAATCATTTATGTATAGGTAACAGCAACTGTTCATAACAGTGTGCTTAACGATAATTCGAGCGAGCGACCATCGTTGGGAACAACATGGCTGAGCATGATAACCAACTCCATACAGTTTTATAGGATAGATTCTCTGAGATACGCTTGTGTAAAATTGTCATCAAATCTGCCAGAAATAATTATTCCGTTTGAAGTACAAGGATCTGGTGTGAAAGCGATAGAGCAAATAATACAAAATAAATTTAAAAACAATTAGAGTATTAGTTTTATTGCATAAGATTATAAATATCTGAAAATATATTTTCGTCCAAGACTCGGGCAATATTTGTCGGCGACCATTGATTTCTTGGGTCAGAAGCTTGAAACGGATCTATACTTCTTACGTCTAAGTTTTCGATATCATTATTTAGTATCAATCTTGAAAGATTAATAAATATCAATATTATTATGGAGATGGGTGAACATTAATGTACAATGCATAAATATAATACCTGAAGGAGTGAAGAAATGTTCTATAAGGTTCTATATCTTTTCTTTCGCTGTATGTGTAATCCCCTACTACGGTATGACCAATATGAGAACAATGTACTCTCAACTGATGCCGTCTTCCAGTCTCAGGGCATAATAACACTTTTGTAGCCGGTTTTCCATTTCTAAAACCTTGTTCCAGTACTACAAGGACTGTACAAGATTTCCGTGGTTTTTCACAAAATATGTTATCGCCGATACACATTTTGTGGTTCCCTTCTTTCTCTCTTATATCAATTCCTGATAAAGGAACATCGTTATAGATAAATTAGGCCTCCATCGAGATATTTAATTTAATTACTAACCGATCGCTTTGTCTATTACAAGGTGAGGTTCGTTAATATGACCATGAAGCAATGCCAAATAAAATTTCTTTGCTATTCGCGATGCGAATGCGTTCGAAGCAGCTCTCGCTGCCTTTTTATTTAATGCGATACATATAACACCACTGGTTGCATAATCCAATCTATGTACAAAATGATATTCATGAAATAAATTTGGATTGGCCAAATTTGGTAAAATTTTTTTTAATTCAGATTGAAGGGTATTCTAAAAATTCAAATTGTACGTCAGTGTAACAAATATATCTTCACGTTTACGAGTGAAGATATATTACAACCTTTCTATACCTTTTTCTCTGGATTATTGCTATTAATGTACATATCGTATGGTTTCGAAACTACTAAAAAATGTTCACTGTGATGCAACACGTCTACATAATTCCCACGTTTAATTTGCAATAAATCTTTCAGTTGTGATTTCAACAACTTTATAAGAATTTGTGTCAATCTTAGGATAAATATGCTACAATTGTATAGTACTTTATTTATATTCGCTATGTACAACATTCTATTTTTGTACGTGAACTTGTACATTTCGGGTTTCGTATTTTGTAAACAAAATATAAGACGGGTACGGTGTGGCCAGATCTGGCATTATTGAGTGCATCGACGTCGACATTAATAACGATGAACTTCCTTAGCATTCAATGGAGTGGTGGGGATAGCAGGATCATGCTACTGCATGAGCGACGTGTACGTAAGCTCGACACTTCGTACAAATTCGGGAAATAGATAAAGAACGCTAGTGTGAGCCTTTCCTTCTTCCTCTTGTAACAGCTGAAATACGATTTCAAGTCTCGACTGCCCCCCACTGGGGGAGTGATGGACATTCGTGTGAATTTTGGACATGCGCATTAGAATTTTCTCTCGTGGGATTCCTTTTTGCGCATGCGTCAGCTTTCTGCCATAGATGTATCTTTAGCAAAACTTGGAATCGTATTTCAGCTGTTGCAAGAGCAAGAAGGAAAGGCTCACACTGGCGTTCTCTATCGATTTCCCGAAGTTGTGCGAAATACCGAGCTCACGTAACATATCTCGTGCGGTAGTACATGCCTGCTATCCCCACCACTTCGTTACACGCTAAGGACGGTCGTCGTCACTATAGTCGACTTCGATGCACTCAATTACGCCAGATCTGGCCACACTGGGTGCGCATGCCCCGTGCATAAGTCGTGTTGCCAACTACTTCCGGAACGAAGGATCGTCCATTTTTCTGTACACGCGCAATGGGTGAAGAGCCATTTTGTACGGAGCAGCAACGTGGCAACCGGCGTGCCCGGTATTCTTGCTATCATGAATATTCGTGAGTATCATTTAGTTACACGCTACTTTTAAATCTCTTTTTCTACATGCGTATAGCTGCGAATGACCGTGTATGTTTATGTTATCATCGGGTAATGTACACACGTTATTCACGATTCGGCTATGTTATTGCCTAGCCCATCATTCGGTCTTAAACGTTGCGTTCAGTGTATTCGTTCTAATTTCATGTTGCAGTCTTAACGCTGTGTACTTCATGTACAGCAACGATTTGTAATCCGTAGATTTGTTGTAATAAATTTTATATGTGATTTTAGTCGACTCGAAAATTAACCCTTTCATGTACAATTGCTTCAGATATTTTCACTCACACCACAGCCGCTAATTCGTACAATGTCGTTTTGTTGCCCGAATTAGATTTAATTCGATCGAAATTCGTTAATGTAATTCGTATTTATAACTTTTACTGTTAAAAGTTTTCGATACTTATCTGATTTAACCTACACGGTATTATGCTTTCGCAAGAGCAAAGTAAATGTTGATTGTAAATGAACGTACTAATAAATAAAATGCTCGGCCAAAGTCAATGTTATGTTGTATTTCAGCCTTAATATTGTTAATCGCGATCACGCGTATAACAATTTGTTTATCAGCCAACGAAGTGCACCAGTCAACGAATTCGCACTTAACAGCAGCTGATAAGACTCATTTTAAAAAAATCCTACAACCGGGTTTAACGTCAAACGATATATCCGTTGTACATTATGCCGTTCAAGGATATAAGCTTCTTGGAGAAACTATATCGAATCAACAAGTAAGAATCTTTGCAACTTATTTTGGTCGCATATGTTTTGTATATTGGACGTATCAGTTTACTTTTTAAATCTAAAAATGAAGGATTCCTCTTAAGGGCTTCCCGTTTAAATGGAACTGTTAGATGCAAAAATGCTTATATTACTCCTAACATGAACTTTCGTACAAAACTAATTAAAAGCTACAATTTACCTGTATTAAATTTCAACGTGTTTTTGTTAGTATCGTTAGCGTATATCGCATTGTATTTAATCGGAAAGAAATTTTTCTTCCGCTTGTTTTTTCCCCTCTGTGTTTACTTATGTCTCCTTCGATCGTAAGATAATAAGAAACATCTGGCGAAAGTTTTGTACAAATTGATTCAGCGCTTTCTGAGTTTAACTCGCAAAAACAAATGTACAAATTTTATCTCGCTTCTTTAACATGATGAATAATGCAAATATTTGAGAAACACAATGATTCTTTGATTAGTCTTTCTGATAAAAGAGTTAATCTCTTAAGACATTTCAAACATCTCCTGGCGTTGGTCTAAATCAAATTTGTGTGCTCTCAGGATATTTGCGATGACTTGACGAAGATCGCAAAGGACGGCAATGACGTTACTACAGAGAAAGCATTTTACATTGCGTCTATATGGAAAACCATTGGAAACTGTAAAAACAGTCCTGCTCCGATGATCTCGAAGGTATAAACTAATAGGAATTTTTAGTTTTAACGAAAAGGAAAAGATTATATTTTCGTTTCACAATAATGATGTTATAAAACTTTCGTTCTACTGCACTGTTACTGTGAAGATAGCTATGTTTACTGAATGAAAATTTTAATATAGACTCTTTAATATAGTCTGTTCGGTGAGAGATGTTAATGTATACGTTTTTCTCCGGATAGGTGCTCTCGAGCACGATAGACAAGGATGGCGCCACTATGCAGGAACTGCATTTTGCAGTAAATGGATTGACCGCATTATCCGAGAAACTACCGCGCGAGAAAGTTGAAAAAGTAGTAAGGACGATACTATCTATGTTACGAAAGGACGATAATCTATGGAAGTACGATCTATTTCATTAATATTTTAAACAAAAGGCTGCGTAACTCGAGACAAAACTTACAAAAGTATGAATGTTTTACGAGCAGTTTGGGTTACACTTTCCACATCGCGTCAGACCTAGGAAGCAGCGGTGCGTTTGTTTTGGATCGTATCGAAGATGTCGTTATCCAAGCCGACGAAGTAGACGGACAGTACTTACAGTTCGAGGGTGGCCTCTCAGTGACCAGTAAGCATAAATTCATTCCTACCAATTATGCGGCTAATTATGTAAAACAGATTTCTAAATGCATTTTTCGCGCTCAATTTTCCAGGTTTCTTAGTGAGCGGCATTTTAAAACTCTCCACCGCTCTGAAGGAAAAACCGCCACTGACCACTCAACAAACCGTTAAAATGGCTAATTATTTCCTTTCCCGGCGTTCCGTGCAGACACCAAAAGGCGTGGCGAATTTACTTTCAGCGTTAACGACTATGGCAAACAGTAATATCGAAAAACCAGTTTGCGTAAAGTTAGCCAACGAAGGAATCGATATTTCTGTCCAGCAGCCTTTAGTCACAGTAAAAGTTTGCGATTTCCTCGGTAATCCGGTGACCGGTCTGTCCAAAGTGATCGCGAATTCGGCAACGCGTGTTGGAACCGACGCGGCTATTTTAAGCAAACAAAGCTTGCAAGCTTCGCCGACGGATGTGTGAGTACACAAGTTGTACCATATTTTCCCCCAAAACTTTACCGATTCCGTTCCATTTGTGTCGAAATTGGTTATACATTGGGGTACAGTAATATACGTCAATTTAACCCTTTGACCTTTTTTATTACGATCCAAGGAAGATCAAGAAAATTGGCGTACAGACTTGCTTCGTATGTTCGCAAAGATTTAATATTTACTCTCGCTTTAATCCGTGTTTCAGAACATTGTATACTCTTAATCTTATGGAAGCTAAGCCAGAACGCGGTTTCTATAAGATATCTGTTGCCGCGGGATCAACCACGAACACCGTCACAGTAAAAGTTCTTTGCCAAGTAGTAGTCGACTATTTGGAAATTGGAACGGGCGATGCCGATCAAACCACTCAACCGAAACTTGCACGGTAATATCTACTTGGCTAACTTTCCACGCGTTATGGAAATATACACGATTCTAGAGGCCAAAATAAGACGAAAATTCTCTTGATTGAGGCTTCCTTAAAAAGTTATTAAAAAATTAAATTAAAATAGTTCAAATCATTCTGGAAAAATTATTTACGTTTGTGGGGGTCAATTATAATCATTTTTGTTGAATAGACACACCTTCGAAATCCTACGCATTCTCGAGAAAAAAATTCAGGAAGGTAGACAAATTTCAGCGGAATTAAAATATTTCAAATCATTCTGGAAAAATTATTTACGTTTGTGGGGGTCAATTATAATCATTTTTGTTGAATAGACACACCTTCGAAATCCTACCCAATTTCCAGAAAAAAATTCAGGAAGGTAGACAAATTTTCGGCGAAATTAAAATATTTCAAATCATTCTGGAAAAATTATTTACGTTTGTGGGGGTCAATTATAATCATTTTTGTTGAATAGACACACCTTCGAAATCCTACGCATTCTCGAGAAAAAAATTCAGGAAGGTAGACAAATTTTCGGCGAAATTAAAATATTTCAAATCATTCTAGAAAAATTATTTTCGGTTGCGGGGGTTAATTACAATCACTTTTGGTGAATAGACACACCTTCGAAATCCTACGCATTTTCGAGAAAAAAATTCAGGAAGGAAGACAAATTTTCGGCGAAATTAAAATATTTCAAATCATTCTGGAAAAATTATTTACGTTTGCGGGTGTTAATTACAATCACTTTTGGTGAATAGACACACCTTCGAAATCCTACGCATTTTCGAGAAAAAAATTCAGGAAGGTAGACAAATTTTCGGCGAAATTAAAATATTTCAAATCATTCTGGAAAAATTATTTTCGATTTCGGGGGTCAATTACAATTATTTTTGGTGAATAGACACACCTTCGAAATCCTACGCATTCTCGAGAAAAAAATTCAAAATGGGAGACAAATTTTCAGGGAAATTAAAATATTTCAAATCATTCTAGAAAAATTATTTTCGGTTTCGGGAGTCAATTACAATTATTTTTGGTGAATAGACACACCTTCGAAATCCTACCCAATTTCCAGAAAAAAATTCAGGAAGGTAGACAAATTTTCGGCGAAATTAAAATATTTCAAATCATTCTGGAAAAATTATTTACGTTTGTGGGGGCCAATTATAATCATTTTTGTTGAATAGACACATCTTCGAAATCCTACGCATTCTCGAGAAAAAAATTCTCTACCGAAAATATACTCTATGGCCGGAATGTTTGTATAACTTTTTAACAAATTATTTTTGCCTCTAGACTATCTTATTAAAATTTTTCCCAGAGGTGGCTCAACACCCTGTATATGGTTAACATCTTGATGTATGTTTCGTGTTGCTTACAGAGTGACTTATCCGGAGAAACTGACCAATAAGATAGAAGCTGACTCGCAGCAAAAATTGGTGATGCGATTTTTGCTGAGGGACGGCGCCAGTAAGAAGCCAATGCGAGCACATCAAGCTTTCGTGCGACTATCTTCCGCGTCAGTTTCGAACGATGGAAAACAGGGCCATGAAATTTTATTCGTGGCCGAGCCGGATGCATCGCACGTCTACAAATTCGACATGGTAATCCCGTGTTTCGATCGTTCGTCGATCCCTACGATCACCGGTGAAATAATTTGAAAAACGTGGATGGTATTTTCGAAATGTTTCAGCCGGTCGGATCTGCAGCCGCGAACTTCGATCATCAGAGCGGAGACTACAACGTAGAATTAATCGTGGGCGACGCCATATTGAACAATCCCTTCCAGTGGAAAGTAGCGACGGTAACGTTAAAATTCCCCGAATTGACTTCGACCGAGCGAGTCGATAAGAACATCGCTTACAAGCACAAGTCCGATATCTACTCGACCAAACCGGAGATAAAGGTAAGATGCTTCTGTTCTTTTCGTGTTTTGTTGCAAATTAAATAAACCAATGCTCGTTAGTGATGGCAATTCGCTCGAGATTCTATCACCTCCTTAACATTGGTAGAAAAAATATCGAATGCATATTTATTCTATATTTTTCAAGCGAAACACTTGGAATACCATATTCATTCGTACACGGATATTAATTTGCAACGTAGACATCCTTTGTTCCGTAAAATTGTTTGCTGGATCTTTGGTACTCGTATGTTTCAGCACATGTTCCGCGAGCCAGAGAAAAGGCCTCCCGCCTTTGTCTCCAATCTATTCACAGGTTTGTGCTTAGCACCGGTTCTCTTGTTGCTGATTCTATGGGCTGAACTTGGCGCGAACATATCGAACTTTCCATACTCGGTCAGCGCTTTCACGTTCCACATTGGATTGGGAAGTAAGTACATATATTTCACTTCGTAAATGAGGCAATTCGTGCAGGCGTGTGCCCGTTACTCGACAGATTGTGTCGTCTCTGCGCAATTTGCCCCACATTCGGGCGCAAAGAAAAGGTGAACGTTTCGCAAATGCAAGTGTTATGATATTGCATTTGTAGCCCAATATTCGCGACACCGTTTCCAGAACCATAGCTTTACGCATAAAATATCAACGTTATTCGAGCATCGTTAATTTATTCTCTTTTCCGCTTTCAGTTATCTTCGTGCATTTTGGAGTATTTTGGCTGAAACTCAACATGTTCGTCACGCTTCGATACCTGCTCAGTTTCGGCGTAGCCACGTTCCTCAGCGGCAATGAAATGTTATCGCACATAGCCCGTAAACGTAAATCACGTTAAGTCGCTGGAACATCGCGATATTCCAACATCAAAGAGATCCAATTGTCCGGCAAAAGTGAACACGGAGGAGAACACGCAAAAGACACACGGTTGTCGAATACGAACAAGTGTCGCGGGACGAGACCGAAGGAAGAAGTAAACAACATTCCGTCGCTCGCTGTTCACGTTTTGTCCATTAAATTTTTATCACGCTAATTTAATCAAGACTTTTTATAATAAATGAAGTTTGTTGCGTACGGATAAGAAGCAATAATTTTTTTGTAGCGATTACTTGTGATTACTGCAAAATCAGACATACTATGGAAACTCACTACTATCGTAGCCGTCAGTTTTATTTATTAAAAACCAAGTATTCTCCACACACACATGTAACGCGGCAATTACGAGTGTAACACGTATATCGCGGGAGTATATAAAAGTTTCAAATTAATAACCCGTGAGAGCTTTTTGCATACTTCGCTATTCTTCGTTCCAGCATCGATGATCGTACGTGTGAATGTAAATATATACAATTATCGTTTTTAATAAATTACGTCAATATAAACGATTCCATTAAGGCCACATACAAAGACAAATCTCTCGTTTGTATTAAAAGATCTCTGGGAAAACGATTAGGTTGTTTCAGTAGGGTTCCCTTACACACTTTGTTTGATCAAACGTGGGCGTTAATGTCTCGTTCGTGAACCAGCGTTTCACATAATTTTGTAGATCGTACGATCGCGTTACTAATCGATTCCTTTCTACGCGTAATTCTTCGACGATTATTTTAACGAGGCCTAACCGGCGCCAGAAGTTCTCCAAATTTGTAAAGTCTGCGATCTAAAAGAAAAACATTTTCAAATCATTTTTCCTATGTGGACGTAAGGTAACAAGAAAAAACACACGAGTAATATGCAAATTAAAGGTTCTGACTAGATCAAAGGGAAAAGTATCGTCCTCGGGCTTAGCCAATTGCGTTGGAAGCACAGAATGATCAGCCACGGGTGGAAGTATTTTCTCATCTTGCGTTTCGTACTTTCGACACGTTTGCATGCATCCGAGTATGCGTTCAGCTTTTATCATCAAGCTCTTCAAGTGTTTCACACTATTGTTGTATACTCTGGACATCGTCATTGTTCTAAATTTATCGTTATTGCGACCTGGTGAATGGGGTCAATCCGGTTTTATTTACCCAAGTTTTACGCCACGAATGAATTATACAGTAATCCCCCTTATAACACGGTTGATTGGTACCGCGTTGTACGAGTGATGGACATTCGTACTAGAATTTTTCCTCGTGGGATTCCTTTCCAGTGCGCATGACCAAAGTTCCCACAAATGTCCATCACTGCTTCCGGCTACGCGACCGCGACGGTGTCGCCACAGATATACGTATAATCAATGTTCTTACAATTCAAAAACTAGGAATACAAATTTAATAAAACAATATAATTTTATTTTATAAGAACACGATTGACACAATGTGCAAACGTACGCGAAATTGATTATGAAATGAACTGTACAAATCGTTATAAATTTCACAGTACAGAAATGTGACGTGGGAAATCCCCGCGTTACATGAGGGAAACCACGTGTTATAGGGGGGATTACTGTATTTGTCCTCGTTAAATAAGGAGATTTACCAAAAATAAAATGTTCGTTCGCTTCTCGATACGCGATCTGAAAGAAACGTGACTCCTGTACAACGTCGTGCAGCTCGTTCGCCACGTTGCTCTTGTAAAGATTAATTTTATCGCGATATCTGGCGATCTCCTCGAGGAGATAAGAGATCCGTAGACTCTGTTCGATTATCATTTGCCGATCCGAGTCGTCTTTTCTTCGGATGGCGTTGTAAGCTCTTCGACGATCTTCGGTACCTGTTGGAACGAATGTTCGCCAATTTACGGGATCTTTACCATCGGAGCGTTGCAATACTTTTCCGATAGTCTAAGAAAACGCTCCGCAAATTATCCCAGAGATCCTCGAGTTGTTTCTGAAGCTGTGCCGCGGTCAATCTTCTCTCATTTTTCCCGTCTTCCGCGAAAGCGTCGACCTTACCTTGAAATTAACATTTCTTTCGAATAATCAATTTTTTCTATATCAAAAGATTTAGAACAGCGCTAAAATGGAAGATCCATAGTCTTACTTATCGCGTTACTTCTTGCAGCGGTAAACGCATTCTCGTTCCGAAGATTCACGAGCAAATTGATTTTCACTAACAGAGCCTCGTCCTTGTTTCGATGATAATTGATATTTTCGAAATCGTAAATTTTGTCCGCGAACGCTGTCTCGATGTTCTCGCGAAAGAAAGCGTCAACGCCTTTTAATCGCGTCTCGTGCGTTTCTAAAGATCGATCGATCGTCTCCGCGTGAGCGCCGTCGGCCTTTCGACGTTGATCCTCGGTTTCTTGCAAACCATCCAACAGTAAACTGATTCTGCGAGCAAGTGTTGAAAACGTGCACTCGACGATTCGGATTCGTGCCCCATGTAGGGACAATCATCAAATTGCATTACTCCAACACTTCTGTTAAAACTTTACAATAGGTTATTGATCTAATCAACAGATTATTATTTATTACGCATTTGATAAACAAACAGACGTTCCACTGATCATCACAAAAGTTTCAGCCGTCTCTCTTGTGCACTTACTTCTTTACTATGTAACTTGAGTTAGCAAGTAATGTCATAAAACTGTTATACCCCTTTTTACCTGAAGTATAAGATAAAAAGTACAGCTAGATGTACTTTTTAATTTCCCTACAGGCCTCCGCTGGCCTCTGCTGACCATTACTGATACTTCTGACAAAGTATAAGGATTGATACTTGCTACTGTCAGCCTCTGCTGGCCTCTGTTGACTGCTGCTGACCACTCCTGATAGTTCTGACACTGTATAAGGATTAATACTTGCTATTGCTTGCCCCTGCTGGCCTCTGCTGATCACTCCTGATACTACTGATAGTGTACAATGATTACTACTGGCTTCTTCTTGCTTCTGCCAACCTCTGCTGGCCCCTGCTGACCACTGCATCATTATACGCTGTCAGTAGTATCAGGAGTGATCATCGGAGGCCAGCAGGGGCAAGCAATAGCGAGTATTAACTCTTATACATTGTCAGAAGTATCAGAAGTGGTGAGCAGCAATCAACAGAAACCAGTGGAAACCACCAGAGGCTGACAGAAGTCAGTAGCAATCGTTATATGTTGTCAGAAGTATCAGGAGTGGTCAGCAGCAGTCAGCAGAGGCCAGCGGAGGCCTGTAAAAAAATTAAAAAGTACATGTAGTCGTACCTTGTACATCAGGTAAAAAGGTGTGTAACTGGGTAAAACAGTTTCATGACATTACCTGCTAACTGAAGTTACTGTTCGAAAATTAAACGCCATGTTTGTACTTGAAAGAATATTCGGCTGTATCCTTTTAAAATTAAACATCCAACCCATATTTTGGCATATAATATTTATTATTAATTACTTTCTGCGACAATTAATTCTTCTGTTTTGTTCATATTATAAAAATAAGAACACTTATATAGGAATAATAAAAAATTTCTTTTTTTTCAATAGTTAAAATATGAACAGGGGGTCTTGAAGCGTGTATTTCCGTGAAGAAAATTTCACGCAATTTTTGTTTCATTATGGTACTTCGCTTATGAGCATAACGGGTCATCCCTCACGCGGCACAAATCCGTTTCACCGAGAGTACAATACGATCGTCGTACAATTCGCAAGAATATGATAATCGTTTATCACAGGACGAGTCTTAGACTCGTTTACCTGTAGTCCTTGAGATCGAGGGCATGGTCCAGAGTCTGCCAAGCTACTTGAACCTTTCTCTCGATATCCGGCATTGTCATTCGCATGAGAATTTCGCGCCAAAGCCGTCGATAACGATCCGTGTTGAAAGCGCTGAGCTTTATCTCGCGAGCCAGCGCTTCCCTCTTCAAATCTCGCGCCTCCGCCGGCTTGGCGCGGCGTTGTCTTCGTTTCCGTTTTGGCGGCATTCTCGTCTAATCGGTTTCCCGCGAAACAAAGCTTCGTCCACCTTTTTCTCCCGTCAATCACGACTCTGCCACTCTTTACACTAGTTCGACGTTCGCCGTTATTACATTTTTTACCGGTCGCAACTTGTTTCGAACTTTCGAGACAAAGGTCGTGTCGATCGTTCGATTATCGTACGATACCAACGGGAATTCCGAGACGTTCCTTATCTGATTTCTCACACGCTCGACGAGCTATTTTTATTAGTATTTCTGTGAAATCCAGTAATTCGTGTATCTTATGCTAATTAATAGCTTTTACATACGCGAGTCGTTTGAGGTTATTGACATCCGAGGCTCGTCGTGCCTTCGAGGTCGTTGGTACCTACAACGATTGGAAAGCCCCATGGAAGGCAGAAAAATTGCCCTTGGGTTAGAATTTTTTCAGAAAAGGACACTTTACTATTGGTCAAGATCTCATATTCTATTAACTAACGATCGATGTCGTTGCTGTTAAGAAACCACACTTTACGGTCGGTAAAGCTAGGTTTCTCTCATCGTCGATGTCGCACAAGGACGATCTTTGTGCAGCACAAGGTTGTCCCTTTTCTCACAGGTTACAATAGGGTTACAGATCGGCAGATAACTTTGGAACCCGACCATTTTCTTTAGTTACACGGCGGAAGCTACCGTGACCAACGTAATTCCCGATGCTAATTTCGGAATAAGATATTAAGTCACAGAAAGAAAAAAAAAGAGAAAGAATGCGAAACAGGCGATCACGTAACCTGTGATTTTTTACCTGAGCTAGACGTTTTTTTTTTTTGTTTAGTCGCAAGATGATTTCAAAATTAGAAGACCGGGAGATCGGCGCTTGGGAGGGGCGGGTGGCGAATACGGTCAAGTAAAGAAGAATATTGCTTTCGAGAGGCTGCGAGAGAAGGAGATTCGCGCATTCCGGTTTTAAAAGTGGAGGCGCACGTCACATGGGAGGGATAAAATCTCGTCGTTCCGCGTATAAAAGTCCAAAAGGTGGAAGCGTTCGAATGTTTTGTTCGTTACTAGTGTAAATTCCGACAAGGTAAGAGTCCTCCGATGCACGACGATCTTCGCGTCTTCTCGATTTTCTCAACCCTCTGACGGCCGTTGTCACGCGTACGTGACTTCGCCGCTGTCGCGTATACGTGATTTCACCGTTTCGATCGCAGTGCTATCATTTACTAAACACGTCGAGTCTAATGTTTCACGTTTAACATCGTATCTACACGTTCGTTACAGAATTTGTCAGTAAAGAGTGATAAAACTGTAACAAGAGTGAAAAATCGAACCAAGTGCACGAAACGAGTTTTGATAATTTCAACGCATCAAACAATTGTGTGTCTTTCTATGATGACTTGTTTTACAATCTCTATTGATGGTTTCGGTTGCAATTAAAGTTAAACTTTTTGACAAACAACGATAACGTAATTTTTTCTTTGATTTTAGATGACGTCGCGCTATTTTGTAATACTGAGCGTAGTGCTGTTGCTGATGGAGCACATCCGCGCGATAGATTCGATCCCGTACGAGACAAAGCAGCTCGCTGCAACGGGGAACGACCGAGTCCAAGGGCAAACGGTCAAACTGAATCATCTCGTTCGACGAAAGAGGGCGCCCTTTGGGAAACTGGCGTTGCTCGGCGGGGCTGCCCTCGGAGCTAAAGTTCTTGGCAAGAAGGCTCTTTTGCTCGGCGGGGCTGCCCTCGGAGCCAAAGCTCTTCTTGGCGCTGGTATCGTTGGGGCTGGTTTGTACAAGGCGAAGAAGTGAGTATAGCAATCTGAAAATATTCGACGATTAGTCTATTTAATTATTGGGTTAAAAATTGTTAAAAAATTAATACGATTTTTCTTGGTAATTTCAAACGATGAACCTTCTATTTAGGGATGATTATGCACTAAAAGATGTTTGAAATTCAAACTACCGTGAATCTGAAGATCCTCCTCCGTGCAACGACTTCCTTAAAAGTTCATTTATGATTATTTTCATTTTTTTAAAGGTTTTGTTGTTTCACCGTGTACTGTTATGACATACATACTTTGCTTGTGTAATAGATTTTTTTACCCGCGACTAATCAACTATTCCAGGGTATCGTGGGAGACCTTCACACTACTGGAGAACACGTTCTGCGTCCGATATTTAATTATTACGAGCTGTTCACGCCTCCTGTGAGCATCGAGGCGTTAGCGTCACGGTTTCCTTTCATTGTAGTTCAATGTTAACGTCTATTACTTGGAAACATTGCAGAAATGATTTATAGTCGTCGATTGGAATAGATGCAATTTGCACAATTCTTGCTCGGGGGCGAATCCAATTTCTACCCGACCGTAATTTACTTTTCAATTTCCATAATTGCGTCAATCTTTCTAGTACTAATTATAGGGATGTATTTCTAAGGAACATGAACCTTTTAGAAAATGTTAAATAACCCATTTTTGTTAGTTTTTATTCCAGAAGACCCTTTCGATAGTATTATTTATAAATAATTCGATTTTAATACAGGATGTTCGACCAACCCTGGGAAAAATTTTAATGGGGGATTCTAGAAGCCAAAATAAGACGAAAATCAAGAACACTAATTTGTTGATGGAGGGTTTGTTAGAAAGTTATTAACGTTGAAAGTTCCGGCAGTACTAAATTTTTTTCTCGAAACTGAGTAGGATTTTTGGGGTACGTCTATTCACCAAAAATGATTGTAATTGACCCCCGCAACTGAGAATAATTTTTTCAGAACGATTTGAAATTTTTGAATTTTGTCGAGAAATTTCACACATTCTCGAATTTTTTTCTCGAAAGTGGGTAGGATTTCGGGGGTATATATAATGACCAAAAATGATTGCAATTGACCCCCACAACCGAAAATAATTTTTTTAGGACGATTTGAAATTTTTTTTTCCCGTTGAAAAATTTCATTCCTTCTCGAATTTTTTTCTCGAAAGAGCGTAAGATTGCGGGGGTATATGTAATGACCAAAAATGATTGAAATTTACCTCTGCAACTGAGAATAATTTTTTCAGAACGATTTGAAACTTTTCAATTTCGTCGAAAAATTTGTCCACCTTCCGGAATTTTTTTCTCGAAAACGCGTAAGAATTCGGGGCTTTGTCTATTGACCAAAAATGATTGCAATTCACCCCCGCAACCAAAAATAATTTTTCCAGAACGATTTGTAATTTTTTCCCCCCGTCGAAAAATTTCACACCTTCTCGAATTTTTTTCTCGAAAGTGCGTGGGATTTCGAGGGTATGTGTAATGACCAGAAATTATTGTGATTGACCCCCGCAACCGAAAATAATTTTTCCAGAATGATTTGAACTATTTTAATTTCGCCGAAAATTTGTCTACCTTTCTGAATTTTTTTCGCGAAAATGCGTAGGATTCCGAAGGTATGTCTATTCACCAAAAATGATTGCAATTCACCCCCGCAACTGAAAATAATTTTTCCAGAACGATTTGAAATTTTTTTAATTTAATTGTTAATAACTTTCTAACGAAGCCTCAAACGAGAAATTGTATATTTAACCCTGTATATATTTTGGACATTGTTTAGCTACAGTGGTGGAGGCAGCTACAATGGTGGCGGCAGTTACGCCAGTGGATACACAAGCTACCAAAATTCGTACGTAGTACTTCGTATTCGATAAATCCCTAAAAAATTAAAATTCTAATAATTTTCCCGTTTCACAGCAGGTGGGGTCGATGATAGGCGAAACAGCAAGAAGGGGAGAGAGAAATAGGACCAAAAATCATTTCCACCAGCCGACACACACAATTGGAGGAACACGTCGATCAGGACTTAATCTAAACTCGAGCGAAACGAACGAAAGAATAAATTAGGTTCCATCGCATGGAAGAACATATTTTCCATTCTTCTATCTACGTAATTAATAAAACTTCGTTATAATCAACCAAAAGTTGAATTGTGAAATAATTCCTCTGGTCGTTCCTATGTTCGATACCATAAATTATGTAATTCTATTTTGTAACAATTTACGCGTATAGTAATCACCAGAGAGTACTCGAAACAGGCTCGAGAAACATGTAATTTTAGAATTAAAAGGGAATTACTCTCGCAAATCTAATCAGCGTTCCTTTTACGCAATCGATTCGTCGTTACGTGAACTTGCACTCAACGGGGCACGTACGTATACGTTCGTCTAATCGAAACGTTTAATGGCGTCCTTCGATCGCCATCCTCGAGATCCACGGGCGTTGGGTTTTCACGCCGCCGGTTATTCGCTCGGTGACAAGTCACGCTTCCGTTTAAATAGCTTCTGTACACACATAGTGAATTTCACCGGTGACGCGCGAAGGCGGTAATCAGTCGTCACGGAGCCGGTAAAAATTCCGCTCGAAAACTCGAGTAAGTATTGGGCAACCCGTCTGTTGAAAGGTGAGACACGCAGTAACAAAAAAATGTTGCGAGATGGATCCCCGTCGATGAATGCATAATGAATCGAAACGATGCAAGACCGAACGAAATCGCGACACGCCACGCATCGAGCATACGAACGAGTTTCCGCCATCTTTCATCGTTTTCCTCGTTTTCCCACCAATTTTCCCGCCATTTTGCGATCGCGAACGAACGATCGTGGTCAGTTTTCCGCGATGGTATTCGCGATTCGCGGAAACGGATCGACCCAGTGGGCGTAATCGAACCGAAAACGACGAGATTCATTACGATTCGAGGTTCGTCCAACCTGTCTGCGCACGCGCCATCGCGTTACGTGTATCGTCGATCTCGTTTTCGTCGAATCGCGACGACCCCACCGATTATTCGTATCACGGACCCGATGCGATGCGTTTCGTCACCGATCGAAACGTTCGACGGAAGAGACGAACCGTTTCGACGATTTTGGAAAGTTTCTGCCAACGGATTCCCGTTCACGCAATCCTCGTGTTATCGAACCCGCGCTACGTTTACAGAAGACGAGGCTTTACCTTGTTCTCTTCCGCAACATCGAACGCCTCGGGGCAGACAGAATCGACAGCCTATTTGCATACTCGATTACGCTCAACATAGATCCTTCCTTCTTTTTCGGGAATCTTAACCCTTTGCACTCCTATGTCGAGTGTGATTCAAAATAAATTTTCATCTCAGGAGGTCCTTCGTCTAGTCCCACTCGACATTTTTTCAAGTTCAAACCAAAGAGATATCCGTACACTTGAAAGTTACAAAATGCAACAACAGTGTAAATAAAACAGATATTCTAACAGGTAAATTTCAAATAAAACACTTGAAGGCATTATTAAATTAATAGTTAGTAGAGTTATTAAATATTTAAATATAATTCGGAGTGCAAAGGGTTAATAGGAAGCGACTGTCGTTCGATCGACGTAGGTGTCGCTCGGTATGCAACTCGATGCGCGACAAATTGCATCGCTTAGCGTGGATTAGTGATTCTCAACGTTTTTTGGGGGGGAGCCACGAGGACCAGTCGATCACGTAGATTTTCTAGGGAAGAGGGGGGCACGAGCTGGGGAGATGTAGAAATTGGGCGTTAATCAAATTCCTGAGAAGGCCTTCGAGGAAAGTATTACAGAAACGGAATATCCCGAAGGGCGAGAATTTCTACATTGGAAATATCAACCGTTTGAATCCCAAGGAATATTTAAAAAACACTGTCGAAGAATCCCGAACAGTTTCAGTGTTTCTCTAAATGAGTATGAGAATACCCAAGCACCGCGATAGCGCTTCTTTTATTTTATGTTTTGCACATCTGTATTATTGCATATGTAAGTTTTATGTAATATATGTAATATTATAATATTATAATATATTATAATATATGTAAGTTATACAATTATTGAGAAGATAGCAATGAAATACAAAATATTTTATTTTGTAATGTATTATTGCACTATTATTGTAGTATTGTACCTATTGTGAAATGTATTGTTTACTTTAACACTAGATTTACGGAAGCCCTCAATTTGACGGATGTTTGATTCCATATTTAAAATTGTAGAACGCGTGAATATTATTTTTTAACAACTTGTGTTGAATTTGATTGATGCACTGGCATGAATACATATTCTAATTGAAAGAAAAATTGTATTATAAGGTAATCGTCAACATGAAAGGTATCAATAAATATACGTATGTATGTGCGATCAATGCCCGTAAATCTAGTGTTAAAAGAAGGAGCTGTCTGATGTACAATGTGCTGGGTTTTCTCGACATAAAGTCTGAACAGCGTGAGCACACTGCTTGGGACTCAAACGGTTGAATAGAAACGTTTTGAGCTTTCGATCCAATATGGCGGCTGATTCGAATCCATTGTTACGCATTACGTCTAAGATACGCACAACTCAGGGTACAAATTGGATAGATTCTATGACCAATATTACAATTAGTATCGACTAATAGCGACCAGGAGAATAAATGCGTCTAAAAGTGGGACACGACCTAAAAAGAAGAAAAAAATTGAGCAACACTGGGGCGTGAATTGTACAATCAGCCAGGACGCCGAGAATTTCTAAGAAACGCATGCGAGATGAAAGGAATTGTCATACTCACAAAGTACACATGTTATGTCCACGAAATGCCACAAGCGTCGATTCACCGTCTATTGCCCCATTGGCTCGCGCCACACAGCGTCTATTCATCATACGTGCCGCAGAACCTGGAATTATTCGAATCGGTTTTCTTCTTTCCGTAATTACCAGAAATGACGCGTTGCTGCGTTCAAGCATCGCTATGAATATAATGCAAAGTGTTTGTAAAACATTCACACGAGTCCACAGTATGGGCGCTCTAAAGCAGAAATTTTTTCACAAGCAATAAATATTCTACTACCCTTTCTAGCTAGGTATCATTCGTATCCACATAATTTAGTTTGAAAATATCTTTTGGACTACCGGGTACACCTGATGTTTGTTCTGCGGTTCAGCGTCTTCCGAGTCGAGGCCCGTCTGTGATCCTCATGTAGGTCACTGGACAGTCACGGTGTTAACAACTATATTAACAGAACAAATTACAAGTATATGAAGCTATATTAGTATGGATCAGATGCACTTATAATACTGTTTTATATACATATAATTCTTAACATTCATTTTTATATTTTAAATAATTTCTCTGGGAAAATGTTTACGCTACCTTGTACACTAATTTTTATAGAGAACCTCGGTTTCTGTAGTTCTAATCGATTCACTCTGAAACATGGATGTTATTATTATTACTATTATTACTATTATTATTATTATTATTATTATTATTATTATTATTATTATTATTATTATTATTATTATTACTACTACTACTACTACTACGACTACTACTACTACTATTATTGTTGTTGTTGTTGGTGTTGTTGTCGTCGTCGTTGTTGTTGTTGTTGTTATGATGATGATGATGATGCTGTTGTTGTATCGTCGTCGTTATTATTATTATTATTAGTAGTAGTAGTAGTAGTAGTAGTAGTAGTAGTAGTATTATTATTAGTAGTAGTATTTCTATTATTATTATTATTATTCATTTATTAATGGGTATTAAACCCTTCAGTACAAAGCTGTAATGTGTAATGAACTACAAATGTGGATTTACATAGTCAAACATTATCCCTCAGTGAATGTAACAAAATAAATTAATTTACAATACATTGCAAGGATAATTTTAGACTTTCCAATGATTGTTCAATTAAATCTGTCTTACTGTGTACAAAATTTGCATTACTAATCATTCAAAGGACATACAAAGGAAACAATTGAATAAATATGACCATTGATTAGCTTACTTACAAACATGATATCTGCAATTCTTCTTCTACTGTGCAGTGTTTGGAGATTAGTATTGATAAGTTATCATAATTATGAGACTCAAGAGGCATGGGACTACCACTATATCCAGCAACAATATGAAGAAATTTTTGTTGAACTCTCTCAATATTGTTTATATATGTTTTCTGATAAGGAGACCAAATTATACTGCCATAGTCTAGAACATGTCTCGTTAAAGCACAATATAAAATTTTAAGTGTTTTGGTTTTAATAAAATATCTAGAAACCTTATGAACGAGTCCCAAAGAGCAATGAATTTCAATGTTAGCAATTAATTTCAGTATTTCGAACGACTTCTGTAGGAAACGTCGAGGCTCGCATGTGACGCACCGTACGTGATCGAAATAAGCGCCTCGTATGCTTCTGAGCGTTTCAAAAACACGGATGTTCGACTTGCGTAATTAAACGTTAATCTCTGAATAGCAATCGGCGTTGATCTGGATCGTGTGAATTCGTCGCGAGTGGTTCGTTGGCGAAGACGTTCGGACAAGGAACACGAACACGAATGCGAATAGGATTGCTAAAACGGGTGGGGGAGGGTTCTTGGGGTCCGGTATCGATGGTGGGCGAGTTCGTATAAAAACAAAGGGGGCTGTCGAAAAGTCGTCACACCAACCAAACACACTTTGCACGCTCGAGGATATCCTTAGACACTCGTTACCGAAACCAACGGCAAGGTGAGTAACGGAAACGCGTGCAGTGATAAGTGATTCGGCTCGTGTGGACTTAAATTAACAGCATGGAGGCGTGTTGTGCCTCCGGAGAACGGTACTGCCAAGTAGCAAGTGATTCTACGCCCAAAAATAAAACAGAAACGTAGAATAACATTTTTTCTACAGGGCTTCGTTTTCCAGTTAATTAATTTTGAAACGCTCGAGTTTTATCGTCGGATCTCTCTGTACATAGTACATTAAAATAATAATTTATCGCTCGGTACAGTAGTTAAGCTTGTACTTTCTTTACTTATAATTATTAATTGCTATGAAATTGACGAGCTATACCTGCTGCTTTTAACACTAGATTTACGGGCATTGATCGCAGGTATATTTATTGATAGCTTTCTTGTTTAACTTATAATAAGATTTTTCTTTTAATTAGAATATGTATTCATGCCAGTGCATCAATGAAATTCAACATAAGTTGTTAAAAAATAATATTTACACGTTCTGCAATTTTAAATATGAAATCAGACATCCGTAAATCTAGTGCTCGAATATAAAAGAAATAATACGTGAATTAAATATTCACTTGAACAGAGTGAGAATCACTTGCTCGCGAATGATATCTTTGGAAGCAGTTTTGAAATATTTTTGTGAAAAGTGAACTTTGAAGTTTTTCTTTTAATTGGAGCATTGAAATGGGTTTTGGCAGATGCATCCTGCTAGCTTCGCCCTTCTCGCCATTGTATGTGGCTGCTTCGTTTCGTACATCGTCGCTGAGGATGTCTTGCCAGCGGAGAATCTGACGCCGGTCCTCGACAGCAGCTTCGCCATTCAAACAGAGAACGACGCAAGCGGAGCGACGCTTAACAGGCAAAAAAGGACCCTTCTGTTGAAGAAAAAGCTTCTCGGTGCAGGGCTTCTTGGTTTCGGTTTAGGCGTTGCAAAAGGGTAAGTTATTTGCATAAACTTTACCTTTATAGTTAGACAGAGTCTCATTCTACTCCACTGTTAACCCGTTGACTGAAAAAGTTGTTACTTGACACCGTAAAACCCCATAAAAATGGTCCAATTTTCAAACAGCCATAACTCCTACAATAGTGAATATATTTCAATGAAACTTTTTTCTGAAGTAGAGCACACGGGTACCTACAAAAAAGTATTAGATAACTTTTCTATAGGGCGTCAAACAAAATTACTAAAAATCAAAAACGAATTCTTAAGTCCCTAAATTTTTCGGCGAAATTGAAAAGATTCAAATCGTTCTGAAAAAATTATTTACGGTTGCAGGGGTCAATTGCAATCATTTTTGGTCAATAGACATACCCCCAAATTCTTACGCACTTTCGAGAAAAAAATTCAGGAAGGTGGACTAATTTTTCGACGAAATTGAAAAATTTCCAATCGTTCTGAAAAAATTATTTTTAGTTGCGGGGATCGATTACAATCATTATTGGTGAACAGATACACCCTCGAAATCCTAGGCATTTTCAAGAAAAAAATTCGAGAAGGTGCCTGAATTTTTCGACGAAAAAGAAAAATTTCAAATCGAAACCGTGTTGTACGAGGGCTACCTGTATTTAATTTTAAATTTGTTCCAGTACTTACTCCTGTCCTATTCAGATTCATTTTCGTCAACAACTGACCATAAGAATTAATTTTTTTAGCTCCTCGGTGCAAAGTCCTTTGTTTCAAGAATTATAATGTGCTACTGATGAAAAAAAAATGTATATCAAGTTAAATAACGACGCTTTCAACGCCAACGCATCGTTCTATATTCAAACATCGAATAAACTATTATTTACTGCAGTGAACTTACTATTTGCTTCGAGACAACTTCTAATCGAAACTCGTAATTTTCAGATACAAATTTGGACATTATACCGCACCGGAAGTGCATCACGTTTATCTGTCGCCGCCGCCACCATCCGTGAAATACGTCGAATACGTCGAGAAACCAATTTTCGTCGAAAGGATAGTGGAAAGGCCAGCGCCAGTTTTCAGGGAGTCTGCTCCATACGGGTAAACATTAATATACAGTGATATTAACCTCTTAGGCACTATGCGCCACTATAGTGGCTTTCGTGGATGTCATCTTTCTGTACGACGTGCCACACGACCACCATAGTGGCTCTAAACTCATAGTTTGCTCACTCCGCCGCAGAGTAACAGCGCCACGCAAAATTCAGCCGTGCCTAAGAGGTTAAACGTCGCGTTTTTCATCTTAATAATCTCTTTTTCAACGTTTCCATTCAGCGCCTGGTAACACGATCAAAATTCAACGGACTCGACAACCTGAAACTGGAGAGAGGAACAAGAATCGTTAAATACTTAAAATTCTCATCGAGTGAACCTGTAAATAACATAACGGATATGTGGTGTATAGAAATAATATACGTACGCTGGTGTTTCTATTGAAATTTTGTCTTTTTTTTTTCCATTTGATCTTCTGTATACACATACGCGCGCATCGTTCGAGATTGAATCGCGCGACGTAACCGAAACACTTCGAAATAATTCTACCGTAATAAGTTCCACGTAGAACACATCAAATCGACGCGATCGCGTTGCAAGTTCCATCGAACGAACTGGCTACGCGACCGGGCGTCGTTCTCGGGAGATAAAAATTTTTTTCATTTCAACTTTCAATCGATAAAATTTTAGAGCTTATTATATTAATTTCAACGCGTCGTATAACATCCATCCGATAATACGCGGTAAAGCGAACCGTGGACGCGTGGTTCGTCTCTGATTACATTCGTAGAGCGCGATCTTACGAAATAATTGTACGTTACGTTTTATTGCCCCTCTTCGTCGACAGATTCTCCTTTGGCGACCATTCTGAAACGCGACGAAACGTTCCGTGAATTACTCGATAAGATTCGTGTTCGAAATCGTCCATCTATAATTTTTTTTTGTTTGTATCCTATGTACACTTATTTATACATCTAAACACACAGATTATTGCGTAAACCGCACCGGACACTCGCGCGGGTGTCCATCTTTGTTTCCGAACCGTAAATGTGCGCACAACGCGATCATCTCTTCTGCGCATCGAATGCACTTGGACTTACTAGATCTACTTATTGTTAGCCTCGAGATAGAATGTTCGAGGGTAATCGCGCGATAATTGCCGCGATGAGACCAACGAAAAAATATACGGAACGAACTACCACTCCTATGCGTTAAGATTTCGAATTATTGTCGACGATTTGGAAGCGATAATGAAGAGTCGCAGATGATTACGATGCGCGAATGTCGAAAAATGGTGAGAAATCAAACGGTTCTTACGGTTACCCTGTCGGCACAAGTTCAACGAACGTCGTTAAACGGATTCGTCTATTATTTTCCATAGAAAGTAAACCCGAGATACCTAACGATAGACGATTTAGATTTTCCAATCAACGCTGTACACCCATCTTTCGAAAAAAAATAAAAAATATAAGATGATCACGGGGTGATGTTTCTTCTAAGTCCATAATAAAAAGAAACAAGAACAAATGCATATGCATGAACGTTTGTACGTAATAGAGATTGTCATCCGCGATAACGGGAGCGTATAATTCCTCTTTTCCCTATAATCCATCATATTCTGCGTATAATTTAACAAGTTAAATAAGGATCCCTGGACTCTGTTCGACGTCGATCCTTATCATCCCCATTTCCATAGTCTAATTTGCTTCAAAAAGTGCCGGATGACACACGACGGCTGGTTCATAGGTCTAGGCAATATATCAATCTTGGACTCATTCCTGCCACTCGCTCATTCATGCTTAATTTACTATCTCCTATTAAACTTGCATATCTATGCATACATGCATCGTAATGACAAGGTTATCCCCCCATTCATTAACAGTCGATTCCCTTTCCCATAGCCCTGTTTTAAATAGCATCGACCCTGGATTAGCTAGTTCACGGATCTAGGCAATGGTTTCAATCGCTTGGACTCATTCCCGCCTTCGCCTCTCATTGAACGGAGCATAGTCATCGTAAAGTCGTGATTCATTGTCAATTATCAGAGAGAAATAAGTTAAACGAGAACACCCTGGGAGACTCATAGTCTTACTTGTGTTAAACAGTATCAAATTGACTCTCTCAGGCTAGCTAGGCATCTAAGGAGACTTCTGTGATAAACTGATCGTCTAGTCTCACCCCTTGTCAATTTATTTAATAATTCTCAAGACACTCTGATCTTATCAAAGCTGTTAATAAACACTGATTTAAAAATATCAGTTAAAATTCCCGAAACTCTGTCGTTTCAAACTCTTTCATTGTTTAAACCTAGACCCATAGGCTTAAACTATAGTCTCTGATCCCTAAGGCATCCCTGGGATATTAGAAGTCGGTCGAGGAACGTACATATACTAATGGAAGGTCGATCGAGCGCTTGCGAGAGGAACGAGCCCTCTGGTGGCGAGTACGAGAGGCGACGGAGCACGCAATCGATGGCGAAGCCATTGCCTGTATCTTGCCAGGGCCCTTATTGAACTTGTCCAACTATACATACATACATACACCATAACTACACGGTTCATTGACTGTTGATTATCAGCGGCATAGCGATCGGGCGATAAACGATCGCGGGAATAGAAATGCAACGTTATTTTCGCGTCGATCGAAACAACATTCCACCCGGCAACGAGCCTTCCGCGGAACGCGGCTCGCTGCTGTTTGTACGATAATTATAATACAATTCCTTGACGCGCGGCGATTGTCATTGTTCGTGCGAAATTTTAACGCAGGAGTTACTCGTCAGAGGAGACCGTCCGAAGGAATGATGACCGCGGACGCGTTCAACGGAGCGTCAGAGATTCGACGGATAGCGAAACGGAAGCCGCCTGTCTGTAGTGCTGGAGTAGAGGCGTGGGCGTCGACGGGACCTCCTCGATGCGCTCCAAGTCGTTCGCGGCGCCTGCGCTGTTCTGCTTGAAGAGCCTCGCGGCCGTCTTCAGATTCTGTTGCTGCGGCTGCTGTCGACTGTTCTGGTCGCCGAAGTTTATGCAGACCGTTTCGTCCGGACGATCCAGGCTGAACTGCCTCTTCAAGAAACGGCAGCCTGGCGGCCTTCCTGAAACGGAATCCAGCAACGTAGAAAATTGTTGATCCAGGGACTAGACGTGGACCAGAGGGGTACTATGCTTGTTGCTATGTTGCTAAACATGTTTTGCAAACGTAATGTGAATTCTGAAACATATTTACCCTTTCTAACAAAGCATTTAAACTGTGACATTTAAGAGGAACTTACTCTTCTTATTACAGAACTATTTCCAGCGATAAATAATAAATAACTAAAATGTTCTTAGCGTTTAAAGTCTCTGGTGAATAGAGGAGAATGCAACGCGGAATCACGGAGACCTACCATAGTGTTCGTTTGGCGAGAGACATCTATAGTAATTGTACGGTGTGCTCAAGTCGTTTTCGTCGATGTAGCCACCTATCCTCCTGTGTCTGGTGGGTCCTGGTCGGTAAGGGGCGGTAGCTGAGCTGGAGATCGACGCCAGGGAGGTGTTGGACGCCCCAAGGATGGGTGTTTCGGTGGAGTAGGTGGTAGAAGCTCCGAGAGACATTTGAGTTTCACCGGTGGTGGCTTTAGAATCGTTTCCTTTTCCGTTTCCAGCATCCTTCGAAGGCGTAGTTTTCGCAATGTCGGTCGACGTCTTTGGGGAGCTATTTGGAGCGGCGATTTTCTCCTCGTGTACGGATACTATGACTTTATCCTCCTCCGGGGTCTCTTGGACCCGTGTCTCCGGCAGGTCGACGTCTACGTCTGCGTTGGATTCTTTGTGAGCCTCTTCTGCTCCTCTTCTCTCCACGTTCGAGTCGTTACGTTGTAAATCCTTGCTTGGCGACTCGTCGTCCGGCAATATTATGGTCTCCGTGCTCGTTAAAGTCTCCATTAGACTCTCGGTCAGCCTTCGTGGTTGGAATGCGTGAAAATCGAGGATCGTTAAATTCGTCGTTCGACTAGATAACCATGTTCATAAATGTTATAAAAGTCGATAGCGTTACAGTTTCTGACATGGACTCAGCAGAGTACGATAGTGTCTAATAAGTGTTAAAAATTCATACTTTATCACCTACCTCTGGTTGTCCCTGAAGATGGCGGCAGTATGGCAACAGATAAAAGCATTAAAAATCTGAAAAGCAAACAGATCTACTAAATGAAACTATACACGCGGACGCGGTGACCTCATCACGGTGCTTTTCTTTCAATATTCAAAAGGAAAAACGGTGGAGGAAATAAAAAGAAAAGGTGTGGGTTTCCCAGGCAAGAATCTCATCTCTTAACAATTTTTATACATTAACAAAACGAATGTAAAGACCTACCCGATCGGAGGCGGTTTCGGTAGTTCCTTGTCGAACCCTTGTTTCCCCAGCAACCAGTAAGTAGGCATTTTCCCTTTGCCTTTGACGTCAGTCGATCCTCGATACTCGATTCGATACCCGCCGACCTGCGATAACCGATCCTTCGTCGCTTGGCTCAAATGTATACGCCACGGTGCACCCGTCGACTCCATTCTCGACGCGGTGTTAACGGTATCTCCGAACAAACAGTACCTTGGCATCGTCAAACCAACCACGCCAGCGCAACATGGACCTACGTTCGCAGAATAGAAACGTTCAACGATCGATTGAATAAAAACTGGGGAAATGGGGGAAGTTTTATACTTAACCGGTGTGGAGACCGATACGAAGCCTCAGCTGGGTCCTTGGCAAGTGTCTCAACTTGAACTTTCCACTTTGGTGTAGCAGGTCGAGCGCCATTGTGGCTATCTGAGAGGCATGGTCGGGTATTCTCACCGGGCAACCACCCACGACCATGTAAGCGTCTCCTATAGTCTCTACCTGCAAGATTTTTAAAGTTACTCTATAGTTTATATGGCGAGGTTTGTTAAATGTAGATATTTGTTACGACCATTTATAATTTTTGTGGGATTCTGTTGATTGGAGATAGAAAAGGTAAACAAACCCCTGTCTCAGACGTTGGGATATTAGGTAGTCGGTTGAGGAACGTATATATAGGAACGGAAGGGTCACTCGAGTGCTTGCGAGAGAGACAAGAGCGTATCCCTCTGGTGGCAACTACAGGAGGTAACGACCCCCCACTTTGGAGCGGTTTATCGCTTTCAGAAAACTTCTAATGTACAGTGTGTGTTGATTCTATCACCTTATACACGGTGTACGCGTTGATGGTCGCATCAAAGCAGGTGTACAGGTCGTTCAGAAGATCGACCACTTGAAATGGCGTCGAGTGGGCGGAAATGCTCGTGAAGCCGACGATGTCTGAAAAGTAGATGGTCACCTCGCGAAATTCTTCAGGATCGACGGGCATTCCCAATTTCAACTTCTCAGCGACCGAGCTGGAAACATCACTGGTTGATTAATCATCGATTTTAAGAACTGTATCCTGTTGGAAAAATTCTTATTCACCTCGGTAACATTCGATTCAACAATTGTTCGGTTTTCTTCTTCTCCATGTCCAGCTGTTCCGTGCGCTCGCGTATCAGTTCCTCCAAGTTGTTCGAGTACTTCTCCAGCATTTGAAACATCGTGTCCACGAAATTCACTTTTCTAAATATGAAAATATATAATAATAAATACTCTTGGATTACATTGTTCCGCTCAGGCGTTAATTTACCTCCCGTGATTGAGCTTCTTGAAAAGGTCGTGGACGTCGTCGAAGTGGGGCCTCATGTCGGCGGCTTCCGCCCAACACTGTCGCATTATATTTATCGCTTCCGGTGGCGCGGCGCCCTTGCTCACGGACGGTCTGATCAATGGCGGCGGCTTCATCACTTTCTCGATTATATCTATATTAAGATTTATCTATTATATTTATATTATATAAGATTAAAGATAAATTTTAATAAAAATTCTCTCCCTATCAATTACTTCAGAAAACAAATATTTAAGCATCAGAACATCTCTGTTCTTTTCTGGCTAATTAAAACGTCACTTTGAAAAGTAAATGAATTTCATCAGAGTGGTCCATGAAAAACAGCTCTCTTCGTCATCATCAACTCTTACCTTCCGGTGACAAGGCGAGCATACAAAATGGCTCGCCGCGGACAACTACTTCCTGCATAATGATGCCAAAACTGTAAACGTCCCCCGCTTGGGTGCCCTTCTTCCTCACATTAGGGTGCCTCAGCAGTTCCGGCGCCGTCCACAAGAGATCTGAGGACAAAGTCGTTCCACAGAGATCGTTCCAACGCCTGAATCGACAGAGTAAGAGACTCCCAAAGCAGTTTAGAGACGTACCTCGAGCAGTTTTCGCCGGTGGAACGATGTTCTGAGCTTCGTAGAAGGCTGGTAGCCCGTAATCGGTCACTTTGAGGACCCAACGGGCGTCGATCACGCAGTTCCGCGAGGTCAGGTACCCGTGGACTCGCGCTGGTGTGCCGTGAAGGTACCTCATACCCTTTACAGCGATACAGGAAAACGAAACTTACGGTTCACGAAAGAATGAAGAAAATGTGTAACAGTGGCTAACTATTTACAGACGAGGGCTGGTCGATAACTAAGATCTAAGCATAATAAGTAGAGACTCGATACAAAAGTTATAGTAGATCAAATTCTAAGCAACTTCTTGTCTCAGATGTGTCTTGCAGGATTGGTGACCTTAGTTATCGATCGACCCTCTTGCATACCCACCCGTACGAGATCTGTGAGCAAGGATAGCCTGAAGGACCAGTCGAGCTTGATCTCGTCTTGCATCAATACATCCTCCAGCGATCCTCTCGAACAATACTCGTAGACCAGACAGGGCCTCGTAGGTTCGTTCAAACATCCGATCAGGGGGTTCAGATTCTCGTGACGTAGCCCGTGAATCTGTCGTTCGATAGAAAAATTAAAACAACGAGCATTTCTAACAAAAGTGTCGAAAGACTTGGCTGACGATTTATGTACGCATAAACATCCGCAGTCTGATTATGCGGAGGAGCGTTCTTACCGTGACCAGCACGTCCATGGCCTTGTTCTTGAGCTCGAACGTGCCCTGAGTCGGCAACTCCTTCAACTGCACCAAGTCGCCCTAAGGAACATCAAAGCATCACGATCAAGTCACGTTGTTTTCTTCTAAAAAGAGTTATTCTATATCTTTTCATAAGTGTACCGACATTGTATCTGGCGCGTGGGTCTTTGAACAAATTATGTCTCGCCAGGTTGCCCGTGCTAGCTCGTAAATACGGTCTCAACGACGACACGCTACCCAATTGAAGCAGATCCGGTTTCTCCACCTCTGGCCCCCCAAATTCTTGCAACTGTTGCAGCCAACAGCACAGCATAGTCTCGATACCCTCGTCCACCTACGAAACTCCTCCGTTAACGCGTTTCAATAGCAGAATAGAAGAGTCAAACGTTCTATCGAGCTCTCAACCCACCCTCCTGGCGTCCACTCGAGGCACTTGAGGGAACACGAAGTCCGACGTGGTTAGAATGATCTTGTACGGACCTTTGGACATTCTCTTCTTGAGCAGCTTTTTCCTGAATCAGAACGGTTACATCTGCATTTCAAGCCGCTGGTTTGCTATCGATTCGTAAGCGAACACGTGGGAAGTGACTCTGCTCGACCTTTGCGGAAACTAGCAAACCGATCTCTTACCTAATCAAGATCGCGGTCAATATCGCGAACAAGGTCAGCAGCAACGATCCCAGCACGATGGTTACGATATGCGCGATACGGAACGCCGTGTCGCTGGTGGAGCTCCCTGAAAGGACACGAGAAACTGTATTTTCAACACGTTCATCGATTTCTTTTTCTTTTTTTTTAAAATTACGAAAGACAAATTACACCTATAAAGTTCGAGTTTTGGCTGTCTCTACCCGTGCATTCGATGCCAGCGTTCGCGTCTAAGTCCACGTTACATTTCGAAATGTCGGTGTCGTTCGCGTCGCGGAACGCCACGGCGCTCGCTGATAATTTCCGCACGAGGAATTTCCTTTGTCGTTCCACGGCGATCATGATGGGCTTCCAGGCATTGATACGCCAATCCAATAAGACGTACGTGTATATCTTGTTGTTGAACGCGTTCACGCTGGAGTTGTCGTACGTTAAGACGTTGAGGGTTTCGTTCAGGCGATCAAGCAGCGTCGGCACCGCGTGCGTCTCCCTGCCTTCGTATATCTTCTCCGCGTCGTATCTGCCGAGCAACAACGGAAATGGGTCGTTCGAATCGAATTTATCCTCTTGGAGGTCTGTTGGAAAGTTTTAATGGATCATTTTTTTTTTTAATTGCTGATCGATTGTTATTTACGAATCGGAGGATGAGAAATTCTCTGACGATGTTTCTTTTAATAGTTATTTCTAGACTGAAGGATGTTTATGCATTTGTGGGGAATTTTAATCCTTAAAAAATTACAGAATGCATTTAATATGCAGAAATATAAGAAATACTTAAAGTGAGATACGAATTATTATATTTAGTTTCATTAATTCGTTTCATTAATTCTATTAATAAAAATGTGAATTTGCATAAAGATCCGCAGTCCAGTTATTTCTATCTCGATGACTTTCCCTTCTTAAATCGATGATGCAGAGCCAAAAGAACGAGTTCGCTAGAAAAGAGGAGGATTCTGCTGTTTCCTAGAAATCGGTGCAAGTTATCATCCTGTTTGGACGATAATTTGGTCCATAAAATAAATCGTTCTCTATAAAAAGAAAAATAACATCGATCCATCACGGTCGAGTCGTCAAGATAAAAAACTGCTTCCCAGGATCCGTTCAGTACCGCGTCCAGTATCTCTTAAGGGGCCATTCTACCTTGTTATTTGTGATTTTTTTTCGCGGGGCTATTAAAGAGCGATTAATTCCAGGTTTTGTAGATACATTTATTATATATTTAGGTATATTTGCAAATTTTTGCAACGCATAATGTCTATTTATTACGCTGTTTTTGTTGATCAACGAACAACAGTTTTTACGAACTGTAAGGTAGTATTTTGCAAGCAAGTTATTCGAAATCCAAAAACCAACGATATTCTTAATATGTGTAGATAAGTTTGGGCATAGCATGAACTAGGATCTTTTCAAAAAAAAACAAAAAATGGCAAAATGGTAGCTATTTTACGAAAAAAGAAATGAATATAAAAATGGCAAAATGGCAGCTATTTTACGAAAAAATACTGAATATAAAAATGGTAAAATGGTAGCTACGTTACGAAAAAATACTGAATAGAAAAATGGCAAAATGGTAGCTATTTCACGAAAAAAAAAAAATGAATATAAAAATGGCAAAATGGTAGCTATTTTACGAAAAAATACTGAAAATAAAAATGGCAAAATGGTAGCTATTTCACGAAAAAAAAAAATGAATATAAAAATGGCAAAATGGTAGCTATTTTACGAAAAAATACTGAAAATAAAAATGGCAAAATGGCAGCTATTTTACGAAAAAATACTGAATATAGAAATGGCAAAATGGAAGCTATTTTACGAAAAAATGGCAAAATGGAAGCTATTTTACGAAAAAATGGCAAAATGGTAGCTATTTTACGGAAAAATATTGAATATAAAAATGGCAAAATGGAAGCTATTTTACGAAAAAATGGCAAAATGGTAGCTATTTTACGGAAAAATATTGAATATAAAAATGGCAAAATGGTAGCTATTTTACGAAAAAATACTGAAAATAAAAATGGCAAAATGGTAGCTATTTCACGAAAAAAAAAAAATGAATATAAAAATGGCAAAATGGCAGCTATTTTACGAAAAAATACTGAATATAGAAATGGCAAAATGGAAGCTATTTTACGAAAAAATGGCAAAATGGTAGCTATTTTACGGAAAAATATTGAATATAAAAATGGCAAAATGGTATATATTTTACGAAAAAATACTGAATATAAAAATGGCAAAATGGTAGCTATTTCACGAAAAAAAAAAAATGAATATAAAAATGGCAAAATGGTAGCTATTTTACGAAAAAATACTGAAAATAAAAATGGCAAAATGGTAGCTATTTTACGAAAAAATACTGAATATCAAAATGGCAAAATGGCAGCTATTTTACGAAAAAATACTGAATATAGAAATGGCAAAATGGTAGCTATTTTACGAAAAAATTGTCATATATTCGGTTGCTTTTTTGTTAATAAAAGAGAAAGTATTGCATATATCGCAATTATTCTAGTTCATGCTATAGGAAGACCATTTCTAAAGATACTGTATAAATTTCATATTGATATTTTGAATAGTTTTTTTGTTATCACATACACAGTGCTGAAAAATGTAGTTTCGAGAAAAATAGCTTTAAAGTTTCATTACAGCAGGCTATAACTTCGTTAGTTTTTCAAATTTCAATTTAATATTTGGTAGATATATTTTCGAGACTACATACTAAAAGCAAACACAAAAAAAATTCGATTTTTTTAGTTCCACAAAGTAGAAAGGCCCCTTAAGGGGGGAGTCTCGTGTGAAACCTAAAAAATATCAATTTCTTTTACTTCATTTTTTAAAAGTACATATATGTATTTAAGAATGTATTGTTAAATTTTGAAGCAGAGGGTCAGGGGATCAAGGGGTAATATTTAAGGGCCCACAGTACTATTATTGAGTTTTAAGGGGTCAAATAAATGGACAGTGTACAACAGTGCTTCTTACACTCAAATGGTAGTCTACAATAAGGCGCACTATTATCGACTTTTGATCCCCCGTATCTCGAAAACTGTTCAATTTACGAGCTTTAAAGTTTCAATTTATAATAAATTTGTCGAATCGAAACTTTTCACCAAGATCACGATTTTCATCGTCATGAACTACACCATATAAAAAATTCAGCTAATTTAACCGCAGAGCAATTTTCCATAAGATCTCTGCAGGGTCCTTTCTATGGACCACGTTGCGTTTAAATTTCGTCAAAATTCGAACGCGAGAAGCGATCGATTTGGACGCGTTCCAACGAGAGAGTCTCGTTCGTTTCTCGAGAAGTTTGTCGCGTCGTCGCCGGCACGAGGAGATATAAATTTCTTCGTACCTATGGTCGAGGGGCGTAACGATCAGTAGTTTTTCCAGGAACTCGGAACTCAGGTTCCTCGACGGGAAATACCGATTCTCTTCCTCTTGTTCCGCGCGTTGCTGTCGATGGTTTTCTTCCTCCTGTTTTTCCCTTGTTTCCTCGTAGTCGGACGCGTTCGCGGGTGAGATATCGGAAGACTCGAGGCCGGCGAACGAGAAATCTAGATGAGAGACCGTGGAGTTTGTTCGCGGCAGGAAGAAGCCGTCGTCCTTCGTGTGGACGATCACGATCATCGAGCTCCACGAGGACTGTTGCGCGTTGGACAGCTCGGCGAGGACACGGGACGCTAAAACTACCTCCTCGTCGTCCTCGTCGTCGTTGAACGTGGGCAGGCATAGCACGGTAACTGGGGACAAGCGTAATCGAAAGATGGCAAAGCTGGTATCAAGTATATCAAACGCTTTCTCGATCTAAGATTATCGATGATAAGTAGATTAAGGATGTTTATGCATTTATGGGGAATTTTAATTTCTAGAAAACTACAAAATGAACATGGAAAATTGGGTAATCGAGGAGATCACTCGAGCTCTTGCGAGAAAGACAAAAGAGCCGTGGCCCTCTGGCGGCGAGCACGGGAGGTATCATAAAAATACGTAAAAATATAATACAACCCTTTACAGAGCTCTGATTTGGTTGATTCTATTAATAAAAACATGAATTTGCACAAAGATCCGCAGTTTAATGAACTAAGGAACTATTTAGGCTATAGAGACGATAAAGACGAAGATAAAAATAGTAGATTTCCGAGGACAAATCTGGCTCAACGCGCGAACTTGTAAAATTGGGTAATCGAAGAGGTCACTCGAGCTCTTGCGAGAAAGACAAAAGAGCCGTGGCCCTCTGGCGGCGAGCACGGAAAGTATCAACACAATATGTAAAAATATAATACAGTCCTTTACAAAGCTCTGATTTGGTTGATTCTACTAATAAAAACATGAATTTACACAAAGATCCGCAGTCTAATGAACTAAGGAACTATTTAGGCGATAAAGACTGAACGTAAACGATAAAAATAGTAGAGATTTCCGTGGAATATACGGTACCGTTTGATTTTTGGCGAACAGAAAAGTTGAAAGTTTGAAGAGCACGGCGCGTAAAGGGAGTAGGTATAACCAATAACCAATACGGGTCGAGTAAATGCCAGTTGAACTTTGAACGCGTTTCTCTGTGAGCTACATCGTATATTAATAGAAGGATTTCGTGTTTGGAGGAAACCTTTATTACAACAGGTTTATTATGCTCGAGCAAACGCGTGGTCGCTTAACATTAACTATAACAATTTCGAAAATACAAAAAATATATTTCCCAAACCACGAAAGCACGGCAAACGAATGGTAAATGCCATTTGGAAGGGTCGATCGTATCTCGTTCCTACGAAATAAAATAAATAAATTCCCCGCGGACGTTTAATTTTCAGGCGGAGAATAAACAAAGATGGCCGTCTTTGATCTCCCGCGGCGGTAGCCAAGGGATGGAAATTATTGTACGCGGATCGACTCACCTCTGCGTGAAACATTGTACGTGGGTCGAAGGATCGTTCGAATCTCGTCGAGGGACGCACGGTACGGCAATATCACTCTGAATCGCAATATGGCGCCGACGCTCCGGAAGGCGTTCAGCAACGCTCTTTCCAGGCTCGACCACGGCTCGCGATCTACAACGCGACAAAAAGTTTGCAATGCTAAGTCACGGATCTCGTGGATCGGTAACGCGGCGATGAATTTTACCCGTTCCTATCAGGGACACGGCCTTCCACTGCAAACGCATCAACATCGCCGTCAGGGCTTTCGCTATCGTTGGCAACGACGGAGACAGTCTGATGATCGACGACACCTCCCTTTCCTCTGTGTCTTTCTGAAACGTGCAATGTCAACGGATGTTGTAAAATTGCTCCTTGGTAGGTAGCTAGGTAGCTAGGTAGCTCACTCCTTGTAAGCTAGTTCATTCCTTGCTAGCTCACTCCTTGGAAGCTAGCTAGCTCCCTCCTTACTAGCTAGGTACCTCACTGCTAGCTGAGCTAGGTAGCGCATTCCTTGCTAGCTAGGTACCTCACTGCTAGCTGAGCTAGGTAGCTCACTCCTTGCTAGCTAGGTACCTCACTGCTAGCTGAACTAGGTAGCTCATTCCTTGCTAGCTAGGTAGCTCACTGCTAACTGAGCTAGGTACCTCACTGCTAGCTGAGCTAGGTAGCTCACTGCTAGCTGAGCTAGGTAGCTCACTGCTAGCTGAGCTAGGTAGCTCACTCCTTGCTAGCTAGGTACCTCACTGCTAGCTGAACTAGGTAGCTCATTCCTTGCTAGCTAGGTAGCTCACTGCTAACTGAGCTAGGTACCTCACTGCTAGCTGAGCTAGGTAGCTCACTCCTTGCTAGCTAGGTAGCTCACTGCTAGCTGAGCTAGGTACCTCACTGCTAGCTGAGCTAGCTAGCTCACTCCTTGCTAGCTAGGTAGCTCACTCCTTGCTAGCTAGGTACTATCCAGAGATGACTTGTTGAGAAGGTCTACGCGCCGCCTTATTCCCACCATAGAGGCCCGCTCTGACGTCACGCTACACAGCAGTAGGGTCCCCATAACCACGAGAGATACACTTTTGTTCTATTCATGGCTAGTATTTTGAGCGTACGGTTGCGCCAATGCCTCTCAAGTCTTGTCCCATCCTACTATGTCCCTGTACGTTTCGTTCGCGTCCTTTGTCACGCGATGGAATTGAGTTGTGAGCGACTCAGCCAATAATGACAATGCGTGTGAGAGCAGGCGTCGCTATTAAGCTACAGCCAATTGGAGTGCCTAGCCATCAAGTCATCGCTGTATAGTAGATCACCGCTAGCTAGCCAGGTAGCTCACTCCTTATAAGCTAGCTAGCTAACTCCTTGCTAGCCTAGCTACCTCACTCCTTGCTAGCTAGGTAGCTCACTGTTTGGTAGCTAGCTAGGTACCTTCTTGTAAGCTAGCTAGCTCACTCCTTGCTAGCATAACACCTCCCATTTCATAAGCATATGTTAGCAACGAGATGAACCTCATAAATAGACTGCGAATGTTTATGCATTTATGGGAAATTTTAATTTTCAAACAGCTACAGAATTCAGTTAATATGCAAGAATATAAGAAATACTTCAAGTAAGGTACAAGTTATTATATCTAGGGGTTGAGACAACCCTCTACAATGCTCAATTTGATTAATTTTGTTAATAAAAATATGAATTTGCATGAAGATTCGCAGTCTACTCATAAATAATGCAGCGTCGTTATCGGGGAAACGCTTTGGAACCGGAAGTACCAAAATTCATACGACACTATACCATCTGTTTCGTGGCGAATAAAACTTTATAATACTGCATAATAATAGCAAGGAAGATTGCTATATCGGTTACTTATATATTTTTCAAACTTGGTAATATTTTGTAACAAGAAATAGAAGAGCGTTTTTAGAATTCTATAGTATATCGATTTGCTGCGTTATTATAAAAATTCTAGGGATTCTCATTGCGGATAGGAAGGTTCTTATAGAATTTTCGTATTTCCACGGTACAGATGGGTTGAAATTGCTTACCAGAGGGCACGTCCACGTAAATAGCGGAACGTTCCAGAGTTGAGCGAGTTTCGAGGTAACTTCGCACATGGGGGAGTCCAGAACGGCTATCAGGGCTCTGGTTCTTCTCTGTCCAAGTACGCGTAGCAAAGCATCGAGGCCCCGGGTCTTTGTCTCGCACGACACTGGGGAAAATCGTTCGTGTATCGCGTCCAGGAGCGGCCATCGCGCTCGCCAATTCGAATTTAATTCGATTCGAACATAGATTAATTTATTCACGATCGAACCAGGTTAACAGATCGGTTATTTAAATATAAAATATAATTTTTAATTATAATCGAAATCTCCATGGAATTAGTTGCATCAAGCTTGAATTGAAATTGTTATTATTAAATGTCACTTGTAGATATGTATATTTTTGTACCACACTTTTGACCTTTGGTGCACCAATGCACCAATGCACCAATGCACCTGTAAATTGCACCCTCTTTTCGAACAGAGCCACGAGCAAGTTTTCTTACGCGAACCGATTTATCGCGCCGTTTCGCGCATAAAACTAACGGGCGTTATGATCGTAAACTAAATAATTCACGAGATATTAGAAGTTTCTTAGTAATACCTTCAAGCGTTTTCTTATCTACGCGACCTTATTCGCGTTTAGTATCATAGCATGCGTGCCCGCTATGAAAGTTAAAATACCTAGCGAACTGTTTAATTTACGGTCGTATTGCTCGTAGCAATTTCATACGCGTAACGAACCGGAGGAATCGATTTATGCGGGAAAAATTGTACAGGGTGTTCTGCATATCTGTACGGGGAAAATTGTAATGGGAGATTGTGGAGGCCAAAATAAGACGAAAATCAAGAATATCAATTTCTTGACTGAGGCTTCGTTAATAAGTTAGTGAGTTCTTAAAAAATTAAATTAAAAAATTTCAAATCGTTCTGGAAAAATTATTTTCGGTTGCGGCGGTCAATTACAACCATTTTTGGTTATTACACGTACCCCCAAAATCCTACGCACTTTCGAGAAAAAAATTCAGGAAGATTGACAAATTTTTAAACGAAATTGAAAAATTTCGAATCGTTCTGAAAAAATTATTATTGGTTATGGGGATCAATTACAATCATTTTTTGTGAATACACATACCCCCAAAATCGTACGCACTTTCGAGAAAAAAATTCAGGAAGATGGACAAATTTTCGGTGAAATTTAAAAATTTCGAATCGTTTTGAAAAAATTATTTTTATTTGCAGAGGTCGATTACAATCATTTTTGGTTAATAGGCATACCCCCGAAATCCTACCCACTTTCGAGAAAAAAATTCCTGACCGAAAATCTAATGTGAGGCCAAGAAATACACCCCCGAAATTTCATGCGAATCTTTAAAATGTCATAACTTCTGAACGGATTGGACGATTTTAATGTTTCAAACGGCAAACAACGCGTATTCTGGCGAAGAATATGTAGATATTCTAAAAATATTGAAAAAGCTGTTACTTGGCCCCGTAAAGTTAGAAAACCCCCATAAAAGTGGTCCAACTTTCAAACAGCCGTAACACCTACAATAGTGAATATATTTCAATGAAACTTTTTTCCGAAGTAGAGCTCACGGGTACCTACAAAAAAGTATTAGATAACTTTTCTATAAGGTGTCAAACAAAATTACTAAAAAACAAAAACGAATTATTAAGAAAAATCGACAAGGGGTAGGTGCCTAAATTTTTCAATAAAATTGAAAAGATCCAAATCATTCTGGAAAAATTATTTTCGGTTGCAGGGGTTAATTGCAATCAGTTTTGGTGAATAGACAAACCCTCAAAATTCTAAGCATTATTGAGAAAAAAATTCAGGAAGGTAGACAAATTTTCGGCGAAATTAAAATATTTCAAATCATTCTGGAAAAATTATTTTTAGTTGCGGGGATCGATTATAATAATTTTTGGTGAATAGACATACCCCCGAATTCCTGCGCATTTTCGAGAAAAAAATTCAGTAAATTTTTTAATTTAATTGTTAATAACTTTTTAACGAGGCCTCTATCAACAAATTGGTATTCTTGATTTTCGTCTTATTTTGGCCTCTAGAATACCCCATTAAAATTTTTCCTAGGGTTGGTCGAACACCCTGTATATTCGAAATGATCGCAACGATATTTCAGGCACTTCCCCTAAACCAATCAAAAAACTTTTCCAACGAAAGTTACACAGCAATCACTCGACAAGAAATTGCAATAGTAAAAATTAACAAAACAATTTTTATTCAACAAAAAATCAAGGTCGATTCAATTTTTTTAACAAAAGTGTATAATTTTTTGTGCATCGATCGATGCATCTTTGTATTCTCTTCAAAAAAGTGTAAGAGGTCTTATGTCGAAAATTGACTAGTTTAGAAGCTATGATTTTTCTTCTGAATTCTCATTTACGCGACACACTGTGCGGGTGAATTCCAGTCATTAATCGAGGGAGTACAATATGGCGAGCGTGGGGCGTAATTATAGCGAATAAAATACTCACGGTAGGTGGGCACGACAGCGATCTGCAGGTCGAAGTTCGATCGATCGAGGAAATCTTCCACGTCCGCGGCGCTCGTTTCGCCGTCGCAGTGGTCCCTCAGGAAGACCGTCACTTCCGTTTCCGGCTGATCGTAGCCGTCGTCGGTCACGTTCGATGAATAGGAAACGCACGGGGTTTGCTCCGTGGTGGACAAAAGTACAGATCCAGGCAGGATCACGATCAAGATCCACGACCAGAGCCGGCGTCTGAAAGAGTTCCCGGCCATGGGCCTCCAACCCTATCTTCCGCTCAGGCGCTCGCCTCCGCAGCTTTAGTTAGCCTATTGACCCGTATCTATTTGTCTCTGGGCTCGTTCTCTCCCAGTATCCTCGCTGCGTACGATAAAACAAGCCTTTCGTAAAGTAACCCATTCGCATTCGTTAACGCTACAACTATCCACGATCACGGTGTACAGGTAACCCTCCTATAACACGGTAGATAGGTTCCTGGAAAACGTCGTGTTCTGTGAAACCGTGTTACATGAGACCCAGAGCCAGTACAAAAATTTACGTTCCGAAAATTTATTAAAAACAAATATTTTTTTAAATTCTACACAAGCAACTTATGTATAACACAAAACAAAACAAAAAGTATTATTTTAATTTAACGCAACCTTAATTTAATAAATTATAATTTGTTTATATATTTTCATGCAAAGCCACTATAGTTTATTTTATGGTAATTTAGTTTTTAAGTATGTTAAGCGAAAATCATGTTATCCAGTGCTGTAGAAGTACAGTGTTATAGGATTCCGTGTTGTAGGAGGGCTACCTGTACTTATTTGCACCAAAAGAAATGAAGACGATCGAGCGCTTGCGAGAAAGACGAGAGCGTCGTAGCCCTCTGGCGGCGAGTACGGGAAACGTCGCCAAAATAGTGTATTTGGACCAAAGATATTAAAACGATAGATACTTAACAAATAAACGTTTATTCATTTCCCCATAGAAAACTACGTTAAATTTTCGAAAGTTCAGTAAATTTTTTACAATTTCAATTAGAAATTGCAAATCATTTCGACCACTTTTGATGACCCTAGCGTTAAAAAGGTAATTGCCTTCATTTCCCTACGGTTGTTCGCGCACGCGCCAATAAAACGTAACCGAACAAAATGGACGATACGTTTATAGAGCGAAACCATGATAATTTGCGCTTTGATCGACCCAATATTTCCCGCGAATAAGAAACGTAGCTGGGGGGGGAGCGTGTAATCAATCGTATCGTTTCGTCCTGAAAAGTTTCCGCGGTTTCGAGGGCCCCGTAGCCCCGCAATTCCGTTGAAATTGAATGTTTTTATACGAAACAACCACCGTGTTCGTTCGTGCTCGTCGATGTAACACGATGGAGCATTTGTTCCGCGTGCAGGAAAACTTCTGATCTCGAGAATCAATAAACTCCTGTTAAGGCGTTCTCCGCATCCTGCTGTCGAAAGCGAAAAGTTGTCCCGGAGAGCGAAAGAAGTACAAAAACACGTAGGGGGAAGGGAGAATAGATTGGGGAAAAGCTTGGATATCTGGACGGGAGTAATTCTTGGGATGCGTGGCCACGGCGGTTTATCTGCATTCGAACCCTCCCGTAAATTCGCGAGGCGCGTCGATCAAGTCTGGATTGCTTCCCTGTTGCAATTAGGCGACTTCGGAAGCTATTAGGCCGAACATCAAAATTCTATCTCATCTTTCGCTTGTAACCCCTTGCAAAAGATAGACTCCGCTTCTTTGTTACGCGTCTGTTGAAATAAAAGAAATCAATACTTTAAAACATTATGCATAGAAGGAAAATTATATAAAAGTGGAGGGGCGTGGCTAACAGAAATCGAGGCTCCCATAATTCGTGCATAATCGAGTGGACAGAAGTAAAAAAACTAAAGTTCATGTTTTGTAAATTCTTGTATCGCAAAATGTTAATAAAGGAACGTAGATTTTAACACTATAGATAACTTTTACTAAAAAAAAAATTTACCAATTTGTTATGGAAAATGATGTTAGAAATTCATTGCAATTTTCGGTGCATTTTCTTAAATGTGCGCCATTTACTGAAAATTTGTTTTTTTAATTTGATTTTTGCAAACTACTAAACAATCTTTATACAATATTAATAATGGGTTCCAATTTCTATGTTAAATGTTTATCAACTTTGAATCGAGTTTAAAAAAAAATACCTCGATGATTAATTGCATATTAATTTAAGGCATATTAAACTTTAATTCAACGCCAATTTTAGCAGCTTGAAAATGATTAAAATCGTTATTGCAATTACTGATAGCTGCTTCGAATCAGAATCGGAATTAATCTAATAAAAAAATGTTCTTTTATTTACTTACAAGATAAGAAATTGTATCTGTATCTAGTTTACATTTTAATTGAAAAGGAATAAAGGAAAGACATTACACAGATGCAAAGTTATGATTTTCATATCATTGATGAGAATGGGAGATTCTGGAGACCAAAATAAGACGAAAATCAAGAATATCAATTTCTTGACTGAGGCTTCGTTAATAAGTTAATAAGTTATTAAAAAATTAAATTAAAATATTTCAAATCGTTCTGAAAAAATTATTCTCGGTTGCGGGGGTCAATTACAATAATTTTTGGTGAATAAACACAACTTCGAATTCTTATCCATTTTCGAGAAAAAAAATTCAGGAAAGTAGACAAATTTTCGGCGAAATTAAAATATTTCAAATCATTCTGGAAAAATTATTTTCGGTTGCAGGGTTCGATTACAATCAATTTTGGCTATTACACATACCCTCGAATTCCTAGCCATTTTCAAGAAAAAAATTCGAGAAGATGCCTAAAGTTTTCGACGAAAAAGAAAACTTTCAAATCGTTCTGGAAAAATTATGTTCGTTTGCGGGGGTCAATTACAATAATTTTTGGCTATTACACATACCCTCGAATTCCTAGCCATTTTCAAGAAAAAAATTCGAGAAGATGCCTAAAGTTTTCGACGAAAAAGAAAACTTTCAAATCGTTCTGGAAAAATTATGTTCGGTTGCGGGGGTCAATTACAATCACTTTTGGTGAATAGACACACCTTCGAAATCCTACGCATTTTCCAGAAAAAAATTCAGGAAGGTAGACAAATTTTCGGCGAAATTAAAATATTTCAAATCATTCGGGAAAAATTATTTTCCATTGCGGGGGTCAATTACAAACATTTTTGGTGAATACACATATCCTCGAAATCCTACCCAATTTCCAGAAAAAAATTCAGGAAGGTAGACAAATTTTCGGCGGAATTAAAATATTTCAAATCATTCTGGAAAAATTATTTTCCATCGCGGGGGTCAATTACAATCATTTTTGGTGGATACACATACCCCCGAAATCCTACCCACTTTCGAGGAAAAAATTCAGGTAGGTGCTGAAATTATAATAGAAGAAATTAGCAAAACAATTTTTGTGCAACAAAAAATCAAGATTCAATTTGTTGTGCATCGCGTGATGCATCTTTGTATTCTTTTTAAAAAAGTGTAAGAGGTCTGGGGTCGAAAATTGACTAGTTTGGAAGCTATGATTTTTGTTCTGAGAAAACGAGAATTTGTCGAGGATAATGAGAATGAACGAAAGAACGAAATGCAAATTAAGGAATTTAATATTTAAAAGGAGTATTTGTGGAAGAAATATTGACCGAAAGAGATTTAAAATGGTGGAAGAATCTCAGAAAAATGATCTCCGGATGTCACGAAAATAATCATTCGTAGATCCGTGCCCGGATAATTCCTCTGAACGAATTCAACCTGAGAGACTGGAACTCATCAAACTATTCCAGGACTTGTTAAAAGTTTCAAAGAGACAGACCTATCCGAGTCGCTCTGGAAGACTTCCGGCGACGTCGACCGACGAGAACGTTAGCATTGCGGGGGGTGAAAAGAGTTCTGAAACATTCGACTGGGAAGAAAATCTCTTGAATCGGGAATCGCTCTTCGAAGATTTCCATCGTCGGATTTACACCTGTTCCTTCGTAGAACGCGCAGGAATTGTTTTAAACGGATCGACGAGAGCGTTTACTTACGAGAGTTTAATCTTGGAAAGTTTCCAGGACTGGTTGTCCCAACGATTAGTCGTAAACTGTTTCGAAAGTTGGATTAAACAAAGCACGAATAACTGTAAAAACATACGAACGCATTAAAGCGAGAACAAATTAAACCGGATGTAGAACCAGGGAAGGATAATTATAGTACAAAATGGCTGTCGCGTGTTTTCTATGGGAGGCGTCTTAAGGGGTTGTTTTATGCAAATGAGCCTGATTCTTTGCATACATTGAAAGCCAATATAACTCAGTTAGGCAAATTCCTGCTGAAATGCTCCCCGAATTTATGCAAAACGCCATCGAAAGAGCACGAACTTGCGAACTCAGCAGATGCGATCATTCGTTGGACGCTGTTTGGCATAGGTGGCCTAGAAATTACAGGAATCCTCGTTTCGTTCTTTTAAATTTACCATTCTATAGTAGTCGAGCTATATAAAAAGAAAAAAAATTGTTTAAATGCCGTTGATTTCATAATCAATTATTATAAAGTAAAATAACATGAACTGACTTGATGAAACAGATCTTAGGAACGCACTCTATTTTAATTCCTGATGCGTACCGAGTCTGAAATGTGTCCCATTCGATGGTCAGAGCCATAAACGTTTTTTGCGGTGAGACTGGAAACCCAGACATCGCTGTTTACCAAAAACATAAACACGAGAAAACAAACTGGGATTCGCTGGACCCCATTGCGGTACTTCAGGGTTGTATAGCTACGCTTTATCGACATCCCCTGCTACTTGGAGGAAATATAACGTTACCAGGGCTGTCAAGTTCAGAAGAAATCATTATATATCCCAAAATACCTTCCACGTACAGGAATTTATCATTTATAAACCCACACCTCCCACCGCCATTTCCATTTCCACTTCCCCGAATTGCAACCAGTTTAAAATAAATTGTTAAACGGAACCGGATCGTCGAATATTTTAACGGTTAACGGGTATATGAAGGATTTATAGTGAGTAAACTAAAATGATGTAGAAAATTATTACGTTTAATTAAAGTTCCAAGTGCCCAGAAGCGAGAGGAAGATTGCCAGTAAAGACGAGCGAGCAACGTACTCAGCAAATGTCGAGCAATATATAAAATGATTTTTAAAATTACGGCTGTAACCAAGCTTGCCAACTCTCCGCCTTTTCGGGAAAGGATTGTCCTCTTTTCGTGATCTCTGCCCTTTTCCTCATTATTATATCTATGAACTCGCGTTATCTGCGTGGCTGGAATCACTGCCAACATCTAAAAAATACACAGAGACCACGAAACGATTTTAAAAATTATTTTATAATCGTACAATTTTGGAAAAAGAATTCGATTTCGTGGATACACGTATCGACGCATTGGCGGGGCTCTCCCGATTTAAATGAGTCCAAACACGACCCCCCTGTGACTATTTTTAATTATACGTCGATCGGATCGGTAAAAAAAAAAATTCCAATTACGAGTAATTAAAAGCCGACCGATAGAGGTAGCGTTTCGAGTCATTCTCATCCGGGGAACGTTGTCAATATTTAAAAAAAAAACAGAGACCACGAAACAATTTTAAAATTATTTTATAATCGTACAATTTTGGAAAAAAAAATCCAATTTCGTGGATACATATACCGACGCATTGGCGATGCTCTCCCGATGCAAATGAGTCCAAACACGACCCCCCTCTGGACTATTTTTAATTATACGTCGATCGGACCGGTAAAAAAAAAATTCCAATTACGTGTAATTAAAAGCCGTCCGATAGAGGTCGCGTTTCGAGTCATTCTCATCCGGGGAACGTTAACGTCCTTGTACAGAATATAATGAAAAACGCGAAAGTTTTAATTTCCACGAGAGTCGCGACGATGACTTCGGTTCTCGCGTATCTGAATAGAAATTGTTTCACATATTCGGTGGACGCGCGCGCGCGTTACGGAATCGAATTTAACCGTGGAACGTTTTGTCGGGACGCTCGATGCTCGCGTTTTGAGCGAGCGTCGTTGCAATTTATTTCTGCAAACGAAACGAGACAATCGTTGGAGACGCGTCGCGGAAAAAGCAGAAAACGCGTCCATCAACGACGTACTCGAGTTCCGTTGGATCGCGCGGCTCGGTACGTGTACATCAATTTGGTCGAATAAATTTTGACAGAAACGTTCCGTTCCCCCCGCGCGGACAGGGGGGTAGGGGGGCGTTGGATTTTATTTATGGGAAATTATTCTGACACGCGCGGAAGTACGGGACGTTGCTGGACGATGCGGCGAGCGGCAGTAATCAGAGCGTGCACGATGTTTTCGTGCAAAAAAGGTGTACAACTTAATCACGGTAGACTAAAGCGCTGTAAACATTTTCCACCGCATTTAGTATTTACCGATGCTAAAAATATTCACGAACAATCTTCCTCAATTGATCTTAGGCGTACCCCACGATCGTCAATTTATTATTATAACACCGGCTGAGGAACACGAGTCACGTTCGAGTCCTTTACTACGACATTTACCAACCCAACGTGTTAACTATCCTTAACCCTTCCGTGAGCGTCGGTTGTATACAAATAACCACGGTATAACGCGGCACGAGAATTACAGGAATTTTCTGTAACGCTAATTAAGGAAATATTTCGACGGTATTCCTGGTCCCTCTATAAGGACAAAGCAAAGTAACAGCTAATTTACTCTCATTTGCGTAATCAGAGCTATAATAGAGACTGGAATTGACTGCTTGGACGTAGAACATGTTTGATATGCAGGATCATTGTATCTTATAAAAGATCAGCGGATATGCAAAGAAATTTTAACAGAAAAATTCACTTCAGACCTCAAATATACAGGGTGTTCGGGGAATCCCTGGGAAAAATTTTAATAGGCGATTCTAGGGGCCAAAATAAGACGAAAATCAAGAATATCAATTTCTTCACTGAGGCTTCGTTAAAAAGTTAGTAAGTTACTAAAAAATTAAATTAAAAAATTTCAAATCGTTCTGGAAAAATTATTTTCCGTTGCGGGGGTCAATTACAATCATATTTGGTCATTAAACATACCCCAGAAATCCTACGCATATTCGAGAAAAAAATTCCTTACCGAAAATCTAATTAGGTGCCTTTTCGACGAAAAAAAAGAATTTCGAATCGTTCTGGAAAAATTATTTTCGGTTGCAGGGGTCAATTACAATCATATTTGGTCATCACACATATCCCCGAAATTCTACGCATTTTCGAGAAAAAAATTCCTTACCGAAAATCTAATTAGGTGCCTTTTCGACGAAAAAAAAGAATTTCGAATCGTTCTGGAAAAATTATTTTCGGTTGCGGGGATCAATTACAATCACTTTTGGTGAATACACATACTTTCGAAATCCTACCCAGTTTTGAGAAAAAAATTCAATAAGTAGACGTATTTTTCGGCGGAAAAAAAAATTTCAAATCGTTCTGGAAAAATTATTTTCCGTTGCAGGGATCAATTACAATCATTTTTGGTCATTACACATACCCCCGAAATTCTACGCATATTCGAGAAAAAAATTCCTTACCGAAAATCTAATTAGGTGTCTTTTCGACGAAAAAAAAGAATTTCGAATCGTTCTGGAAAAATTATTTTCGGTTGCGGGGTTCAATTACAATCATTTTTGGTGAATAGACATACCCCCGAAATCCTGCGCATTTCCGAGAAAAAAATTCATAACGGGCGGAACTTTAAACATTAATAACTTTTCAACGAAGCCTCAGTTAAGAAATTAATATTCTTGATTTTCGTCTTATTTTGGCCTCTAGAATCTCCCATTAAAATTTCTCCCACGTATAGCAGAACACCCTGTATGACGAACCCCATAAAAAATCTATGCATAATAAAAAAGACTGTTGCATGGTTCGTGTTAACTAATTAGTTTAACTATGTGAACCTGACATTAAATTCATCCCAAACTGTTTAGGATTACGATTTGCAATTAATTACTAGTTCGAATCATAAGTAATCATGCAAATAAATAGTCGACACGATATTTACAACGATTTCAAAACGGGAATACCCGCGCTCGTCCTCGCGCAGTTCATTATCGTCGGGGATCGGTAGCGTGCGGCCGAAAAGATTTCAAATCTCCGTGTCCCACGGCTGAAACTGTTCCCGGCACGTTGACACGCAAATCAACGGCGCCCATAAACACGTACTTCTGGCCCGTATCGAATTCCAATGGAAATTACCATGCAAGGAAAGGTTTCTTTTAGTACAGGGCATCCTTTTAATCATCGGACAGATTCGATCTAAAAAAAGAAGAAAAGAAAAAATAAGAGCAACGCTCGACGCCGCGGACGGAATAAAAATCGAAATCATAAAGCGTAACGGTATCGATAAACGCGAAGTTTCTGACGATCGAACACGGTGAATACGACCGATCTTCGACGCGAACCGATCGTCGAAGTCGTGCCACTACGATACGATGACAACGTTACGGACGAATCTCGTTAAACGTATTCGGTTGTAGCCTCATCCATCGGGGACACGGGTAGTCTATCAGAGTTGGGTGAACGAGAGTAGAAAGAGAGTATAAAAGAGTCAGTAAAAAAGATCGACACGTAGACGTTAGAAACGTTCCGTCTTACCGTTTCACTTTTCGCGAGGAGAAACGACAGCGAAAGAGTTGTTCCCTCTTCTTTTGCTTGCGTATATACCAGAAGGGGATGCGCGACGTCGAAGATAATTTAAAAATACGCATATCGCGGAGGACCGAGGACAGTGTCACGTTTCCGTGTCGTCGCGTATCTCGAGTATTCGACGATTCCCGGACGCGAGACGAGCTTTAGAAGCACCGCGTGCAGTGGATGCAAGCAACGATACTGGAGCCCGAGCCAAAAATCACGACCGTTTACGGGCGGCCCGAACGCCTCGGCGTCCGGTATCGAACTAAGTAGAGTGCTGCTCCCTTCTACACATGCTCGAGAGAGCTGACGTTATCACGAGGGAGCGAAAGTTCGTCCCGGGGAGCAAAATGAGCCAGCATGCGGTCCCGCGCTGTTCCCAGTGTCATCCCCGCTACGCGAACAACCCCATCGTTCCCTCTTTCTCCACATCCCCCGTTACATCATCATCGTGGTCACAACGCCGGGGCATACCATCTGAAAACACTGCGTTATCGTTTGATCGAACCGTCGAACCTAACCGTGTCGTTGTTGGTTAGAAATTGCAAAAATCTCGATTGCAAGCGATCTTGGCAAAATCGTAAAGATCGACGTACGGACGACATCGAACAGTAAGTCGTACAAATTGGATACCGACCGTTAACGTTACTCGTGCTCGCGATATGTAGAAGTTACAGCACGATAGTACCGAACGATTGCTGGAAATCGTTTCCTGTCCGACATGGGAGTATCGTCTGCTCGTGCTTTCTAACCTCAAACCTTAAAGAGCTAGCTCGACGATCCGCGCGAACGAAACGACGTTCTTACGGAACTACGATTTAATATAACGTCGTACGGGAAAATTAGTATCGCTATATCGATTTCATTTATGCGCGGTAAGGAGAACGAGCCAATCAGATCTTGGAACGAGCGAATCTGGCGGCAGTCGTCGCGTCGCCATCGTTCGACAGCAGAAACCGCGGTGGCTGTTTACGGAGGGTTGCTTGGCAACGGAGTTCCACGAGAGTTATTATTCAATTTCGAAAGAGCGACCACCCGATTTTTGCAATGTTGACTTTGATTTCCCACATACCTTGCTCATTCTCTAAATCATTAATGTCGTTATATTATTCCTTATTTATGTATATTTCATATAACACGAACAGCTTTCTTTTCTTCCACACTTTGTTCCCGCTCTCTTCGAGCGATCCTAAATTATGAGTCAAAGAAAGAGATGTTTAGTTCCCAAGTGTTGTTTCAGCATTACTTCTTAGAGTATAAGATATATAGAGCAAGCTCTAAAAAAATATTGGACTTGGAAAACTTTAGCAAAGTGCTAGGATAGCAATAACTTTGAAAAAATTGTTAGTTTCATCACAAATTCTGTGAAACTTGCTGCTACACGACCTCAGGGTTCTAAATCCCCATTAACGTTTTGATCTCACATTTAAAGTTATCGACACAGAATAGAATAAAATTTCAACAATAATAATCGTATTAAGATCTGGATCCCACAGAATATGACAAAGGTACCAGATATCTGACTTTTGGGCAGGAACTAAACACACAATAGATTATTCTCCTTGATGGTTACAACAAATAAAATGATTTCTAAAGCCGATAGAGCTTTGGATATCTAATATCAATTCCAAACGCTACGAGCGCGGTAGTCGTCTTCTAGTCGGAACAAAAGAATTTTTTTTCTCGAAAATGCGTAGGATTTAGGGGGTATGTCTATTCACCAAAAATGATTGTAATTAACCCCCGCAACGGAAAATAATTTTTCCAGAACGATTTGAAACTTTTCAATTTCATCGAAAAATTTGGGCATCTTCTCGAATTTTTTTCTTGAAAATGCATAGGAATTCGGGGGTATGTGTAATAGCCAAAAATGATTGTAATTAACCCCTGCAACCGAAAATAATTTTTCCAGAATGATTTGAAACTTTTGAATTTCGTCGACAAATTTAGGCATCTTCTCGAATTTTTTTCTTGAAAATGCATAGGAATTCGGGGGTATGTGTAATAGCCAAAAATGATTTTAATCGAGCCCTGCAACCGAAAATAATTTTTCCAGAATGATTTGAAACTTTTCAATTTCATCGAAAAATTTGTTCACCTTCCTGAATTTTTTTCTCGAAAACGCGTAGGAATTTGAGGCTATATCTATTCACCAAAAATGATTGTAATTGACCCCCGCAACAGAAAATAATTTTTTCAGAACGATTTGAAACTTTTCAATTTCGTCAAAAAATTTGCCAACCTCTCTGAATTTTTTTCTCAAAAGTGCGTAAGAATTCGAGGTTATGTCTATTCACCAAAAATGATTATAATTGACCCCCGCAAACGAAAATAATTTTTTCAAAACGATTTGAAACTTTTCAATTTCGTCAAAAAATTTGCCAACCTTCCTGAATTTTTTTCTCGAAAGTGCGTAGGAATTCGAGGTTATGTCTATTCACCAAAAATGATTGTAATTGACCCCCGCAACAGAAAATAATTTTTTCAAAACGATTTTAAACTTTTCAATTTCGTCAAAAAATTTGCCAACCTTTCTGAATTTTTTTCTCGAAAGTGCGTAGGAATTCGAGGTTATGTCTATTCACCAAAAATGATTGTAATTGACCCCCGTAATCGAAAATAATTTTTTCGGAATGATTTCAAATTTTTTTGGGTGACCATTTGAATCTACTACTTCACCACTACAAAGCTTCAAAAATTTCTATATACAATATCGGTTTACTGGCGAAAGAATTTAATGGTTCATAAACTAAACAGATTCTTGACGAACCATTGAATGGGACCATTGAAATAATTTTTATTCGCAGTTCGTACAGAGTTTGGGAAACCTATTACAGATTACATTAAACCTTTTCTTCTTTCAACGAAACCTTTATTTCCTTTTTGGTACAATAACTTTTAATTAATTCTAGTTTCTCGTACGCATTTATATTTTATATACATAAAAAAGTTCCTGTCACGCGTTGGACAAAAACGTAAGACTCTATGTAACGTAATACATGCTGTTTACGTTTTTTGTTTCTTTGCGTTTGGTGCTCCATCCGGATCATCCGTTTGGAAAATTGTCTGTGGTTGTGTTTTCTTATACGCCGGAGCAATCCAATAAGGATTCTCTTCCGCTACCTTTGCAAATTTCAAAATGGCCTCTCTAGGATCCTGGTCATCTTCTATTCTCTTACTTAATCCTAAGTTTCGTATTACGTATGAGCTGAGCGTTCCTCCGGAAGAAGCAACTCTTCCACCTTGTCCAGAAGTAATTGGCAAGTCTGGCCTTCTCGACTTCACGGGATCCAGACGATCTTTTTCCATTTGTTTACGAACCGATTTAGGCCTATCTTGTCTGAACAACGGAAGTGCATGAGGTGTTATTATCTGTTGGGTCGACATTACCTCAATATGCTTCTGTTTAAGATGCGACTTCACAACGCATAATTTTGCGCCTCGCAAGCTCTTCTTCGAATCGTAATAAACTTTAACAATACCATTCCCGCAACCAACGAATATCTGATTCAATTTTGGGTGCCATAACGTCTTGATAACGTGTGAATTTGTTACGCTTATCTCGTTAACTACATCAAATGTTTTTGTATCGTAAAATAAAACTCTACCGGTGGTTTGCCCTTTATTCAACGACTCTCCCGTGATAAGAACTGTATCATCCGGGTTAAACATACAATCGGTCGTGTCGTATCGGGAATATAAATCTCTGGCCTCGAAGATCGGCGATTTGAACGATCTTAAGTCCCAAAGTTTCAGTGTATCGTCGCAGCTCCTAGTTGCGAGCATTTGCCCAAGATAAGAGAAGCTTAAGCTTGATATTTCGGCGCCTTGCGCGTGCGCGTTCCTTTGAATCAAGGATGGATTGACAAAGTTTTTTCTATGATCCCACATTTGTATAGAACCGTCTATACAACCACAAGCGACTACGTTACCTTCTCGACTATAACCGCAGGTAGTCGGTATAGTCTTAACGCCATTTTGTGCTCTGCACTTTATTAAATGTTTATGACCGCGCGGTCTGTACAAAATCCATATTCTGCACGTGCTATCTTGCGAACATGTGAGGTACTCCTCCTTCGTGAACGGATGCCAACAGCCGCTATTTAAACCTGCGGTGTGGCCTTTCGTACGCGCCATATCTGTTATGTACTGATCACCCTTTACGGTTTCGCATTTTTCAAAGCCATCTCGATCCAAAACTTTTGCTTGCGCCGAGCCCGATATGACCAATATGACATCACCGGTCATCGAGTATTGTAAACATTTGATAGGATGATTCTCGCACGGTTGCAAAGTTCGGAAACTTCTCATAGACGAATCCATGCCAGCGAAATCCCAGAAACAAACATCGTAATCGATAGAACCGGAAGCCAATCTTGCTCCGGACGGATCGGCCGCAATGGCGGTTACCGCCTTTGTTCCATGAGTCATTGTAACTTCGTGGCTGCACGGAATTTTATCCTTCAATTCTGTCTCGTCCGTGTCAGACTCTTCGTCGTCTTCGTCGCTATCGTCTTCGTTGTCGTTAGACTGTGATGACCTTTTTGTATCTTCTGAATTTTCAATGTCGTTAGGTATTGGAGGCCCAATGAAATCTTCGTCTTCGTCACTATTCTGGTTATCGTCGACACTTTCAGCATCTTCTTCCAAAAGATTGTCAATTACTTCCAAAGCTTTTGTATCTTTTCCAATGGCGATGGCTTTATTACTGTTAATAGTTTTAGTGATGTTCTCCAACATCTCCTGCACGTCGAAAGCTTTGGCCTTTTTCCCGAAGCCTGTTATACCCATAATGTCTTTTAAATTTTGAGTCTCCTCTTCGTCCTCCGGTTTGATCTCGTTCATCTTTGTCACGTTTGTCTCTGGTAATTTTTTACCAAACGTGCCAAATCCAGAATTAACGGGCTCCGCATTTTGGGACTGTTCCCGCTTTAAATCGTTACTGATTTTCCCGAAAGTTATGACCTTCTTCGTATTCATGATCGTGGATTACCTGCAATTTTTTAAATACGATCAAATGGAATGCTTTCTCTTTGATTAAAAGAAATCTTTTCTATCTAGAAAATTCATTACCTAAAGCTTTGGTATAAATAACGTTTTAAGGTTACAACACTTCGTTCATACTGTTCGTGCGAAAAAATCAATATGCAAATGAATCATTCGACACGATTATTTCTTTTCACATTCTCGGATGTATCGTAAAGCTAGTTTCTTTCTGAAACAAAGTAACGTTTACATTAATCTCGACAAGCATCCAGAAGTAAACAAGAACGCACAATTAAATGGAAATAATCAACACGCATCTGACACTTGCGTGACAGTCGTCAGTGGTTCTCAACTTTATCATTAAAGACCTACTTACAAGTATTTACTATACTTACAATTTTCTTTTTTTTGTTTAGGAGGTCTGGTAAAACGAAATTTGCTACATTGCTGCGTTAAAAGAATCGAAAATTTATCGGAACGTTACGTCATATTTCACGTAAAACATTTGTGTATACGCATACATGAGTGTGTCGTTACGCATTAGTCCAAAGGGAAAGAAAATGAATATTCTGTTCTTGTTTTCATCGAATATTTCATAGATTTGAACAGGTACGTGCTCGCAATAACGTATTTAGAAAATGTTACTTTATGGAAAATATAACATGTACGTGTACAATAATCGTCAGTAATTCGATAATTTGAAATTAATCGCAATACTAGACATTGTACCTTACTCATAACCATGTACTTACATACCTATATACTATTGAGAATTATAAATATATGATATTTGTTCAAGGAACGTAAAAAAATATTACATAACGATCGATATACATAGGTCCAATAAACTCCAGATGAGAAATGGTAGACTGCAAAAGTAATATAAATGGGGCACACAACTGCAGTTATGAATCAAGGACGCAAACTAGTTGCGAAACAATGTCATCAACACCTTCCTCGTCGTCTGATTATCTAGTAGGGGAAGCTGATGATAGTTCGGATAGCAAAATCATGACGCCCTTTAGTTTAAAATCAGTGGAAAATGTACTTTCGTTATCCAAGGTACCAAATGAATTTTTAAGCATTTTTCTTTTATACAATTGTTCGTTACTTATATTAAATATGTTATTTCAGGTTACTACCGAAGAAGATCTTAAGGAGATGGTAGAAAAATGTAAGCAAATGGTATTGGAAAGTACAGAATGCTCGGACGAACGAAAGTGGCTAGTCAGACGTCTAATCGAATTACGTTTGAGAGTGCAAGAGTTGAGAGAAACTTCGGAGAAACATTTGCTCGAAACTCAAGTGATTTTAGGGCACCACTTGATACCGCAGAAATATTTTATAACTACGTCCAGACCTGTGTATTGCGATCATTGTAGCGGTGCCATTTGGACTATGCTTCAGTCGTGGTATATGTGTGGCGGTAAGATGCAATTTTTGTGCTCCTTATCCTTTTGTACGAATCATTGTAACGTTTGAATTTCACAGATTGCAAATTCTGTTGCCATTGGAAATGTTTAAACAACATACGCAGAGTGTGTGTCCACGTAATCGCGAGCGAAGCGGGTGGTTACACTTACACGAAAGACATATGTCCAGAACAAGGCCTGTCGAATCAGGGTTATAGGTGTGCTGAATGTAAAGTGCAAATAACATTCAGTAAGTATGATCAAAATTGAAACAAGTCCCTCGTGCTGAAATTTCCATGAACATGATAACATTGGGCACACTATTAATGCACTATTGTTATTTGGTAATGATCAACTTGTTAGTTTTTCCATGTAAAAAAGATGTTTCTTATCACACGATTAAACTGCATTTTCATTACAAGCTCTCTCAAAAGGATTATCATTATCTTGTTTTGGCAGTTCTTTCAAGAATACAGGTAACATACGTGAGAAAGAAACAAAATTTTAAATACATGCTAATGTGATTAAGAACTAACATCTCTACATTTCTATTTCTGTCGATTCAACGTATAATTTACGAATACAGATCCACCGTGGATCGAGCCGCGACTTTGTGACTACAGCGGATTATATTACTGTCAAAGATGCCATTGGAACACAGCAATGGTAATTCCTGCAAGAGTGATCAGAAACTGGGACATGGAACCGCGACTCGTGTCCCGAGTCGCGGCGCAACTTTTAAGCCTTCTGGAGGAGCGTTCCGTTTTGCCCCTGGAAGAATTAAATCCAAAATTATTCACTTTGATACCAGACTTGTCTTTCGTAAAGGTAAGATATATCGCGATTTCACGATCGAACAAAAAAAAAAATTTAAGTTACACGCTCAAAGTTAATTATGAATAGAGGATGCGCGAAGAAATGCAGATGATGAAACACTATTTAGTTCTGTGCCCGGAAGCGAGTAGCCAAGGGCTACCATGGAAGATTGGTATGCGTACTCATATGATCGAGAACTCGGGAAACTATTCCATCAAAGATATCGTCGATCTTAACAACGGAACTCTTCAGGAAGAAATTCGTACCGTGTATGACACTATGCACGCTCATATCACGGAACAGTGTCAACTATGCAAAGCTAGGTAAACCATAACTTCTTCAAAGACTATTTCTTTTTTTATTATGGTCTATTTATTATCGACAATAACTATAATTATAAAAAACTAAACGTTCACATATGTGGCCAAGTAAAATGCGAACAGTCGAAAAGATAAAAAAACGAGAACAAGGCGGGAACCTCGTTGAATTTTAATTACGTTTGCAGGGGTCACCTGTGCGAATTATGCGGCAACGATGAAATTATATACCCGTGGGACGCAAATTCTGTATCTTGCCATCAATGCGCGGCTGTTTACCACCGTGCTTGTTGGTCGAAACGAAATCACTGTTGCCCGCGATGCATGAGATTTCAAAAGCGACGCGCCATGCAGGGCCAACGAAATCCGGACACGGACGATTACGTCACGGAGGACGGATTGACCACGAGCGAATCCCCCAACGACGAAACGTAAACTCTGTGCATTTTAAGCATTGTGTACATTTATTTCCTGGATCTCTGAGCACCCTCGTGCCCCTCATGCTTGCTCCCCAAATACGTTGCGGATTGCAATTACGGTGTCGCGAATACCGATTTGTGTATATTACATTGTGTGCGTCCCTTTTGTAAAATAAAGTTTAATAGAAATTCATATTATATGGTGTGATTCTGTATTTGTTGCGCTTCGTCTGTATCGCTCGGAGCGACACTAATCTGACGACTCTAATGGGGGAACTCGTCAGCTCGGCGCAGGGGATATCGAGGAGTGGGGGGAAAGCGCGACTTGGCTCCCCTGATTACGCCATCTTGGCTGGTGCCAAAAACAAAACTTTATGTACAGGTTGCGGCGAAAATAGTGGAGCGATCGAACCGAAAATTTTGAATAAAATTTATTCGTTCATGTAGCGTGTACACCATAAGTAGAACGTTAATTATAGTCTTGAGTAAAAATCTAACACCAGAACTACTTCTTAACACTAGATTTACTGATACCATATTTAAAATTGCAGAACGAGTAAATATTATTTTTTAACAACTCATGTAGAATTTGATCGATGCACTGGCGTGAATATATATTCTAATTGAAAGAAAAATAGTATTTTAAGGTAATCGTCAACATGAGAGGTAGCAATAAAGGATTGACAAATTGAAATATTTTCCAACAATTAGAGATACCGCTCGAGGCTTGTCATAAGGCCATGAGACATAATGGTATTTGAAAATAGAATGGCGTAATCCCATAAAGTCTCTTCTCCTATCATAGTCGAAGACTTTGAAGAATGTCGAACGATTTCGTAACACGTAAAGATTACTATTAGTGATATGTCGTAAACGATAAAAAGTAGATGTTCGATCGTACCTATTAATTCGAGACAATGGGCTTTTTGCTGCGTTCCACGTGCAGAGTCTTCGACTAATATAATTAACGTTGTATCAGGGATGGAATGACCACTACACAGGTGTCGAACTATAGTAATTAATACTCGGTTCCCCTCGCATAAGGTCGTCTCAAGGAATAAAATATTGTGGTGTAGCAGTGGAAGGAACAGTCGTAGTGTCGTTCATCGTTCCATCAGCGTCGCGTCGAAGTTGAAGGTACTCGACCATTTTAATTTTAGTTATGGTTTACACCATAAATTGATTTGTTGTATGTCAATAGATTCGAATAGCGATTTAATTAATTAGAATTAAATTCATATATATGTTTATATCTATGTTTATATATATGTTTATATATATGTTTATATCTATATCTATATCTATAATCATATCGTATTATAGATTATAGATTATAGATACGTGACATTGTTTTCCCGAGTTTCCCTAACGTTCGTGCTCCAATATCTTCGTCCGCAAGTTACCAAGTAGGACGGTCACGAAACGATCATTGAAAAAAAATTTGTGTTATGTAAAAATAAGTGTTCGATCAATTTGTTTTACACAGACCTGCTACAATGTTTTGGATACGCAAGTTTCTGATGTTCGCTGTGGTTCTTTTGGCCCTCGGACTCGCCAGGTGTGAAAATTCCGATTCAAAAGAGCCAAAGAAAACTTATGTCAGTTTGTTGGAGAAAGCAATCATGCTATTCTTGAAAACTAATGACGCGATCAAACATGAAACCATGTCTATAGAAAATGACTTAGCCCAAACGTCTGAATCTACGATGGATCAAATAATAAACAGCGGGAATACATCGATCGCCAATGTTTTCAATCCATTCAAAGACAAAATCAAATTGATATTTCCAGGTATGAATTACGTTTACTCTGATCAACCATTCAAGGAATAGAAGTTCTATTCATCCGCTTTGTGCGTTTTCACCTTGAACGACACATTGAACTCTCAAGTGCGATCACAAAAGAGCGATAAAACGAATATTGAATTGCTCTCGTAGATTAGAATTGCATAGATGTTATCACGATTCATTAATTAGAAGTATTTTTAATTGCAGGGACATATTGGTGCGGCGATGGTGATATATCGCCTAACAATGAGGACGTAGGATTGTTCGAGAGAACGGATGCCTGTTGCAAGGCTCACGATAAGTGCCCAACGTCGATTTCAGCGCAACAGGAAAAAGACGGACTTCTAAATAATGGTATTTTCACGAGGTAATTAAAAAAAAATAGTTTAAAATCATACATTATGCAGTTACTGTCTGAATAACTCTACTTTTAACGTAAATATATAATTATTTAGCTTTTAAAGTATGCGATAAATGATAAATGAGTGCATTTTGCTATCATTATTATTGGAAAATATTACGTAAATGTCTATAATTATTATAGATATACGGGGTGCCCGGACAATCCAAAAAATTTTAATGCGGTATTCTAGAGGCCAAAATACGACGAAAATCAAGAATAACAATTTGTTGATGGAGGCTTTGTTAAAAAGTTATTAACGTTTAAAATTCCACCCATACTGAATTTTTTTCTCGAAACTGAGTAGGATTTCGGGGGTATTTGTATTCACCAAAAATGTTTGTAATTGACCCCTGCAACGGAAAATATTTTTTCCAGAATGATTTGAAATTTTTTTTTTCGGTCGAAAAATTTCACATCTCGAATTTTTTTCTAGAAAGTGGGTAGGAATTCGGGGGTATGTGTATTCAACAAAAATGATTGTAATTGACCCCCGCAACGGAAAATAATTTTTCCAGAATGATTTGAACTATTTTAATTTCGCCGAAAATTTGTCTACCTTCCTGAATTTTTTTCTCGAAAATACGTAGGATTTCAAAGGTGTGTCTATTGACCAAAAATTATTATTATTGATTCCCGCAACGGAAAATAATTTTTTTAAAATGATTTGAAACTTTTTTATTTCGCCGAAAATTTGTCTACCTTCCTGAATTTTTTTCTCGAAAATGCGTAGGATTTCGAAGGTGTGTCTATTCACCAAAAATGATTGTAATTAACCTCCGCAACGGAAAATAATTTTTCCACAATGATTTGAAATATTTTAATTTCGCCGAAAATTTGTCTACCTTCCTGAATTTTTTTCTCGAAAATGCGTCAGATTTCGAATGTGTGTCTATTCACCAAAAATTATTGTAATGGGTCCCCGCGACGGAAAATAATTTTTCCAGAACGATTTGAAATTTTTGAATTTAATTGTTAATAACTTTTTAACGAAGCCTCAGTCAAGAAATTGATATTCCTAATTTTCGTCTTATTATGGCCTCTAGAATCCCCCATTAAAGTTTTTTCAGTGGTAGCCAAACACCCTGTATAAATATTTAGTATGCAATAATAATGTACACATGGTATACAACAAAAACGAGTTTTTCACTTTGCATTGCTATCGATGGAATGGAAACAATGTATATGTATTTTACTGTGTAACAGATCGCATTGTGATTGCGACGGGCAATTCTATCGTTGCTTGAAGGAAGCCAAATCCCTTGTAGCTACGAATATCGGAACCACATACTTCAACGTTTTGAGGCCACAGTGCTTCGACGAATCCTATCCCATCAAGAATTGCAAAAAATACTCAAAGTAATATATTTTCTAACGAATGTTTATAATATTTGATAAGTGAAATTTTCTAATTGCAATCGTTCGAATTGAATTTCAGACGCCGACTAATAAACGACAAGTGCGAGGAATACAACTACAACACTACACAACCGAAAGAAATGGAGTGGTTTGATAATCCAGATTTTATTAATATATTATAATATGATTTATTAATTGTTTAATCGTTTAAATAAACCAATGTATAGAGTATCGTAAGAGAAGTACAAGTAAGGGGAATTCCCTGGAATGTATGCATGAATATGTATGACCGATCTATAATAGCGTTATTGTAAAGTATTGTTAATAAAAGTTGTTAGTTGAAAATTTGTGTTTCACTGTTCTGCGTTCACTTGCGTTTCTATTTTCTATTGAATTATTTATTACGCATAGATTCTAATACTTTGTATACATGTGCTAGGTTCTAGAGGCCAAAATAAGACGACAATTGTTGATTTGAGGCGTCGTTAAAAAGTTATTAACAAAATTAAATTAAAAGTTTCTAATCATTCACGGAAAAATTATTTTCCGTTGCGGGGGTCAATTACGATCATTTTTGGTCAATAGACATTGCCCCGAATTCCTACGCGTTTTCGAGAAAAAAATTCGAGAAGGTGTGAAACTTTCCGACAAAATTAAAAAATTTCAAATCGTTCTGAAAAAATTATTTTCGGTTGCAAGGATCAATTACAATTACTTTTGGTCAACAGACATACCCACGAAATCCTACGCGTTTTCGAGAAAAAAATTCGACAAGGTCTGAAATTTTTCGACAAAACTAAAAAATTTCAAATCGTTCTGAAAAAATTATTTTCAATTGCAGGGGTCAATTACAATTATTTTTGGTCAATAGACATAGCCCCGTATTCCTACGTGTTTTCGAGAAAAAAATTCGAGAAGATGTGTAGTTTTTTGACAAAATTAAAAATTTTCAAATCGTTCTGGAAAAATTATTTTTGGTTTCAGGGGTCAATTACAATCATTTTTTGTCATTACACATGCCCCCGAAATCGTACGCGTTTTCGAGAAAAAAATTCCTTACCGAAAATATAATTTTTGGCCAGAAATGGCACCTCGAAATTTCATGCGTGTCTTTAAAACGTCATAACTCCTGAACGAATTGCACGATTTTAAAATCTCAAAATGCAAACGACGCGTATTTTAATCAAGAATATGTAGAAATTCGAAAAATATTCGAAAAGTTAATGCTTGACCCCCCAAAAATGGTCCAATTTTCAAACAGCCATAACTCCTACAGTAGGGAACATATTTCAATGAAACTTTTTTCTGAACTAGAACTCATAGATACCTATAAAAAAGTATTAAACTAAATTTCCGTAGCGCGTCAAACAAATTTTAAAAAAATCAAAAACGTATTCTTAAGAAGAATCGACAGGGTGTAGGTGTCATAGTATGTTTATTTTTTCAATTCTAAAGAACCCATAAATAATTAACGTCTAGACTATAATACCATCTTAAAGTCCTCTTCCTATTATAGTTTTTCAAAGACTCAGAAAAATGTCGAACGCATTTCGTACCACGTAAGAATTACCAATATCGTTGCGCCAACAATGAAAAGCAGGTGTTCAATTACACCTATTATATTTGAGACAGCCGACTTTCGATTGGAATTCGTCTGTTGTCTCCGGGAATAATTCAGTTTTCATTGTTTTAGGAATCAATCGATCATCAAACAAGTGTCCAATTGTAACAATTAATACTCGGTAATTTACACATTGCGTCGTTTCGAAGAATAAAACATCGCGTAATGGCATTGGAAAGAACAGTCGCGGCGTCGCTCGGAAGAACGAGCCATCAGCATCGCGCCGGAGTGACAGGTATTTCGACGATCGAGATCGTGCATCGGGATTAATTTTCATAAAAACTGTGACGCGCTCTAAACTCTCGATCCCCTCTAAACTCGGATTCTTTTCAACCCTCGGATCTCTCTCAGTATTTCTTCAACCGTCTCGCTCGCGATTTCATCAAACGGATACCATAATCTTCACAACTACGTAGCAATTACCTTAAAACAAAATAAATATTTATTAATCCTATTTTTATTGCACAATAAATTTGTTACCGAGTTGAAAAAGAAATTGATTGCTTGCTTGTCGGTCTGACACCCTCGTCACGCTTTTTAAACCTTTGCAGACGGTGTCTACAAACAGAAGGCAACATAAACATTAGAAACATTGTCAATATTTGGATTGTTTCAACTTCGTGAAAAGAAATCGTACAACGATCTTTCTGTGATCGTTTTAAAGGTTGAATCATCCACTTTCACATCTCTAAGTTGAATTTGCTCGAAGATCCTTTTACGCGAGGAAGCGAGAGGGGACGAGAAAATGATTTTGCAATGATCGATTGATCGATGAAGCCTCTGTGATGATTGCCTCTGATTCTTATGTAGTAATCCATCGAATTAAAATAAAATTGATGTGTTTCGTACAGAAATTGTGAGCGAGATTCACGGCGGGTTCTTTAGCGTGTAAAGAGTCTCGGATTTGTTATAACAAATTTAATTTACAACGAAGCAACGCTTGATCGAGCAAACTACGCGAACGAAGGGACGGACAATCGTTTATCCTAACAGAAATTTATACAGGGGGATACATGGGGGATTCTAGAGGCCAAAATAAGTCGAAAATCAAGAATACCAATTTGTTGATGGAGGCTTCGTTAAAAAGTTATTAACAATTAAATTCAAAAATTTCAAATCGTTCTGGAAAAATTATGTTCGGTTGCGGGGGTCAATTACAATCATTTTTGGTAAATACACATACCTCCGAAATCCTATCCATTTTCGAGAAAAAAATTCAGGAAGGTAGACAAATTTTCGGAGAAATTAAAATACTTCAAATCATTCTGGAAAAATTATTATCGTATGCGGGGATCGATTACAATCATTTTTGGTGAATAGATATACCCTTGAAATCCTACCCAGTTTTAAGAAAAAAATTCAATAAGTAGACAAATTTTTCAGCGGAAAAAAAAGATTTCTAATCATTCTGGAAAAATTATTTTCGGTTGCGGGGATCAATTATAATCATTTTTGGTGAATACACATACCCCCGAAATCCTACGCATTTTCGAGAAAAAAATTCCTTACCGAAAATCTAATTAGGTACCTAAATTCGACGGAAAAAAAATTTCAAATCGTTCTGGAAAAATTATTTTCGGCTACGGGGGTCAATTACAATCATTTTTGGTGAATAGACATACCCCCGAAATCTTGCTCATTTTCGAGAAAAAAATTCAGTACAGTCGGAACTTTGAACGTTAATAACTTTTTAACTTTTTCCGAGTCTTCCCAAACGTTCGTGCTCTAAAATGTCCGTCTGCAACAGGTTAATAAGCGGTATTATCACGGAAGGATTATAAAAAAATATGTTACGTAAAATTGAACGTCTACGATCGGCTTATTTCGCAGACAGCAATATCACAATGTCCTGGATACGCGCGATACCGGCGTTCGTCGCCGTATTTTTGATCCTCGGCCTCGGGGAGTCCCAATACACCGAATCGAAGGAACTGAAGGAAACTTACATTGGCCTGTTCGAGAGGACGATCCGTCCAATAGCGACGTCGAAACGAATGCTCGAGCAAGGGATCGCGGCCTTCAGAGACGACTTGAGGACACTGAGGTCCCATCTGATTGAACAGAACGATCAAAATCGAACAACGATCGCCGACGTCCTGAATCCGATCAAATTAAAAATCAAAGCGATATTCCCAGGTACGTGAAGTTATTTCGTACATTCAAAGTCTCAACACTAGATTTACGCGTACGTGAAGTTATTTCAAAGTACATTCAAAGTCTCAACACTAGATTTACACGTACGTGAAGTTATTTCACAATACATTCAAAGTCTCAACACTAGATTTACGAGCATTGATCACACGTGTATTTATTGATACCTTCCACGTTGACAATTACCTCAAAATACGATTTTTCTTTTAATTAGAATATGTATTGCCATTGCATCGATCAAATTCAACATAGATTGTTAACAAATAATATTTACTTTTCATCAAATTGATGGCTTCCGTAAGTCTAGTGTTACGAACGTTGAACGTATAACAAATTTCCCTTGATCGAGTACGTATCACGTCCAGCATGATCGCGGGAGAACGATAAAACGAATGTTAATTATTCAGACTGGAAATTCCATAGACGTTACCACGGTTCATTAATTTGACGTAATTTTAATCGCAGGAACGTATTGGTGCGGCGATGGGAACATATCGCCGAGCAAAGGAGCTCTGGGATTGTTCAAGAAAACGGATGCCTGCTGCAAGGCCCACGATTCGTGCCCAAAAACGATTCCGTCCAACGGGGAGAAAGACGGCCTGAAAAATAATGGTATTTTCACCAGGTACTGGGCAAAATAGATTTTAAAATGATATACATAGCGGGGGCAAATGAACATTCAAGGTCAAAATCATTTTTTCGTTTGTGAGATAATTAAAGAGTAATTAGAAAAGAATGTTGTTTAGAGAAACAGATATGATAGTTTAGGAATTCTCATTGTTTACATACCAAATTCAAATGTGAGTGTTCAGACCTTGCAGACCATGCCATTAGGCTACAGGATAACAGCAACTGTACAGTAAAATATTGACAATTAAGAAAGATAAGGTCGTGTAAAAATAGCTTCTGTTGATTGAATTGAACAACGTTTGCCATAAGTTCTCTGCATTTGAGAATAAACGGGTTATCTTGGGAACCTGTTTTAAGTGCCCCACCCTGTATGCAATAAGGAGCATAAGTGAACCAATAACAGATGATAATACTTTTTAGAAAATGTGTGATTATTAGTTCAATTGTGCTCCTTGTTGTGCTTGAATTATGACCAAAATGGAAACAATATACAATAGGTTTTATTATATATATACATAGATCACATTGTGATTGCGACCAAGAATTCTATCAGTGCTTGAAGGACGCCAATACGATCATTGCTACGGACATTGGAACCACGTATTTTAATATCTTGAGACCACAATGTTTCAAAAGCGATTATCCCGTCGAGAATTGCAAAAGATATGCAAGGTAATGTATTCTAAACATATATAATGAACGTTCATATCCTTTGTAAATGACACTCTCGTGTTACATTTGTTTAAATTAAATTTCAGACGCCGAGTGATAGACGACAAATGCGTGGAGTACAATTACGATCGTGACAAATCGGAAAAGATGCAGTGGTTTGATAATCCAGACTTTATTGGTATTTGATCATTTTAATAAACTAATCTATGAAGCACCGTAACAGAGGATCTCTTACTGACCTTCGTACATTATATAAATATACATTAATGCGCCGTTGAATTATACTAATATCTACAGTCCTTGGCTCAGCAAAGAACGTAAGGGGAATCCCCTTGAAAAATACGAATACAAACACGCGTTACAATTCGTATGGATTCGTATTAGCAATACCGATTTCCTAAATGATAAATATTATACAGAGTGTTCCGCCACCATCAATTCTAGAGGCCAAAATAAGACGAAAATCAAGAATATCAATTTCTTGGCTGAGGTTTCGTTAAAAAGTTATTAAAAAATTTCAAATCGTTCTGGAAAAAATATTTTCGGTTGTGGAGGTCAATTACAAGCATTTTTGGTCATTACACATACCCCCGAAATCCTATCCATTTTCGAGAAAAAAAATCGGGTAGGTATTGAAATTTTTCGACGAAAAAAAAACTTTTCAAATCGATCTAAAAAAATTATTTTCAGTTACGGGGGTCTATTACAAGCATTTTTGGCGAATAGACATACTCCCGAATTCCTACGCGTTTTCGAGAAAAAAATTCGATTAGGTGCTGAAATTTTTCGGTAGAATTAAAAAATTTCAAATCGTTCTGGAAAAAATATTTTCCATTGCAGGGATCAATTACAAGCATTTTTGGTGAATAAACATACACCCGAATTCCTACGCAGTTTCGAGAAAAAAATTCGAGTAGGTGTTGAAATATTTCGGCGAAAAAAAAAATTTCAAATCGTCCAGAAAAAAATATTTTCCATTACAAGGATCAATTACAATTATTTTTGGTGAATAGACATACCCCCGAAATCCTACTCAGTTTCGAGAAAAAAAATTCGGTACTGACGGAACTTTAAACGCTAATAACTTCTTAACGAAACCCCCATTAACAAATTGGTATTCTTGATTTTCGTCTTATTTTGGCCTCTAGAATCTCCCATTAAAATTTTTCCTAGGGTTAGCCAAACACCCTGTATAACGGTGAAAGATTAGGTGTCGTGTATTATATCTACCGGTAACGTGATCAGGTTCCTCGCTAATTAGGTGCCCAGCCAGGAGCCTTCGTCCCAGCTCTGGATAGTGGAAACAGAGGGGGAAGTTCTTCCGCGCTGGAGTGGAACAGGAAAGTAGAGGGAGGAGCCATAACTGCCTCGCGAGCCGCCAGTTCGTTACCCCTGCTCTAATGAATAATTGAGAAAGTTGTTATGCTCTCTGCCTAAGTAGTTAAGTTTTGTACTACATGCTCCAGAACGCTTTTCTAAACACAATCCTCTTTGAGTCAGTATGGCGTACAGGTGTCGGGTCGGAGGGGTTAAAGAATTTTTATAAAATGGGTAATAAATATAATCATTTTTAATAACAAAAGCACGCATGTTGATCGTGCTCAAGGAAGTTCGAAAGCTCCTTCTGGCGGTATTCCCCTTTTGACGACGTGGGGTATCGTTTTAGGCACCATACTGAAACACAAAACAGCGTGAAGTCGTTGGGACCAATCTCGGGTAATTGTGCCTTGAGAAACGGGAGACTCACGTGATACAATCGATAATGGGGCACACTGAGAGGCAGAGGGTACAGCCTGTACAGTCGTCGGTCACTTTTGGAATGTGAGTTTCACCGTCGAACTGGATCGCCTGGTAACCAGAGTCTGCGCAGGCCATGTAGCACTTTCCACAATTTATACACATATCCTACCATACAAAAGGCTGATTGAGTTAACGCACTGTAACGGAAACTTTGTTCGACGATGATCGAAACGTACGTCGTCTATCAATGCTACCACTTGCTGTTTGGTGGTCAGCTCCTTGAAAGTTCCGATATGATCTACAGCTCTGCCAATAACGTCTTTTATCGTTGGTACAGGCGCGATTGGTTTCGGCGCCGGTCTTGTAACCTCGACGGTCTTCTCGAGCGGATTCGAGCTTGCATTAATCTCGGCTAGCTTCCGTTCTCGAAGCTTCTGATATTCCCCGAAGTACGGTATATTCTAAAACATCAAACGATTCTTATAGCGTCCAAAAACGTCACCCATCGCTACGCTTAAAACTGACGTTTATTGGAAAATACCTTGCCAAGAGCATGTTGCAAGGAAACCGGTTTTCCCTTTTGATGGCTGAAGGTCGGCGGACTCTGTCCGTCCCAGTCTTTCACCTGCTTCAGGCTCTTCAAGTACAGCAAAGCTTTCAAGCCAGTTACATAATCGTCGATCAAAGTGAAATCTTGATTCTGTATGGCGCTACAGACCTGTACGCCAAGATTAATCCAACATAAATGGTCCAAATTATACACGGAAAAATTTGCATAGAGATCGAGCTAATTGATCACCTGCACAACCGATGCACCGCAGTGAAGAAATTGTAGAGCAACGTCTGCTGAATCGACACCACCGATTCCGAGTATGGGGAATCCTGGGATGCTTTTCGAAATGGAGGAAACGGCTCGTAAAGCTTGAGGTCTCGTTGCGTTCCCCGAAACACCACCATAGGTAGTGGCCTTTTTGATACCAACGGCTGGCCATGGGGTTGCATCAGCATGCAAACCCATTATTCCTGACACAGTGTTTATGGCAGACACTCCGTCAGCTTGACCTATCATGAGAATTCTATGTATTCGACAGTCTTTTACAAACCAATTTAATAATGAACGCTTTCAACCTTTTCCTTTTTGGTCCCCTTCCGTAAAATATCTAAAAATATTGGCCCAACTCGTATGCAATTGCCGTTTCTTCGTACCAAATTTACTTCTCTTTTGAAAGAGTTATCAGAATCATCTGTCTGAACGTTCGTCGGTTAATTTAAATTGTATGTTAACAATTTAAAAAGAAACACGCGTGTAAAGTACCTTCGTACGCCGCCTTAGCTATTGAAACAATGTCGGTGATGTTTGGCGTCAGTTTCACGAAGAATGGTATCTTCACAGCCGCCCGGACCCATCTCGAGATGTTTCTCACCAGTTCAGGATCCTTCGATGCAATGAAACGTTGACTTTGACTTTAAATGTGAAATAAATAGAGAATATAATGGACATACTTGTCCACAAGCTAGGCCCATTCCAGACTCTCCCATTCCGTGTGGACAAGACAGATTCAATTCCAAGCCATCCGCACCAGCAGATTCAGCTTGTTGAGCAAGCTCCGTCCAATCTGCTTTATTGTACGTGCACATAATACTAGCTATAATAATCTGTCGACAAACGTTGATTTTTATAAATATCGACACCGTTGTTCCAAGAAGCCTGATAAATAATCCCGAGCATGTTCTATCTTCGAACCTTAGTGGGGAAATCTTTCTTCAGTTCCGTGACGCTCTTGCACCAGTAAGCTGCCGTTTTCTCGGATATCAATTCGATGTTTAGGAAACTGCCTTGATCCGGTCCGTAAAGATGACGCGAAGTCGAACCTCTGATTATCCGCGGGGACACGTTAGTGACAAGGTCCTGGAAAGACGTGCAGTTAAGAAAACATAATGCATTATTATTTTGTCAACGAATTCGCCTACTTTGTCCAAGGAGAATGTTTTGGTAACAGTGAAGGCCCAACCCGCTTCGAACGCTCGTCTGATCATGGCGCTGGTGGTGCAAGGTGGCGCAGAGGCGAGGCCAAACGGATTTTCGAACTTCATCCCGCACATTTCAACGCTCAGGTCAACATCGTCGATCGGAGTATGAAATTTAGGCAGTCGAGGAACCTCGGGCACTTCCAAATTGTGAGAGTTCTGTAGGGCAACAAATAAATAACGTTTGAACTATTCTAGCGTTGTTTCATAGGCGTCGTTTCACCTGGATGAACTTGTGGATCTGCCAGGCAGCTATTTTTCCATCGTTCACGGACTCGACGGTGGTGTTCGCGATACCAGCCAGATCCCCGCCGCAGAAAACACCAGGCACGGATGTGCTCATGGTGTTTGTGTCCACTTCCGGCAAATTCCATTTGTTCATTTTAAGGGGAGCCATTGCTTGGATCACTGTGCAAAGTAGAGACATTTTATTAACACTTTGCCACGCCACCTATATATGAGCGACAGGATTTGCTACTATGATACTAGAAAAATTAATTCTCAAGTCAAGACGTCGAAGGAAATAAATTTGAATAGAATTTGTGAATTTTAACAAGGTTACAAGAATAAGTAGTGAAACAAATGTTAGGTTATGTAGCTTAGAATGGTCTAAACGCAAAATTTTACTTTTGCAACGTGTTAATAAGCAAAACAGACTGAATATATCCAGAAGTAACAGAGAAATTGAAGAGACACGATTTAAGCTGCTTGTACGTGATTCAGATCTTTACCACTACGATCCTGCAATCCTGATCCAAATGCAGATATAATGAAATCCGCCTTCAGCCTACAAATTTCATCCTCGCTTTCTACCCACTCGCCATTTTCGTTTTCCTCCGTTCGACAGAATTCTATCGCGACTATCCTCCCGTTGCGAGTGATCACTTTTTGCGGCGATTGGAAAGGCACGAATTCGCATTTCTCTTCTCTGGCCAAGTCGAACTATAGATAGAAGAATACATTTTAGAGTGAAGATTCACGATGGACCCTTAGAGTAGAGTTAAATTGTCTATAGACGATAGCTTGCCTCTTCGGGGACCGCTCGAACGTTGGTGAACCCTTTTCTGAAAACCACGAAGACCTTCTTCGCGCCGCATCTCAGGGCGGAAGTGGCGCAATCGAACGCCGTGTCGCCAGCTCCGAGAACTATAACGTTCCCGTGCAAAGAGGGCAGTTGGTTGCTTTTACAGGCGCACATTCCCGGCTTGCTGCTCTTGGCCACCCGCGGCAGGAAGCTCTTCGACGTGAAGAACCCCATTTCCTCGGTGAGGTCCGCGAAAATCGGGATGGTCTTCGCTTCCGGGAGACCGATGCCCAAGAAGATGGCTCTGTAGCCGGAATCTCGAAGACCCTGAAGACACTTCAACGTTTGAATCGTGTCTCACGTCCACCGTGCACGGAAGGTGGAATCGTTTACAATTAACACTAGATTTACGAAAGGCGTCAATCTGATTCCATATTTAAAATTGCAGAACGCGTAAAAATTATTATTTAACAATTTATGTTGAATTTGATTGATGCAATGGCACGAATACATATTCTAATTAAAAGAAAAATCGTCAACGTGAGAGGTATTGATAAATATACGTGCGATCAATGCCCGTAAATCTAGTGTTAACAAACATCTCATAGCGACCTGTATCGTTAAATCGTTCGTGGACAACGCTCTGCCCAGCTCGATCTTCGCTCCCAAATCTTTAACGAGGTCCACCTCGAAGTTGATGACGTCGTACGGTAGTCGGTACTGAGGGATCTCCGAAGAGCTCAGACCACCGATGTAGCGTTGTTTCTCGAAAATTGTAATGTCGTCGTAGCCTAGACGCGCTAAGAAAGTCGCGCAGGACAGAGAAGCAGGACCACAGCCCAGCAGCGCGATTTTAGAGTCAGCGTGCGGGACCTGTTGTTCAGGAATCCTGGTTTGAGGCACGTTCATCCGTTTGAAAACCTACGAGATTTTTACCCATTCAATTCCATTGATAAATACAATTTATTTGTGGTTAAATTCGCTGCACGCTTCAGTCCCTTACGTCCGTGGCGAATTGCTGAAGACCACCGATGTTGATGGGCCCTTCCTCCACCGCGTACAGGTTACATCCGCCCACGCAAAGATCGCTCGTTGGACAGACCATGCCGCAGGTCAAACCCAGCGGATTGTCCGATAAAATCGCTTTCGCCGCGCCGTAATAATTCTTGTTCGAAATGGAAGTGATGAAGGACTTGATGTCCAGCTGGGTAGGGCATGACTTTTGGCAAGGTGCGTCCGTGCATTTCAAACAGCGAGAAGCCTCCTTCAACGCGCCGCGTTCGCTCAATGTGGTGTGCTTGATGTCGTCGAAATTCTTCGTCAACGGCGGACATTTCTGTAACGTGGTTCAGTGATTTGTTAGTACGTTACAGAGGATGAGATTTCGAACAAGTTTTATCTGAACCATAATTGTCGCTGGGCCTAAGTTTTCGAGAAATTTGCAAGCATTGTTGGTACTGTCGTGTTCAGTACGCCTGTGAGTACCGTGCTTACACGAGAAGAAGGCACACAGTGTTTAGATCCCCACTCCTGTTGCAGTTCGTTGACGCGCAGGTATTGGTCGAGAACGGTGAGGAAGATCGGTGACAGCCAATCAGCGGACTGCCAGCAAGAGTGGGGATGTAGCGCGCTGTGCCTTCTTCTCGCGGAAGAACGATACGCATGTATGCTGTAGGCGCGTTGCATCTGCAAGGCGCCAACCGATTGTTTTGCATTCACAGACGATCGACAGGCGAGCGTATACGATGCAAAGAGATCTAAAATTATTTCGAAAATATATACGCTGCGTATATCTTACACTGCACTTCTCGTTAACGTTCCTTTTCCATTTCTTCTTATTCTCTTTCGTATACGACGAAGGGATCACGTTCGCGAACGGCTTTATCTTCGGATTTAGGCTCAGAATATTCTGTAAAATGAATGCTTGTCACGATCCAGATTTGAAAATCATATAAAGAAACGGCAAATTATCGCACTTACTTCGATATCGGGCGCATCTCTGCTAACTGTCACCGTAGGTGCCATGATTTCGCAATGATAGTAAAATTACGCGCAGTTCGAATAATGATAGTTGTAAACAATGCACACTCGGGCGATATCGCGTTATTGCGCGGAAAATCGTGGGTAGTATCTGATGCAACTTACTTCGAGATACTGTGGAAAGCTAGTGAAACTTAGCTGGCCTGTCTGTTTTAAGTATCGTTGTTACTATACAAGTGTAATGTGTTGACACATCACATACTCGGATGACTTGTTGAGCGTCAAATGCCACGATAAGCTGACTGTGCATAGTAGGTACGTCCGACACATACAGGGCCGTTCCTGTGTGTTGGTCGCTCAAGTGCAAAAAAATAATATTGCCACTCTTAATGATATAATATTATTTAGTCAAGAATTTGATACCTGTACATACATAAATTTAAAAACCTATCGCCTGAAAAAATATTTTTTAATTTTTGTGTACATAAAATGAATCATAGTTACAAGGTATGTTAACGAAACGATATCTAAATCTTGTACTTATTCGGTAATATAAGCCACATGAGTAATGTTACAAAGATTACGTTACTACAGTAATGTAGTACTATGACCACTCTGGGATTTAATTACCTAGATGCGGAGGTGCATTATGCACACCCACTAGGGACGGTCCTGAACACACACATGCTGCAGTCGAGAAGGTTATAAGATAAAAACATAATCCTGTGGAGTGGGGACTGCAATTTCTCCGTCATATCACACCTGGGAAAAATTTTGATGGGAGATTCCAGAGGCCAAAATAAGACGAAAATCAAGAATATCAATTTCTTGACTGAGGCTTCGTTAAAAAGTTATTAACAATTAAATTCAAAAATTTCAAATCGTTCTGGAAAAATTATTTTCAGTTACGGGGGTCAATTACAATCATTTCTGGTGAATAGACATACCCCCGAAATCCCACCCACTTTCTAGAAAAAAATTCGAGAAGGTATGAAATTTTTCGACGGAAAAAAAAAATTTAAAATCGTTCTAAAAAAGTTATTATCGGTTGCGGGGGTCAATTACAATCATTTTTGGTGAATACACATACTTCCGAAATCCTAGCCATTTTCGAGAAAAAAATTCAGGAAGGTAAACAAATTTTCGGCGATATTAAAATATTTCAAATCATTCTAAAAAAATTATCTTAGGTTGCAGGGGTCGATTACAATCATTTTTGGTTATTACACATACCCCCGAAATCCTAGGCATTTTCAAGAAAAAAATTCGAGAAGATGCCTAAATTTTTCGACGAAAAAAAAAATTTCAAATCGTTTTGGAAAAATTATTTTCGGTTACGGGGGTCAATTACAGTAATTTTTGGTCATTACATATACCCCCGAAATCCTAAGCATTTCCAAGAAAAAAATTCGAGAAAATGTCTAAATTTTTCGACGAAAAAAAAATTTCAAATCGTTTTGGAAAAATTATTTTCGGTTGCGGGGTTCAATTACAATCATTTTTGGTGAATAGACATATTCCCAAATTCCTACGCGTTTTCGAGAAAAAAATTCGAGAAGACGCCTAAATTTTTCGACAAAATTAAAAAATTTCAAATTGTTCTAAAAAAATTATTTTTGTTTGCAGGGGTCAATTACAATCATTTTTGGTGAATAGACATACCCCTGAAATCCTGCGCATTTTCGAGAAAAAAATTCAGAAGTTGCGGAACTTTGAATGTTAATAACTTTTTAACAAAGCCTCCATCAGCAAATTGATATTCTTGATTTTCGTCTTATTTTGGCCCCTAGAATCTCCCATCCTTTAAATGATTTTATGAATATTTTATAATATAATTTTAATAAATTGTGATGTAAATGAAATCAATAATTATTTATTGTTGACAAACTTCGTCCAATGACAATTCCAAGAATTTGATTTATCTTACGATAAGATTCATACGATCGATCGCATAGGACAACTTATCGAGAAAGAATTAATTCGCAGATTTCGCGAATCGTATCATTCCACACTTCGCTTTTGATTAATCGAACATAGGTCAACTTTCTAATCAAATAAAATGGACGACGCTCCACTATCTCGTATCGGTCAGACAGTGGATTATCGACAAAGTATCGATAAATCTTTGTAATATACGACGATACCACTTTATATCAAATCTCACTTTGCTGAAAAAGAAATATTTTGTCTATGAAATTTCCGAAATAGTATTAACGTAATGTACAACTAAATGTTGTTACAACTGTATGTATTACGCAGTTTGAACCGAGAACGACACATCCGATTGAATGCGATCCGTGAACGATACTGCACTTGCGATTTACAAAATTTATCACAGGAAGTTTCTCGCCCATCGATTTGCCATCAAACATTACCAAGAATGTACTCTCTGTAATCGAGCATAATCATAGGACGATACGATTGTCCCTACAAAACATCGTTCAATTAAATACGAACGCAAGGAAACTGACAACGTGATTACAGGCTACGGTATCGTGGCATCGTTCTGTAATCTTATGGAACCCTAGATCGGAAATATTCAAACCATACGATGCGACTGATACGAAAGCTATTTGGTATATCAAAAATTGCACGTTTGCGTCGCCGGTGTCGAACTTGGAAAGTTCGAAACAAAATTGTGGCCCGAGAGGTTTGTGCAAGAAGATGGACGTGTTCACGATGGAACGGTCGAAACTGAGGGACATTACGCCGAACAAACATTTGAAAATTAGCTTGTCGATGATTTACTATATGGGCATGTGGCCCGTGGGAGTGAAATATCAATGCTTGTACGGTCTGTACACGGTCTTCAGCTTCCTCTTTATGTTAGGAATTTTACTTGCCGCCGAAATTGCCTATCTCGTCGTGTGTTGGGGGGACATGGCAAAATTAATCGCAGGTGCAGCAATGCTAATGACAAATGTTACACACGCTTGCAAGGTTCGTACGATCAAATCACATTTCTGACAAAATTTCTACTTGAATCGACGCTTTTTGACGACGGTGTAAACTAAAGCATAGTTGCTTCGCAAACCGTTGGCGCTGAGGTCGATTTCCGGTCAACCGCTGGCGCCCATTTATACGAATTCATTTACTTTTCTTTCGATGCAAATAAATCAACTTCCATTTTATCGATTTTCGAGAAAAATGATTTTTACGTACTACGTTTATTGCGCAGGTGATATTTATTCTTTGCCGCCATAAACGTATCGAAAATCTAATAGACACAACGAAAAGCAAAATGTTTAGCCGCGATAACGTGAAATACAGTCACATTGTGACGCATTACACTTGGAAGGGAATCTTTCATCACATTGCCTATCAGAGCTTCGGTGGAATGGCTGTATTATGTTGGGGCATTACACCGTTCGCCGATTTACTCGCCGGGAGAACTAAAAAATTGCCAATAGAAGGATGGTACCCCTTTAACGTAACGATTACACCAGCCTTCGAGATTACTTGTTTACATCAAGCCGTGGCGGTCATTATCTGTTGCTTCAACAATGTGGCGATAGATACTTTGATAACGGGCTTAATCACAATCGCTTGTTGCCAGTTAACAGTTTTAAACCGGAACATTACTTTGATAAACAGCGAGACGAAGAAGTTAATCGCGCCGAGAGATACCATTGATAAACAAAAATTCACGGAGCAGACTAGCGACAAATCGTACGAGGATTTGAAGCTTTGCGTCGAACACAGTAACATGATATTTAAGTGAGTCGAGAAACGATAAGAATTTCTTTTCAGTATGCGATTTTAATTACTTGAATCTGTTGATGAATTTACCATTTGCAGCTTCTCAAAAGAAATCCAGAGTATATTCGGTACCGTGATATTCCTTCAATTTTTAGTAAATTGTATTATCATCTGTTTAATAGCATTCAATATAACGCAGGTATATCGTATACGTTAATAATTCATTTTTCAAGGCACATGAAATCGTACGTCACGTTTGTTGCATTCGCAGATGAAAGTTTATATTCCATCTGTACTTTTCGGTATGGTAATGTATATGTGCTGTATGACGTATCAAATCTTTATATACACCTGGCACGGCAACGAATTGTATCTTCACGTACGTAATTGATCCGTAACATTCATTGATCGTAAGCAAAAATGATTCTGCCCAAGAATCGCATTTACAGAGCGCAAATGTTATTTTTGCCGCCTATTCGAACGAGTGGTGGCACAATACTAAGAACTTCAAACAAGCCATACAGATCATAATGATAAGGGCCCAACAACCCCTTATTTTAAGCGCTGGAAATATCATGGAGTTGTCCGTGCAAACTTTTGTCCGTGTAAGTGCTCGCGCTTGGAACATTTCGAGCTACATTCCTATTTATTAACATTTCCTTTTAGATCTTGCGCATGTCGTATTCCATTTTCACGGTTTTGCAAACATCCACGGACATGTGAACACTCGTTCCGAAGTATAAGAAGCTTCTCGTAGAAAAATATTAAAAGAATGTATATTTACGTAAACGTTGGTAAACATATTACATTTTCGTTAATATAAACTTTATGTTCGCGTAGAAATATAAAAATATATTTTTCCAATGTTTTCGTCGTTGTATATAGTGTATCAAAAATATAAACGTGAACGGATACTCAATAACGAGCAAGTTATCGATATCGATTGAGTTTTATTTGCCCAATTCCTGTTTCTTCTCGCGGGTCGTGATTATGAATTATTAAAGAGCTTCCACCATTATAGCTATTCCTTGGCCTCCGCCGATGCAGGCAGAGCCAATGCCTAATTTTCCACTCTTCCGCCTTCTGCAAGAGCAGTGAATCATTGTAATTAAGGTCATAACTAGCACGTAAATATTATAATGATTTTGTACGATATCAACATACCTGAGCTCGTGTACCAAGTGTGCAGTGATTCTACTACCAGACGCAGCCAATGGATGCCCAAGAGCAATAGCACCGCCGTCCACATTCAATTTATTCATATCTAAGTTCAGATCCTTTGCGCACGATAGCGTCTGAGCTCCGAAAGCTTCGTTGATCTAATTGATAAAAAATATGGTTGATTATTTTTTGGATTTACATTAAAAAGCGAATGGATAAAATGTATTTCGAAACTTTTACCTCGACAAGCTCCATATCGTCGAGCTTTTTATTAGTGACTTTCAGAAGCTGTTTGATGGCTGGTGCTGGTCCAATTCCCATAATACTAGGCTCTACACCCACGACTGTGTAACCTACTAAACGTGCCAGTGGTGTAAGGCCTTCCGATTTAACGGCTTCCTCGCTGGCTAAAACAATAGCTCCTGCGCCATCACAAATGCCCTGTAACATAAAATTATGCATTTAGAAGATATAAAGTTACATCATAATATAATTTTAAAGAGATACGATGTAACACACCGACGCGGAACCTGCTGTGACTAAACCGTCCTTCTTAAAAACAGGAGCTAACTTGGTTAAACTCTGAATAGTTGTTTGAGGACGTGGATGCTCATCCTTGTCGACCACAACCTCTTGTTTCTTCACTTTCACCGTTACAGGTGCAAGTTCCTCTTTGAAACGACCGGCATCGTTGGCTGAAACAAGCGAAGCTTACTTAATATTTTTATCTAAATAAGAGTTTCACTCGTCTCTGATAGCGGATGATTACCAGCTTTCCAAAGCTGTTGACTCCTTAGCGCAAATTCATCTACTTCTTCTCTTTTTAAGCCGTACTGAGCTCCAAGCTTTTCTGCAGTCATGCCCATGGGTAAATTGCAGTAAGTATCCAACAGTCCAACCCATAAACTATCTTCAAATTCGTACTTTTGCCCCAAAAGTGTGCCAAAACGGACATTTCTTACAACGAACGGAGCTTGACTCATATTTTCTGCACCTCCCGCTATAACCACTTTGGACTCCCCTGTTAAAATATTCTGAAAGTAATAAACATCAATTTTTATCGTACTTACCATGTGGAAATTCATACAGGGTGTGCAGGCCAGCAAAAATGTTATTATTAAAAAGTTATTATTTTTTTTCTCGAAAATGCGAAAGATTTCGGGGTTATGTCTATCCACCAAAAATGATTGTAATTGATCCCTGCAACTGAAAATATTTTTTCCAGATCGATTTGCAATTTTTTAATTTTGTCGAAAAACTTCACACCTTTTCGAATTTTTTTCTCGAAAACGCGTAGGAATTCGGGGCTATGTCTATTGACCAAAAATGATTGTAATTGAACCCTGCAACTGAAAATATTTTTTCCAGATCGATTTGCAATTTTTTAATTTTGTCGAAAAACTTCACACCTTTTCGAATTTTTTTCTCGAAAACGCGTAGGAATTCGGGGCTATGTCTATCCACCAAAAATGATTGTAATTGACCCCCGCAACCGAAAATAATTTTTTTCGAACGATTTGAAATTTTTTTTCCCCGTCGAGAAATTTCACAGTTTCTCGAATTTTTTTGTCGAAAGTGCGTAGGATTTTGGGTTTATGTGTAATGACCAAAAATGATTATAATTGCCCCCCGCAACTGAAAATAATTTTTTTAGAGCGATTTGAAAAATTTTTTTTTCGCCGAAAAATTTCACAGCTTCTCGAATTTTTTTCTCGAAACTGCGTAGGATTTCGGGGGTATGTCTTTTGACCAAAAATGATTGTAATTGGCCCCCGCAACCGAAGATAATTTTTTTGGATCGATTTGAAATTTTTTAATTCAATTGTCAATAACTTTTTAACGAAGCCTCCATCGATAAATTGGTATTCTTGATTTTCGTGTTATTTTGGCCTCTAGAATTCCCCATTAAAATTTTTCCCATGGATGGCAGAACACTCTGTATTTAATTATTAAAGTTGTTAATACCATGGTATTATGTAAACTTATACCTGTGCCCCATTGACTATCGACTGGAATCCAGAACCACATAATCTGTTAACTGAAAAAGCTGGTTTCTCCAAAGGTATACCAGACTTCAATGCTGCATGACGTGCCAGCATGCCACCATCACTGGCTGATAGCTGTAAAGAAATAATTGTATGTACACATCAATTAAAAAACGGACGTTTGATCGTTTTAAAGAATTAAGTCATAAATTTGATGATTGTATACATACAGCGAATACATGACCAAAGACAACACTGTCTACTTTTTCAGGTTTTAGTCCTGCGGCTTGTAAAGCAGATGTTGTAGCAACCACTGATAAATCGGTTGCAGTTTTATTGGTAAATACACCACCCATTGTACCAAACGGAGTACGCTTGGCAGCGACAATAAAAATACCTACAAGGAACAAGGTACAAGGTACAAATACATAAGTTTTGCACACGTTACATCAGGATATTATTCTTAGATATAAGTACGTCTTGATACATGGTTTCATAATTGTTTTCATGGTTTTTTTTTTACAAGGAAATGATTCATTTTTAACTCGTATAACCAATATTCTATATGCAACGAATGAGAACCACTGAGTCGGAGAATTCCGAGTTCAAAGGTCAAAAAACAAAATTTACAAAAACGATTAAACCCGTTAAGATAGATGTAACTAAAAATAAACGGAAACCTTGAAACTGTTACAGACGTATTAAAATATTTGCGTTTAGCGATATGTACATCGTTACATTCCATTCTGTTATCAAATGCACGTAAATTGGTTAATTTCTAATTACATTAACATTATATAAACTCTGTTCATTTTGAGTATTTCAGCATGTTGATGATTACGAACTAGATTTTTGTTATAAAATTTACAATTACGTATGCCCACTCGTTTTCGTGAATATAATGTAACTTCCAAAATGTATCAAATATTTCGCTGTACGCTGAATTCCTTTTATCGTTGTAATTAAACAATTGGTTGGAAAAAATTTAATGCAATTCAAAAACAAAAAATTACTTATCAAGTAAATGACAAACAATGTTTGCTTGTCACACGTAACGCATAAAATAAAAGAAGTCGGACCAAAAATTAAGCAACCATTGTTATTTTCATACGGTAACTGTATAAGGTTTTACGTACCTTTCGTTGCAACGGACATTGTTGTAGCAAAATTGTTACAACAATCGAAACAGATAAACGTAATGAAAAGTTCTAAATGATACGCTCCAGACAACTAGTCATTCGGTATGTAGAGATTGCTTTTATTGTAATCCGTATATACCGCATTACGAAGACAGAGTGGGGGATTACATCAGTGACGCATCAATTTATTTATCCAAACAAGTACATGATTTTTCATTTTTCGAATGGTATTATTTATCGTAATTTCATGTTACAGAATACAGATATCTTCCTCGTTATAACAAACAACATCACAAATATCGATAAATCATTCGTAAAATTAAATTTCAACTTGAAATTAACGACCAAGCGCATAAATATATTTTTTCAAAATCTTTTATTTCCATTCTCCTCGTTAAGAACATTATCCATTAATTCGTGTAATACGTTTCTTATATTGTAAATTGTTTTTAACTTAAACGATAGAAAAAGCATAAAATTATAATTTTAAAACTATTTATTATCCTTGCATTACTAGTTTAATCGTAGGCAGATCGCTCGATGTGATTGCACTGTTTGAGCATCCCAAAATTCTTCCCACGAGTTTCCTTCTTCTTCATTGTACAGTTATTAATGAACGTTCGATAATGATAACAAAACTTATTTAGATTATATAAAACCTAAATAAGATAAAGTAATATAAAAAAGCAATATAACAGTAATAAAACATTTCCTTTAGAATTGCCTTTAACAAAGTGAGAAAAATCCAGCACGTTTGGCACACCTTGTTTTATTCATCAAACATTTTGATCTATTATCGGTTATCATGTATATGTTCTTATGTCATAAGGGTCACCGAAATCGGCCTGTTTCGCCCATTCCACTCCCTATTCAAACAAACGAATTTACAATCACATCCTTGTCATAAACTCCGTTTCAACGATCTACTTACTTCGAGAAAATGCCTGAACATTTCCTGTGCATCTTGTTCGGACGAAAAGATTGCTTTCAAAGTATGTCTCGTCGGTGGTTCCAATGCACGATCGATCGACGTCCAAATACATTCTTTTCCACAGACCTTATAGTAAAATTTTCAACATCACAATTATTTGAGAATTTTTTAACAGGTCGATAAACATAATCAATATATTTTCACCTCCATCTCGGTGTTCAGATAGATCGCCGTATTGCTTACAATTTCATTTGTTTCGTCCGCTTTCACTATTATACTTCCAATAAAATTATCGGAATCATAATAAATCAGAAAGTTTCCTACAGCCACTAGCTTCCACTTTGTTTCCTCGCTCGTTCTGGCAAGCAAAGTTGCTCTTTTCTCAAAAATGGTTAAATAGTTATGATTATCACCTTCGTCTTCCTCCTCTTCGTACACTTCTTCGTCTTCGATTTCCTCAACATCTTCGTTCTCCTCCTCTTCCGGTTCTTCTATTATTGGCTCATCTTCAGTAACTTTCTCACCTGCATTTATACGAGTTTTATAGCAAATGCGTATCGTCACCTCCAACGTCACAAACGAGTTCAAAGGGTTAAATTTTATTTACGACAAAGCATAAGACAGTTACATCCTTACATGCCTGTTTCTTTTCCAAGAAATGTATTGTACGAAACGAAAAATGATTCGATAGAACGACTTCGCACATTTTTATATCACGAAATAAATATCACGACCACTTATCACAATTATGCTGAAATATATCGATTCGAAAAATAATTTTCTTAATACCATGACGTTTAAAAAAAAAAAAAAGAATAACGAAACGTTCCTTAAAGCAGATTTTCATTCGACTTATTTTAGTAGCCAATTTCATCACAAATTATAATACTCTTAAATAATAGTACATTCTATAAGTAAAAATAAATCTACAATTAACAATGTTTAACGATAAAAAAATATACGTATTCTATATTATGTATGTTGATTATGATGGATATACATGTATCATGCAGCCAGAAGCGGTGATCATAAATTGTTGAAAGCGTTATATATAAAAAAAAAAAGAAAAACAAAGACGGGTTTGCATCTTATTCCTTACGAATTTCGCTTAGCGTTTGTTGGATTTTGTCGATCGTATCCTTAAACTTTGAGGCCAATTCTGGATTCTTAAATTTAACTCCTAATTTTTCTACGGCTGGTTGATCGTCGGTATAATTCATGCCCGCCCATATCCATGTACGGTCCGAAGTAGAAAGTTTGCTGAACTTTAAATCCTGGGTGAGCAAAAGGTTGCACACTACTTTGTAAACTTGATCTCTGCGCAACAATAATCTGTAAGTTCCGTGTTCTGCGTGGTGTAAAATTTTCATTTCTCCAACGCCTCTCTCTTTCCACTCGCGCGTATCACTGTTATATCTGTACAATTTGGCTCTCTCGCAAAATACTGTAACATAAACATAAAAATTAAACCACTGATGTTGGCGTTCAATATTTTTATGTTTACGAACTCCGTACCTTTTTCTTCGTCTTCCTCTCCAGTCCGTACCTCGATAACATCGGGTAACGGTACGATGGGCTCGAAGTGAGGATCGTGTTCTTGTTCATTTTCGTTTTCAGGAGACTCTACTTCCTCGTTCTCAGCATCTTTCGTTTTTTCAGCGGATTTGTCGGTAGATTTGGAACCAAATACGGCCGATCCAGCGCCAGAGAAGGAGAAGTTCGGGTCTACGAAATAATTGAAAAACAATAATTTTATTCTGCCTCGCAGAGTCCACTAAAATTACCTGTTAGACTACTTTGAGATACATGCCTGTTTTAAATGCTTGCTGGGGTGCTTTCGCTGCCAAGGCCGAGAACGATATGTCGGCCGCCGGCAGAAAACTAATATCACTATCTTTCTGAGACTCGCTTTCCAGCGTCGCTGGTTTCGTTTCAGAAATGTTCGTTATTATAGGGCTCGTGATTCCGAACGGTGATTCGTTTGCACGCGCGCCGAAAGATAAATTAAACGAAAACGTATTATCGAATACTGTATTAGCAGGCTTGGCGGACGCTCCAAACAGACACGTTGTGGTGTTCGTTATAAACGGGGACGAATTACTGGTGGTGGTTTCGGGATTGGTTTTCGTCGAATATAACCCGAAAGCCGGCGCGGTACCAAATACGGTCGCGCCGCTCGTAGTGGTTTTCGTTTGAGAGTTAATATTATTTAAAATTGTCGACTCCGAATTATTTCCACTGACATTGAAAGAACCAGACTTAGGAAGAGCCAGAACATTCTTTCCCGCGCTCGGGTTGAACGGATTGTCTGACACAGGTGTCCCAAACATGGACACCGAGGATGTCGTGGATATCGATGAATTGAAAGGAGACGATATAGCAGGCTCTGCTTGACCCTGGGAGATAATGGGACTGCAGATTTTCAAATTTTCGCCCGCCAGAATATTTTGCTCGGTCGCGGGTTTCGGTATCTCGCCGATGGTAGGTTGACTCTGTGGCAGAATGAACGAAAAACCAGTAGTCTTCTTGTCGCTGTTTCCGAACGATATAGTAGAAGGAATAGCTGTGGAAAACGAATTCGTGGTAAGTTGTGGTGTGCTACTAGCGTGGGATCGTGACTCAAAGATAGACAAAACTGTATTCTGCGTACTTGTGTTAGTAGTCGAAACAGGCGTTTGGGCAGGTTCCGTGACGTTACTCGGGGTGGCGCTGGTGCTGCCAATTTTTGGAGGAAACTGTATGGCGGACGAGGTACTTTTCGATACCGACGCCTCCGTTGCTGAACTTTGATCTTGGAACAACGGCGCGCCTGGTTCTTTGCAACCTCTGCACCCAGAACAATCTGGCTTCTGCTTGTACGCGTAGAAGTTCTCCGGTAGCTGTAATTTTATCGCGGCTTCTTTCTCCTCGGGCGTCACTTTCGCCTCGTAGAGAACCTCGATGTCCTGGGGCGACGACGACTTAACAAACGTCTCCGCCTTCGACTCTGTCTTTGGTTCGCTGGTTGGAAAATCCTGCTCCCTCCTCGCGTCGTCCATTATCTTCTTGAAGTTGTTCGCGATATCAGAATTCTTGAAACGACAGGCGAATAGCGTGTGCCTGATCTCTCCTTCGCTGTAGTCGGCGGCGGTCCAGATCCAAGTCTTCTCGTCCCTGGGTTTGATTTCCATGGTGGGTAGAATGAAATGATTCAGACAGAGCTTCAAGATTTGCTCCCGCCTCATTATCAGTCTCAGTTTACCCGTCTTATTGTGCCGTAACAACTTGATGTCGCCCAGACCACGCTCTTTCCATTCGGACGTCGACTTGTCGTACCTGAACAACTTCGCCCTGTGGCTGTAAAGTATCTCCTCGTCCTCCTCCCCCGTTTTAACTTCGATTTTATCCGGCAGAGGGATGATCGGCGAGAAGTGAATATCGTCGCTCTCTACCACCTCCTCCTCGCTGTTTTCACCGCCCCCTGGTGACTTGGTCGGCGACTTGGCCACGAAATTGAAGCCAAACGATTTGCCTGGCGATCCGAACGTGAACGGTGAGTCTTTGTTCGGCGGTGTGCTTGGCCTCTGTTGCATTCCAAACACAAATTTCGTACTGGAATTATCTCCTTTGGTGTCAGCTGTGGGCTTAGAATCGTTGGAACTATCGGCAGACGGTGGTATTCGGAATGTAAATCCACTTTTGCTCTTCTTATTGATATCTTGCGGTATACCGAAGGTGAACGAAGGAGTAGTTCCAGAGGCAGCTGTGCCTATCATGAAACCGTCTGTTTTTGGCTTTGGCGGAATCGACGGGTCTTTGGGCGTGTCGCAGGCAACGCAGTAATTGTTACCAATGGTGTTGACGATCTCGCAACAGTTGCATTTCCACGAACCAGGTGGCGGTTTGAACATTTGGGAAAGCGGTATCTGATTCGAGGCGGTGTTGGTGGCTGCGACCGTGGGTGTGCTTTCTTTGCTGGCTGCAGAGGGATTCGGTGCTTTGCAAGCTACGCACGCCACGTTCGACGCCGTGTTCTGCGTGTAACAGGCGTCGCAGTTCCACGAGCCAGGCGGTGGTTTGAACATCTCGGCCAAAGAAGGCTGCGTTTTGCTCTTTTGCACGTTCTTGGTCTTCTCTGGTTTCTTCAGACTCTCCGCAGCAACGCAATCTTTCACCATTCTCTGCTGGTTGCTGGTGATCGTATCGTAGAACTTAGAAGCTTGGGCGGACGTTTTAAACGTAGCTGAAAACATTCCCGTTTTATTACCAGGTCCATACTGTATGGTCCAATTGACAACCACGTTGCTACCATCCTTGTACGTGAACGGTGTCTTACTCAGAACATTGTAATTATAGCAAACCTTCGAACCGTTCTGCTCTGTCATCAGCAATCGAATCCTACCGGTTTTCGAATTCCACAAAGCCTTCAACTGACCAGTACCTCTACTCTCCCACTGTTTGGTATCGTTATTGTAATACTGAAGACTCGCCTTGCTCTCGACCAACGTTTCCTCGTGTTCGGTGGACACATTCGTGGCGTCGATGCCCACGCAACCAGTCGTATTCGGCGCAGGCGCATGCGGTCGCCTCAGCGACGATTGAGAAACGTTTGTAGAAACGGTCGAGCCGACGGCTGGAGTCGATGTCGTTGCAGGCTCCAACCGCGGTGCGGTTGTTTTTGCAAACGAGAACGTGGACGGTTGAGAAGTCGGTTCAGCGACCGTGGTTTTCGCCGTTGCTGTCATAGTACTCTCTGCAGTGGTTACAGCCTTGTTGAACGTGAATCCAGCGAACGGACTACCCTCGGTTTTACTGGGAGTTTTCGAGGATTCGGTGGTAACCACCTTCTGAATAATCGGTGTCGACATGAATGAAAATCCACCGATAACCGTCGACGTTGTATTGCTCTTCGATTTGTCCAACAAAGCTTCCGACGTTGTGGTCGTTTCAGCGGGTTGATTCTTCTGACCAACTTGCTGCTCCAAAGGCTTTGCCTCCTTCTTCTCGACGTTGCTTGTAGTCGTACTGACCTTGGTCAATGATTTCTCAGCGCTGTCGACTGACTTTTCAGGGGATCGAGGGAGACTTGCTTTGGCTCTGTCAAAGTGCTCCTTGAAGGATGCACCTTCCTCCACAGTTTTAAACGTAATACAAAACATTTCCAGCTTCAGCTCTCCCTCGGCGAAATCTTGGGCGACCCAAACCCAGGCGTTCCCGTTGTTCGATTTGGCGGTCAGTTCCATATTAGGCGACAGGTAATGATTGGCGCATACCTTTAATACTTGTTCCCTGCGCATAAGTAAACGTACCTTGCCCTCCTCGTTTCGGAGCAGTTTCACGTTACCGACGCCACGCTCTTTCCACTCGTTGCCCACGTAACGGAACAGTTTGGCTCTGCCGCAGAACAATACCTCCTGATCCTCTTCACCCGTGGTGACCTTCACCTCAGCGGGCAGAGGTATGATGGGAACGAAATCTGGTATCGGATCGTGCTCGTAATCCGAGCTGTTCGGCGAACCGACCGAGCAAACGTTGGCGTTGCTATCCGCCTTCGGTGCCTCGTTCATGGAAATACTCGCTGGCGTGGTGGTAAGAGTGGCTGCCAAGGGCGGAAGATTGACCGTCGTCGGTACAGTAATTTGCGACGGCATAGAGATCTGGTAACAATGAGGAACGGACTGTTCCATCGTGGCCGACGTGGAGATGCCTCCTTGTCTGAAATGTGGAGGAATGGTTACGCTGAGCGTCGGCTGAACGACCGGCGCTGTAGTCGGGAGTGTATCAGAGGTGGTGATAACAACGTTAACCGGTGGAATTTTGTTCAGAGGCGCGTCCTTTATGGTCGCCTCGGTCTTCGCCATTTCCTCCTTTTGTAGGAGGATTTGCAACGACTGATTCGTCGGCGGCATCAGATCCGGCATCTGAGTCGGCAATCTCGTTGTGAACAGGCTCTGTTGAAGTATATTTTCCGGCATCTTCGACCTGGTATCAGGATAGAGTACTGGCATTGGATAAACATTTGGCGGATACAGAGAAGGAATAGCCTGAGCGTTTGGATCCGTGAACGACATGGCTCCTGGATAATAGCCTTGAAACGCAGTGGTCGTGGGATAAACCAATTGGGAATACGGATGTCTGTGAGACGTTTGGAACATATTTCCGGATATCGAGGACACGGGACCCGTCTGATTCGCGTTATAATTCAAGTCGTTGTAATGCTCCTCGCTCAGAGCGCATAAATCCTCCTCCATATTGAGATTGACGTTGATCGGCTTGACGCGTTGACGACGCATATCTTTCCGCAACTCGCTCACTTCTTTGGCCAGCTCCTCGACTTTCTTCAATATGGTTTTATTGTGGTCCACTATCGACTGTATCATACTGTCCTTCGCGTGAAGCGTTTGATTGATCGCACGAATTTGAGCGTCCAGACGCTCGGGGCTTGGACGTGCCTCCGAACGATTGCGCGACAAATCCATTATGTCTTGGTGTTGCGGTCTGTAAGGTGTGCTGGACTGTTTCGGGGTTCGATGAGTATTCTTTTGCGGTATGCTGAGCATATTGCTCGAGGTGTTCAATACTGTAAACGTTGGTAGCGCCATGTTCGTGGTCGGTTGATCGGCGACGCTGTGCGCGGATGAATAGCTTTCGTCCGACATACCGTCGTATTCGTTTCTGCTCAAGTCCCCTTGCGATTCATCCAGATCGATTCTCTTCAATTTATTCTCTATGTCGACGATGTGCAAGGAAAGCTGCGAATTCAAAGGATGTTTCGGATTCGTCTCCGGGCTACGCAGCCGATCCAACGTCAGATAAAAACATTCCTTGGCTTTCGAGAGCATGATGATGTGCTGCGATCTCATTTCGGATGTCAAGCTTTCTTTTGGCATGGAACTAACGATTTCGTCCGCGAGCATCTGGTACACCTGTCCTTGCTGGAACGAGGCCTCCGGGCATTTCAACGCCTGCAACGCGTCGATCGCTTTCTCGTACTGTTTGTCACGCACGAAACGCTGAGCCAGGAACAATTTACCTTCCTCCAGAGCCTTGATCAAGTCCGAGTTGTCCATTTCTTTTCCTTGATAATTGAAGAACTTCGAGCTGGTCACACGAAGAATTTGATTGTTCTGCAGCCTCTCGAGAAGCGGAATCGCGTTCGACCAATACATCTCGTAGCGTGCCTCCAAACTAGATATATCACCATTGCCTGGATCCGTTTCCTTCAACACTTCCGCTCTGTGGTGAAACACTCGTGCTAAATGAACTAGAAGAGCTGGGTGCAATCCGTGATTCCCGATACAGCGAACGGCTTCCAGACCTCGCTGTAACTCCAATCTTATTTCTCCAAGATCCTCGTTCAGCGGCATTTGTTTGTCCATCGAGTATACTTTGTACGCACAGGACCACCATTTTTCTTGAACGCAAGTACAAAGGGTGTTCGTGAGGTCCGCCGGTAATGTGGGCAATTTCTCAGAGTTCATGAACCCGCTCAGTCGTTGTTCCTCGATCGCCGTAGAAGCGCATAAGATCGCCGCGTTCAGAAATGCGTCGATATCGAGACGACTCAGACTGTCGGGGGCTGCTTGACTCAGATTGAAAACGGAGAATTGTAGTTCGCAGAACACGCGCGACGTTTGATTCGGATGAGGTCCGTCGTCTTTCTTATTACGAGGCCAGCTCCTCAAACCAAGCCAAACTTGATGGTGAAGCGAATTTGGCCACACTTCCTCCGATATTTCGTCGAATCGTTTCAATTCGTGATACGAGCACAGACGTAATGGCGGATTCGAATTGGAGGAATTTGCAAAGTACGACTTTGCTTTGCCGTCCTGACACAATCGACCAATAAAGATCCTCTGGTAAACACGTTCGCGCCACGAGTTCGTGCAAAACTTGTCGATTTTGTCCAACAATTTTTTAGTATTGTCTCGAGCATAATCTTGAAGCACGTGACCAGACTGACTACATCTGTACGATCCTTCTCTGTACCATACGTGAATTTGATTCTTAAGTCGGTTCTTTAAATGCATGGTCCACACAGCGGTGGGATCTATAGGCGTGACGTGCAACGCGGTCAAGAAAAGTGGTGCACACAGGCGGCCGGCTTCGGACCAACTGTCCTCTCCCATTTTAGTTTTACGTAAAAATAAACATGCTAAATGAAAATGTAACTGTCCCCACATGTGTAACAACATGTTTTCGATAAAAGCAGGATGAGTGGTGATATTTCTTGATTTAAATTCAGTTAAACTCTGATCAAAACTGAAATATAAACATTACAATTAAACGATATTACATATTAAAAGATCTAAAAATTGAAATCCTTCTTACTTGAATACTGCTTGTGTAGCATCCGACATATTTTTTATTATATTACCCTGCTCTTTCAAACAAAGCGCTGCATATCTTTCCAAGACAGAAATATAGAATATCCAGAATGTCCAATCTGACTGCTTACTCGCTTTACACTCTAAAAGTAATTCGCTTAACGATTGATACCAATCGATACTATTTCTGTGACTATGTTTCGCTTCGATTCCAGCAGCATGATTATACGCATCGTCTAGTCTATGATTTCCTACATAGTGCTTCAACAACTTAATTTGTAGGTGCACATCGGTTTGTCTTACCGATAATTCAGCTAAAAAAATATAAAGGATTTTTTTTAATTCCAAGCAAACTATATTCTGTCGATTAAGGCAAAACAGAAATCTCACTACGTACAGGTAATAAGTTTTTCTAGATCTTCGTTGCTGTCGTTTGATTTTTCTTGGGTTAACATTTTCTCCTTTAATTCAAAAACTATTGGATGATGTGGAAAGGTTTTGTCCGCTCTTTCTACCCAATATTTAATTATATTCATATCTACTTTGAAATCCATATCTGTCAGTAGTTCGCAAACTAATTGACACAAAATAAAATATAAACGTAGAATTTTCGATTATAATAATAATATTAATCCGACATATTGTATTATACCTTTTAAAATAAGATCGTCTTGCTTCGGTTCTAATTCAAGAGATATTTTATATTGCATAAAAGCTGCCTCCTTTTGTTTCAAAGCTTCAAGGGCTTGTCCCAATAATTTATAAGCGCCTGAACATCTGTTCCGTACTTCCAAATAATTAAAAATATATTTTTTCGCTGATTCATAATCTCCGACACGATAGTATAGCTTTGCAATGTTATAACATCGAAGATTTTTCTACAAATTATTATAAAACGACATGTACAAAGACACGCATAGATACCATGTTATTATATCGCCTGCCGAATGCACCCCATATATATGCACACTTTTATAAAATATAATAAATCCATATTTCGTGTATTACGGATTCAAGAATAAAAATAAATAATAAGATGAGAAATTACATTTTACTAAATATTTTTAAATCAAATTCCTATACGATTGGCAAAAAATCGTTAAACCGTTAAACAGAGGTTAATACACGTACGTGTATGGATCGTTTTCATAAACGAGTCAAGGTCTTCGTCACTATACAATACACTTAATATTAGATAAAAGCTATTATACGTTAATATTTATATGAACTTCATTCAGTATATAGATAAAATTGCAACCGAGATGTCAGTAAACAATCGACTATAACGCAACGAGCCGTAATATACGGGAATGTTTGGCAGTAACGACTTTGTCGTTAAAAAATAACCTTACCTCCTCCGGGCTTTTAAGCTTAATAAAAATGTCTTTCACGTGTCGGTCAACATCCTTCTTCGATCGAAACATTATCGGAGATCAGTTTGAAGCTTCCTTCGGCTCTCACGTGCGATATTAATAGTCAATATTCGACTAAAATGAAATTACAAACACGATTATATGGAGTGAACTCCACGATACAAGTTCCCTCATACCACAACTCTCTTTCAAACGATCTCAGCGAAATCAGGCGTGCCAACTTACCGCCGCCCTCTGAAACTGCATTTCGAATTATACAATTTTACACAAACATTTCACACAGACGATGCTCACGGTGCAACGAGTTTTGTTTTATTTTTTTACTAAATTAAAAATCGTTGCTGTGAATTGAACGTATCTCGTTTAAATTTTCGCATATCGAAAATCGATGTTGCGTCATCAGGAGCAATCAATGTGAAGTTATAAGCGAAATTCAAAATATAAATATATAAAGCAGGCAGCCAACGTAAGAACCGAACCGTTTCCGTTAATGGTAACCGGTACTTATCATGCGCATCCAAGCCTTCGATTGCAAAATGGTAAAGGACTTTTCGGTTTCTCTCCGTTACAAGGAGTTTGCATGTATCGATTTGGTCCATTATTTGGAAACATCCTGTACAGCGAATGCCGCGCTACGGTTGGAAATTATTTGCGTTACAACCGGACGCAGTAGCCAATTACAAAATCTTAGGTTATCAAGAATCGAATCAAATTCGTCTTTTATCAGGCATAAATGTTGTTTCCGCGACACTTTTTCGAGCCTTTTTTTCGCCATCTCTCGCTGCTTTATCCGCGAAACGTTCTCATCGATTTTGTCGTTCGATGAATTTAAAAATGTAGCAAATGTAAACCGTATTGCCAGCGAGATCGGAATTCCATTGGTCGCTGTATCAAATGTATCGTTCTGGTCACAAATGTATTACGATAGATTCAATGCACAGAAAACAATTACGAGTAGTCACGAAAACGGTAGAGGTGCACCTATTGAAAAAAGTGTTGCGAACAAAACATTTAAAAGGGATTAATATTATCTTGTTGCATTTTTGGACAATGTTTGGAATAGCTCCAGATTAATACGCTCCTGTTGCTGCCATTGCTACCGTTAAGTCGTACGGACAATAGTAATCTCGAAAAGTGTTGCAAGTAAGTACATATATGCGGAATAGTAAATCCTAGAGTGAGCGCGCAATCAGTGCGATGGCGTAAAGTCATTCACATTTATCGTACATCAGGAGCTCGCGATTAGAAATAAAAAACGAGTAGCATTGAAGTGAAGAAATATTAAATCAGCCGTACAATACAGCAGATACGAGCACGATGCAACTATGTCAGTATAATTAACGCAAAAAATGAGATCGATTCGCTGTATCTTGCTTACCAAGCCATTCCTTTTATTGACATTTAACCAAATACGTCGTGTTACAATATTTGAAACAGTTATACAAGTTTACGACATTCTTCGGAATGTTAGTCTTTTATCGAATTTAAAAAAATAACTGGTTCAATATCGTTAGAGTTGTTGTGCCGCACGAATATCGTTCAAATGAAAATGTATCGAGGCAACGATCAAACCAACGAAAAAGTACCGGTCGCACATAATTCATTTTATAATCGGAAAATTAATGTTTATAATAACGATGGTGACGACGTTGGGTTATTAACGACGACAACGTTCACGACGACGAAGATAATAACGGTAGCTCTAGCAACAATGACAAAGATAATAGTAATAATGGAAATAACACTAAGAACATTGATAATGATATCGTTACACAGTGAATTGCTATTGTGTCACACTATTTGGAAACGTGTATAAAAAAATTAAATTTAACGGTTGAATCGTATAAAATGGATTCTAAAGATACACGACTACGGTTACAAATAGAGTGCTCCATGTGTGCGGTAATTAAGATTCGACTATAAATAATGGAAATCCCGCGAGGCTGTCCTTCTATCGAAATGTTTATCTCTTTTTTTTTTTTTCTTTCGTATACGTTGCTTGTATATCAATAAACGATAACCTCGTTCGATTTGCGCAGTTTCGCAGCACATGTTATAAAACGCGAACTATACGTTGTTTATGATCGTCGCTGTAATATCTACGGAGTTACGATCATTTATCGAGCTTCCTCTTATTTCTTCACAAGCACGTACCGAGTTGTTCCTTTTTTTTTTTATGGATAGTTTTGACAGAAGGAAAAATTCAGCTGGAATAGGCCGGAATTGGAAGAAAAGGAAGATTAGCATAAAAGCTGTAGCCGTAATAATCGTAGTCTTGCATCCATTGCAACATCGTGTACCGATCACATTTCACAACGAGATTAAGACGTGCGTACAAAATCAAAAAAAAAGAACGAATGCGAAAAGAAAAGGAAAAAAAAAAAAAAAAAAAAAAACAAAAATTGATACAGTTTTGTTTAGTTAAGACTTTCATCGATCTCAAATTCTGATTAAAATAGAGAAATAAACATTTGTATCGTCGTACTAGCTTATAAGCGATTTAACATTTCGCGCGTCGAAGAATCTACGATTATACCGTTGTATGAACGTTTAATCTCCGGGACGAAAAGAACGACGAAGGTTAAGTGTAAATCGTGTTAACGTTCACGGGTCGTTTTAGTTACGCTGTACGAAATCGCTACTGCTGAAATTAGTGTACGAAAATACTAGTTGATCAAGAAATAAAACCATCGTTTGATCGACACTGGTCATTCGTAGATCCTTATATCTAACTTATATACATTGGTAGCATGCACACGTAATGCGCACGCACTTGTATTATATAATATGTTAACCTTTCGAGTGAATTTAAACAATATATTACAGAATTTTTTGATAAGATTATGTACACGTAGCAGGGGGGGGGGGGGAGGGGGGAGGCTCGACGAGCATTCAAGAACGTTCATTTCCGTCGCTTTGGTATGTACAAGTGATCTGTGTGTGTGTCGGAACGCTATCGGAGCATCGAGGGCGAGAAACGTGACTGTTCTTTGCGTATCGGTAACAATAAACGCAAAACACCGAGGTTCCCCGTATATATATATATATATATATATATGTAGAGTACGTAAACTCGATCGATGCACGAGTGCGATAAAAGAATATTTTCCTTCTCAATCGTTCCGATTGAAAAATAGGTTGTCAACGAATATGCTTGAACTCGGTCACAACTTTCGAACCCGGACGTGCGCCGCGTCTAGAATACAAATGTCGACGATCGGCTCTGCAAGCCATCCGTGTAACGCGCGTGTGCAATGGTATATCAATCATCCGCGGAAGAATACTCTCCCATCTCGTCCGGAGAAAGCTAGTCGACCGAATCCGAAGGGCCCTGGCCCCAGCGCGACTTAACTCTTGGCGTTTTGTTCGTGGCGGAAGCGGCGGTGCATTCGTCGACCTTTCGTTTGATGCTCAATACGATACCGCTCTTTGGAACGAACTTGGAACGGGACATCGTCTTTGACGCGCTGCTTTCCACGCTCGGGGGCGTGGACGGGAACGGGGGGAAGTCCTCGTCTTCGAGGCCAGGGGGTTTCGGCTGTTCGGGGGCTAGGTTTCGTTTAAACGTTTCCGGGAATGGGTTCTTGTACGAGGTACCCTCGTAGGGTGAGTCTGTCGCCGTGGCTAAACCTGAGAGATTCGTGGACATCGGTATTATCGTAGGAGGGGGGGTCCCTACTATCGTTGGAAGAGCTGTGGTCGCGGATAAGGCTGGCTGAATCGGTTTCTCGGTCACTGGGGTCCCCGACGCCGCTGCAGCCGACGCGGCCGCTACGGCCGCCAGTTCCTCTTCCGCTTTTCTGATCAAGTCCAGGTCGCTCAACGAGCTCAACGTACTCTTACTTTCCTTCTCCTTCGACAGCGACTCTCGATGATTCGTCGCGTCGAGCGACGACTTCTCGCTACCGGACTTCCCCGAGCCGCTAACTGAAAGTTTTACGGGAGACGGTGAAGAGTACTTTTCCGAATTCTGGTAAATCGAAGAGTTGACGGTAGTCAAGAACGTGGCACTAGGCTTTGATGGTAAATACGGGTCTACTTTCGAACTCTCCTGTCGCTTCACATTCGCCAGAATCTCTTGCAAGTTCGCTGGTATCGTGATATTTGATACTTTGTCGAGGATCGGCTGCGTAAATTTCGAAATACCAGAGGAAGGCGGCGGCGGCGTGAACGATCTCGTGTCCGATGGGCTGTAGGCTTCCTCGTCGTTTTCGTCGCCGGTGGGTGGGTCCAGCCCTAAGCCCTGAAATAAACAAAAAAACAAAAATAATCACGGGATCCTCTTACAAACGTTAAGACACAAAATATGCTTTGTTTCTGTTCCCCTTCTCTTTCCCTTTAGGTATAATTATACATGCATATATACATGTGCACACCTCCATTATTCATTAGAGACAACGATAACTACGAGTTTGACTTTTTTTGATTCTAATAAAAAATTTCCAAAACATCCCTTCTCCCACCCTTCCACGTTACTATTCCCCTGTTTTGGTTGTACCGTATTCGACCCAGCGATTCGATTCGTTCGAAGAAAAAGAGAATCCTCAAGAACGAGAAGGAACGGAGCTACCGACAGATTCCTACTGTGCGTTAAACTCACGACGAGGATCAGTATTTTTTCGGTTTTTTCATTCCCGCGAAATAAATACGATCGTGTGTAAATTCCGCGTTAGGTGCACGATGTTCACCTTTCCGCTACGACACGCAGAGTTTCGAAGTTACAAAATGGCGCGGTCGACTCGAATCGAACCGAAAATTTGTAATTTTACCGTAATTTTAACGCAAGAAGTAAGAATCCGAGCAGCCCGAGGATAGGAACAGGATACCATGGGTGAATTGAAATCAATTTTATTTACAATAGGACAATAGGAAAAACAATAACAATCGATTTTGTCAAAAATAAATCTTGTTAAAATTCTCACCGGCAAAGTAGGCGTTGATTCGGCGAGAAACGACGAGCTAATGTTTTGTATTTGTTGCTTCTGTTCTTCGATTTGTCTGTTGAGCTCTTCCATCTTCCGCTGAAGGTCGTTGGAATTTTTACTGGAAGAAATAATACCGTTATCGATCGACGAGCCGTCGATTCCCATCGACATCGACATGGACATCGACGGTATCGCCGTGGCCGTCGAACAAGTGGAGGAAGAGGTACGTAGATCGAAATCGATCTGTTCTTCGTCCATCTGACCGGGGCTGTACGGTTCGTCGCCGTCGTCGTCGAGGGTCGTCTTATCGGGCGAGGAAGTGAGGTCGATCTTCGAAGACAGTTCCGGAACGATTTTGCATATGGCCGCGGTGTCGAGCAGCGTACTCCTCGACATCCCTATGTGCGCTCTGTTCAAGCTGTCGAGGGTCGTTTGCGTGACTGGAAGCTTCTCTTTCATGGAGTCGGCCGTGGCTTTGAGATAGGCGTTCGTGGTCATCGGCGGTGCGGGCGAAGAAGACGAAGACGACGACGACGAGGACGGTAAAGATGTCGCGATCGTTGGCGTCGCTGCGGACGTGATCGTAGCCGTGATCATTGTCGTCACGTTGGCGGTACTGGATTTATCCTTCGCAGCCGCGACCAGAGGTGGCGTGTAGCTCCGATCGCTGTCTTTTTTCGCCAGTTTCATCGGTATACTAGACGAGGGCACGCCAGCGAATCGTTTTCTTTTGTTACGTACGATTATACCCAATAACAGGTGGGGTCTGTGCTCCTCGAAACCAGGCCCGTTCAGAGGCAACAGTACCGAAGGTATCGTGCTCTGATTCGAGAAAGGCATTATGTAAAAATCCTTGATATTCTTCGAAACGTTTCCAACGACACCGAGACGACTTCTGCTGTTCAGATAACTGTACAGGGTTATGTACGGGATCTTCTCTTCGTCGTTCGCCGCCGTCAGACGAATCACCAGGATCTCCTTCGAACCCGTTTTCTTCATCTTCGAGATGTAGTCCCAAACGGTCTCGTGACTTATCCTACCGACAACGTCCACCGTGTCCGGCAGATCGTCCATCAGATCCTTCGCGTGGCCGCTGACCTCCTGCGCTGTAATGAAAAATTTCGCGACGTCCACCATGTTGACGAACCCCCTCCAAACCGTTTGCCACGCTCCTTTCGGCATGTCCCTCTCGACAGTGACCGGTTCTTGTTCCCTTTCCCTCTCCACCTCTTCGTTGATGTCCGGCGTCTTGATCGTCACCGTCGAAGTGGGCTCCCTGTCCGACACGTCCGAGTCGTTACCATCGATGGTGTTCGTAGTGGCCTCGTCCTCGATGTGCCGCCAGAGTCGATCCTCGATCGACTTCTCCGACGACGCCCCGGCCGATCCTGTCGGTTCCTCTTTCTTATCGTACTCGTCGCTTTTGTCGATGTCCTTCAATTCCCCATAAACGAACAAACCGCTACGATTCCTCGAATTGTTGTCGCTGTTTCTGTGCCGTTCCCGTTCCCTGTCCTTTTGCTTCCCCTTCTCTTTATTGCCCCTTTCCCGTACTTTCGATTTCTCCCGTTCCCGTTCCCTCTCCCTCTCGCGTTCTTTCCCCTTCTCGCGATCCCTCTCCCTCTCGCGTTTCCCCTCCTTGTCCCGAGTCTTCCGTTCTCTGCTCTTCTCTCTGGTCTTGCTGCGTTCCCTGTCGTCCCTACCGTGCTTGTGTCTGCTTCTGCTGATACTCCTCTCCCGTCTACCCTTCGAACGACTCTCTTTCTCCCTTCCTCTCTCCTTCTCCTTGCCACCTTTCTCCTTTTCCCGACCCCTGTCCTTCTCTTTGTCCTTTCTCCTCTTATCGTCAAAGTTCCTCAGCTTTTTCGCGTCCTCCGTCGCTCTGAAGCTCCTGTCCTCGTCGTTCATTCTTTCCAACTCTTTCTCCATGTCGTCCACGGTCGAGGTTATGCTGTCGGCGCTGTTCAAAGCGGTCACGATGTCTTGCACGGGAGTCTTGGGATCCACGCGCTCTATACTGCCGTCGTTCTCGATAATCTGCTCGCCCTTGTGAGTCTTCACGACGATAGACTTCGCCTGCGCCATCAGATCCAACTCGTTCTTCTTGATCATCTCCAACTGGTGCTTCGTTTCCTTTTCCCGCCACTCGGCCAACTCCTGGCTCGCCATTTCGTCGGGGCTTAGTCTCACCACGGCGTCGGGCGTCAACGATCTGTCGGCTATTTTCCGGAACAGGGTCAAGTTCTTCGTGTCCTTTATGTTGAACACGAGACTTCTGTACTTGGCTTTGTACTTGGCGCCGGTATCTTTGAAATATTTGTACAACTCCAACTCGATGTTGAAGGCCAGCTCGGCGATCTCCTCGTCGGTCAGCTTCAAGTCGTCGGTCTCTTTTATGCGACTCGCTAACAGTTCCGTCAACGTTTTTCGTATGTTCACCCTTATTGGTTCGTTCTCAGGTTTCCTCGTCGGACTCGGTTTCACTTGTAGCTTAGATTGCACGACTGGTTGTTTCACCTCTTGTTTCTTCACGTTCGGTGATTGCTTCGGCAACGGTACCGCCGTTTGTTGCTTCAATTGCACTTGATTGGTCGATTTCGGTGTCGCCACCTTCAAGATCAGTGGACCTTTTTCCCCCTGAGCTATCATCGTCTGTTTCATCTGTATCGTCTTCGTGTGCAGCGGTTGAGCTTGTTGTTGTTGTTGTTGCTGCTGTTGCGGCTGTTGTGGCTGCTGCCCGCTGCTAGAGATTATCGTATACTTCTTGTTCCCTGCCGTTAAAATCATTTGCTTCGAACCCGGCACTTTTGTGTACGTCATCTTTGGAACATTTTGCCCCTTTCCGGCCGACAGTATCGTAGTTTTTCCCGTTTTGTTCGATACTTGCGTATGAATGGTAGAAAGTGTTTTTCCTGGTTGCAACGCGTTAAGGTTGTTCGTGCCAAACACCTCGAACGTAGGATTCTCTTTTAACCACATACGTAAGTTCGCTCTCGTCGGTGCGTCCGTACCAGTCAACACTTTTCCGGTTGTCGTTTCGAACACTATCACTCTAGCCTCGGACTTCGGTTTGACGGCAGCGGCGTCGAACAGCGACGACTTCGTTGCTTTCGGGCTTGGCGCAGACACCGGCAACGGTTTATCTTTGGTCAAAGTTTCTTGGGCGTGTGCTAGTATACAGGCATCGGAGCAGTATATGCTGGAGTTCCTTGCTTCTTTTTTACAAACGACACATTGCATGCCGCTGGAATATTGAACACCGCCATAATCGGAAGCAGAAGAGATCAGAGACGATGCTTGATGCTGAGGCGGGGAACTGAGAGTTTTCAGAACGATAGAGTTGTCGTGTGCAGCGTCCGATTGAATCCGTTGCTTCCCGGTCGTACTCTGCACGTTCGCCTTGTTCTTTACCTCCTCGTCTTTTTTCTTCAAACAATTTGGACAAACCCATTCTATTCCTTTTTCTTCCATTTGTTGACCTAATCGAAGCAAACAAATGTTAATATGTACTTTGTGCCGTATACGTTTGAGATTTTCCGAACTTACCCATTGCTTTGCTAACGTGTACGCATTTTCCATGGAACCAATCCTCGCAAACGTCGCAACATATCATGAAACGATTGTTGTGCGGACGTTTGCATATACACCAAAGCCTATCAGGATCATCCTCGGAGTCCGAATTATCATCCTCCTCATCCTCCTCCTCCTCTTCGTCTTCGTCCGCTCCATCGTGCTTTTGCACGTCTTCGTCATCCTCCTCCGCGTCGTGCCTCTTATCTAACATCATTCCCTCGTGTTCATTTTCCTCATTATGGATTACATTCATACGACTGTCATGCTTGGCGGATTGCGACGATCTCTGCTGTACTGTTTGCACACTATAATATCAAGTATAATTATTTTAAGTGTTTCACGAGCTACATAATGTACGTTTAAACGACGCTCACCTGAACTTCTCCATTCGTTTCACCGTGTTAAATGTCTTTTGTGCAGGCTCGACCTTTGCTTGTAACCTTTTACTTCTAGTAGCTGGGGCCTCGATAGGGGGTAATGTGATTACTCGTCCACCGCGAATTATCTGAATAGGTTCCTTCTCATCCTTCGAAGACTTCTTTATCGGTTCTCTGGCTACACTTGCGCCTGTTGTTGTCACAGCAGCTGTCGGGCTCGTCATTGTCGTCGTCGTGATTGCTGTCGTGGCAGCATCCACCGATTTAGTGACTTCCGGTTCAGACGTGAGCAGAGACGGAACGAGCGTGTTACTTGGTGGCAACGATTCGGACGTAGTTCCTCCTTGTTCAACAAGCGCAGTCTATGGTATTACAAAAATAGAGAAATTAATATCAAACAAAGAAATACAATATTGGTATCGTGCAATTTAATACAAAAAAAAAAATTTGTAATACATGGTCGGCTAAATCGACTCCGAGTTCCTCTTGTAACAACAGTGCTTCTGCGAGTAATTCTTCTTCGTGCTTGCTAGCTTCCATTTCCAACGTAGCTAGCAACTGTTCCTCGCCTTCTATGCCACCTAAGAAAAATTTAGAATCAATTTATAGAAATCGTGACTTGAAATCTAGATCTAGAAATATAAAAAAATGCTATCAAGTACGAGGAATTCGCTTTAAAATTCACCTGATTCTAAAGTAGACTGTAATTCTTCTGGTACATTAGCTTTTATAACCGGCTTAGATTCTTCTTCGTTGGATTGTACCAACGAATCACTAGTTTCCTTCTTTTCAGTGGTTGCTTGAGATTCTGAATACGTAGGTACATTAATACCTTTCAAGGCAATAACTTTCTCCGTACATGAGAATGCTAAACTAACCTGAACGACTCGACGATGCGGAGGAGGACGACGACGAGGATGACGAAGACGAAGACGACGACGATTGTGCTACCGGTGTCGTGGAAATCGGCGATGTCACTGTATTTTCTTGTATTTTCGAATCACCGTTTGAACCGACACGGCGAATAATATCTGGGGTCGAGAATAACGCGGGTCCTAAACTGTCCACTATACACGCGGGCGATTTGCGGGTCTCTTTCTTTGGATGCCTTTTTGAACCTGAAAAGAAATCTTTAATCGGAAATATCCAACTGCGCGAGTATCACAAACTATGTTTGCATCTACCAACCGTCCAGAATCTTGTTTTCCGTCGCCTTTCCAGGATCCACTTCGGTTTTCGTGACTACGTCTAACCCGTCGGATTTTCTCTTTTCTTTCTTTACGTCGCAAGGTTTCATTTTCGACGTAGTGACGGGCGAGATCACTTTCACCGACTGTTGCTGCGGCTGTGGCTGTTGCAACGGCGATGTTTGATTCTGAACCACGGCGGGAGATACTTGCGTCGGAGATACTTGCGGCGCTGCGCTCTTGACCTGAGTGACCGGTACGTTGGAGGTTATGGCTTTGGCGGTTATCGGTACTTGAACCAGTTTGCCGTCTTTGGTCGCGTAGAACTTGGTTCCAGCTTGACTTAAAAATTTCCCTTTCGGAAGCATCACTTGCTTCTTCAAGCCAATGTTTTTTATGTCATTCGGCTTCATTAGCACCTGCTTTTGCACGAACGTAACTTTTTGATTGCTCTTCCCCTGTCCAGGCTTCGTAAGGATCATATCGCCTTTGATCATGTTGGCATTGATCAAATTCGCTTTCACTTGATTCGTTGTTTGTAGCGGTTTTTCGAACGCAACCGGTGTGTCCTCGTTTATTACCGCGGATGATTCGACGCGTGGCGATTCTTCTTTCCTCCTTCCGATAGTAGACCTGAAGTGTCTTTTACCTCTTACAAGATTGAATCCTCCTAAACGAAGGGGAAAGAAAACATATAAACATAACAATAATCTCGCTGAACCCAGCAATTGCACAACTTTCTTACCCGATTTGTCATCTTTTTCTGGACTCTTCATAGCGTTCACAGCTGCGGCCATTTCCATGTCCAGTCGACGAACTTGCTCCATGTCCATTTGTTTACCTCTCCTACGAGTAGCCGCCATACTGCCTCCTCTGGTAGTAAGACCTTTTCTGCCACCTCTGGCTCTGACGCCACCTCTTCTAGGGCCTCGCGGTCCAAAGTCTGAATCGTTGTCCGACGGCGGTTCCGATTCGGACGATTCGGTAGACGACGACGACGGGCCTTCTTCATCCTCGTCGTTGGACCTACCTTGGTCTGATAAAAGAAAGATTTACTCGATATTATGCTGCTGCTTCTTCCGCAAGTCGTACGCAGTAACACGGTTGGCAAAAATACAAAATAATTACGTTTTCCAATTCCTTGGTGTAACGCTCCACCTAAATTCCTCGATGCCGGATGCCCAACAGACTTAGGTGTAGTCATTATATTGATGGACGATCTCGAATTATTAGACACAGCTACGGAACCTGGTGTGATATTCTTCCGCGGACGACCTACTGGTTTACTCTGAAATAAACAACATACAGATCGAACATCTTCTACTTCCGAATCGTATGCCTAATTCGTAAAGCCTACTTACAGTTTTTGTGATAACCTTCGCCTTTGGTGTAGCTATGCTCTCTGGTTCGGTACTAGGTGACGTCGTGTTGGACGTTCCATGAACAGGCGAATGTTGACGCGTAAATTGCGGTGTTTCAACGGATGTAGGTGAATCGGTAGTAGGTAAGGGGTCCTTCGGCTTTGGATCGGCGGGCGACGATCTGCTCGTATAGCAATGATCCAATTCAACACTGTACCTTATACAGTTCTGTTGTTCCTCCACTGTTAACATATCTACAAAATATGATTGTCAAGTCACAGTGCAAACCGTTAGTGTTTTAAGCATTTTGAGAGTCACATCGCGTTATGATTCGTTATAAAAACACGTGGCACGATTAGAGTTAAAGAAACATAAGGATAACTGTACCAAGCATCGCTGTAACATTTTCTCCCAGAATTTGTTTCGCTTCCTCGCTCTGTAAGGCAGTCTCCAATCTTTCCAACTGTTCCGGATCCATCTCCATAAAAGGATCGACGAAGCTGGTAGCGTCCGTGGCTGTGGTCCCAGTATTTATCGGAGCAGGTGTAAAAGGCGGAGGGTCGACGGTCAGCGTTATGTCTCCGTTTTCTGCATCTGCCTCAGCTTGCCCTACTCTAACAACGCTGACATTTGCGTTAGATTGATTCACTGAAAATCAATGCGATCAACTAATACATCATGTATTGTAAAGTTTGATCGAGCAACAAACTAAACTTACTGATTAAACTCTGCAAGGTTTCTTGGTCGACGGATATGGTACCATCATCGTTAACAACAATAATTAATGTATCGTCCTTCTTTTCCGATCCGCTGTCCTGCGGCTCGATAACATAGGAGCTAGACATTTCTTTTAACCTAGAGAAACAGTTATAACGTTTCCTTTTTAACAGAACCGTCCTGTCAGGAATAATGATCTTAGCATACCCGTGTCCCGAGTCGAACGTGTCCAGAAGAAAGAAAGGTTATGAATGCCCTTTCTAGGGAAAACCGACGTTCTAATGGGCATCGAGTGTACCGGAATGGATAGGCAAAAGTTCCGATTAATTAGGCACGCTCCTCGCTAGATGGAAATTAAATTTTGCTGCTACGTGGTACAATCCAGATCGAACATCGACACAAGTAATACACTACGAGTCTTTAACATTCCTTGAAAAATCCACAAAAAATTGGAAACGAACGAAACGATAAAGCACGGGGACGTGTTACATCGTGCATCATGCACATTTGACGCGATATTACCTATTATACGGGCGCACGATCACGGAAACTTAAAAGATCACAAACGTCACGCGGTCCATTAAAATCGTGTGATTAAATTGATATTAATCGACGGTATGAAAGTTAAATACACAACACCTCTTGTACCACACTTCGCGAGAAACATAACGTTCACGGTCAAGTAAACAGTACCGCCAAGAAGACGATAGTCGCCATTTTGTTTGAGTCAGCCAAGTAACGTTTCCCGAAAATTTTCGCTCACCCGTCGTTGTTTTCGCCGTTACAAAGTTATTCGTGCGGGGGATTGTTTTTATATAACTTCTTCCGCGAAATCTTCATGAGAACAACGTATCTCGCGGAAAAGTTGAACTTTTTTCAGCGATACATCGTGTTACGAATGCACTTGTGCCTTTGTGCACACACTGAGACGCTGCGCGCTTCTCGTTGCGCAACAGTAAGAAGAGCAAGGCGGTAGCGCTGCAACGCGCTAAACGCAACGCGTCGAGTCGCAAACCGGCAGTAAGCGATTCCCACAAATCATTCGTAATTTGTCTACGGTTTCTCGCCCATTAACGTCGTAATCGACTCGTTTATTTATTTTTCGATATCTTTCGACAAACATTTTCATTAATATCACCTATTCGATTTCGTGTTTCTACTTCTTAAATGTTATTTTTTTACACGCTACTTCGGTTACCACCTACATTTTTCCTTTGCATCGAACCTCTTCTGTTTTAGGTTCAATGAAACATCACAAAGATTTAATTAACGTATTAGTATTATAAAAACGACCGTAGAGAACTTTTTTCTTGCGTTTTGAAACATATTTGTTGAACGATTAACAACAAAATTATTTTGTATGTTTCTCTCCTTACGCATTTGATGAATCGCATGCGGGATACGTGTATATATATACAATTTATAATCATGATATGTTGTATATTAAACACAAAACACGCATGTAGCAAAGTTAAAAACAAAATACATACGTACATGAAGAGGCAGTGAGACGTGCATGTGTGCGTAAAAACTGCCGCGTGTATATTGCGTCATGCGAGTCGTTCCCATGAAAACGAGCATAGATGTAGTATGCGCTCGGTAGAACGAATACGAATGTTTTGAAAGCAAAAACGTATGCGTTTCAATCTCGAAAAGAATGCGAAGTGGTTCGTAAAAGTTTCTGACAAATGGAAAGTATTGAGAGCGAAGAAATCGTACAAGGCGAAAATGCTACGGAAACGAAAAAACGGAAGAGAGGAATTATATATTTATCTAGCATACCCAAGTACATGAATATTGCGAAAATTCGTGAAATACTTTCGGAGTATGGGGAAATTGGAAGAGTATACTTACAGTTAGCAGAGAACGGTTAGTCATCGTATGCATATGAATCGTCGGTAGAGATTACTATCTGTAGTACACATAACCCTTATTCGCTTGTAGTATTAGGAACTCGCTTGCTAGTACTTTCAGTTACAATTACAATTGTTTATGAATCATTGTATGTTTTATTATATTATTTACAGAATTTGAGAAAGACGGAAAGCCAAAGAAACGAAGAAAAGTTTGCGCAAAATCCTTCACCGAAGGCTGGATCGAATTTGAAAGTAAGAGGGTAGCAAAGTACGTCGCTTTGACATTGAATAACAAGCAAATTTCGACTAGGAAGAAAAGTAAATTCTACGATGTTATTTGGAATATAAAGTATCTGCCAAGGTAACAAATGGTAATTGGATTCTATATCTTCCGAGTCGCAACATGAAATTAAATGTATTTTTTTACTAGATTCAAATGGACCCACTTGAGCGAACGTTTAGCGTACGAGCGAGCAGTACATAAACAAAGGCTTAGAGCCGAAATTGCACAAGCTAAACGAGAAGCAAACTTCTTCTCTCACAATGTGGATAGGAGTAAAAAGCTACGTAAGAAGCAACAAGATGGAACTAGTACGTTCGTACCACCTACGATAAAACAAAGAGATACAGATGCTGAGATCAGAAGCAGGAAAGAGAATGAATCCGAAACGGACAGGACAAGTTTCTTGAAGTCTTTATTTGGATGAAACTATTTATCCGAATAGAAATGAACGTGAAACGGAACTTGTGGCAAAATGGACAAGCTTTATTCTAAGTAACAAGTGTAACAGCACCTGTAAATTAGCATTTACGTTTCTCATAGAAACAATACCGATATTAACGCTATGTTTTAATACGAATAGAATAAAATACACTGTGCTTCCAGGAAATCATGTTTCTGAAATCTCTATGTTTCTTCGCCGTTTCAAAAGTTCATTGTTATCTACTCGCCTTATCTGCTCGCAATTACGAATGAACAGATTAGAGTAGATACTTGAAATATATATGTCACATATGCGAAGAAAGAAAAGGACGGAGGTTCCACGTTGCTTCAATATTTACGTCGTGCTGCGTTAGCCTTTCGAGCGTTTTAGGATCTGAAAATCAAGCGGAAATGCTCGCTGTTATTAACGGAGAAGCGGTAACTTTCACAAGTTATAAAGTAAAAGGATACAGAGAGCATAAGGGGTCTTCCCAATTTTCAAGCCTTAAATTTAAGTAATGTTTGTAATTCTTACTAGGTTCGACGTTATCGTTAATTAAAAACGTCTAGATTTGTTCGATTCGAAGAATTGACGCGCACATATTTACCAGCGGTTCGTAAATAGTTGTTCAATGGCTCCTTCAAAACGGTAATAGGTATCGCCATGCACAGCCGCGGATACAAGGTGGAACCGTTCGAGGAAACGGTGGTGCAGACGATCATCCCCAGCATCTCGAAGGTAGCTCGTCGCACGATGGGCCCGCCGCTAGCCCCGCTTTGGGCGCAACAGTTCGCTTGGAGCATGAAATCCGATGCATTCGACACCACCCCGTTGCTGACGGTGGCTCTGCCTCTCGAAGAGAATGGAAATCCGATCGAGAGTATTTGCTCGCCTGTGGATAAATCGTCCGTGTAACGAGGAAGATCGTAACGCGTTGAAATGTACGATACGTTCGATCCAAGAGAGACGTATCTTTCCACGCGTCGAACGGAATCCCGTTGGCACGCCTAGTAGTTTTCTACCTAATTTGTAGTCGTTGACAATGGATGCTCATTAGAGTCGATTGAAAGGCGAGCGAAGGAACGCCGAAGGGGCAGCGAGAAAGAGGACGGGGATAGGCGGTGGTGGAGACCGCCGCGACATTCGTACGACATTCACCGGTGACGAAACGTCGATTCCACCCCCGATGATCAATTGGCCCAATTTAGACCTAGTTATTTTTCCACCGATGAAAGAAGGTCAGTGCTGTCACTTGCAACGCCAGGCGCCGCGGTGTCGCCGTGTCCGCGTCGATCTCCCTATATTCTTAATTCTTATTGTCATTACCGTTAACCAGCCGGAATAACCTCCAGCGGTGTAGGTGCGTTACAAAGGAGGACCACGGAGCCTCGATATAACCGGACGGATAACTGTTAATATGAACGACTGCGTCGATACCGGAATACCGTGTCGTTTTATCATCTTGTATTGCAAGCGTTTCGACGAAGATAATGGACGACGCTCGACAGCCACCCCTGGCCTTACTTCTTCGGCTTTTACCGCGTCGTCGTGTAATGGCTCTATCGATTTAACGCGGAGATGCACGACATACGGGCTCGTAAACTGCATGACTTTAGTGTGACGAATGCGGGGTCGCTGGACACTCGTTGACTTTAGAACGATACCCCACAGGAATGAGTTATTGTTACAAAACCGTTATCTTACCCTTATTCGCAGGCCCACTGGCCAAGTTGATGGCCTTCAACGGGGGCTGTTTGCTCCTCGAGTCGATCCTCAACACGGCGATATCGTAAGGCCTGTTGTCTGGCGTTTTGTAGACCAACTTCGCCCGTGCAAACCACTCGGATTTACCTTTTCCTGACTTGATGTATGTCGCAAGCTCGATCGTTCGCTCTTGCTCCTGACGATGAGTGAAAAAGTGAATGTACTAGCTATTCATAAGCACTGCTCCCTTCGATACTCGCAGAGAACTGATTATAATGATATAAATATTAACTAATATCAATGAGCGATAGTTACATGTATAATTCCTGTTAAGTTTTACGTACGAAACTATGTACATTCGTACGTCCACATGTTCGACAGGTTGTACCGAGCAAAGAGTATCGTACACATTTATCTCGTACCAAATGATTCATTTGGTAATGAAGACTAATACGTGGACTGAATGCTATGCACAAGCTTTGCCTTCATGGCTACTGTTTATCCCCACTCCCGAAACATAAACAATGTTTATCTCGGCAACGAAACGAAACCGATAGTGCACATGACCTTAATACAAAGAGTAAACCGAGTGACCATCGTTATCCATGGATCCATTATATCAGGTACTTAAAAAACCCCATTATGCGAGGGTCGAAGCCTTGAAGAGGGTACGACTTACAGATACAGGGTGTTTGTCAACCCCTGGGAAAAATTTTAATAGGAAATTCTAGAGGCCAGAGTGAGACGAAAATCAAGAATATCAATTTCTTAACTGAGACTTATAAAGTTATTAAAAAATTAAAATAAAAATTTCAAATTGCTCTGGAAAAATTATTTTCTGTTGCGGGGGTCAATTACAATCATTTTTGGTGTTTAGGCATATCCCCGAATTCCTACGCGTTTTCGAGAAAAAAATTCGAGAAGGTGTGAAATTTTTCGACGAAATTGAAAAGTTTCAAATCGTTTTGGAAAAATTATTTTTAGTTGCGGGGATCGATTACAATCATTTTTGGTGAATAGACATACCCCCAAAATCTTACGCATTTTCAAGAAAAAAATTCGAGAATGTGTGAAATTTTTCGACGAAAAAAAAAAATTTCAAATCGTTCTGGAAAAATTATTTTCTGTTGCAGGGGTCAATTACAATCATTTTTGGTGAATAGACATAGCCCCGAATTCCTACGCGTTTTCGAGAAAAAAATTCAGAAAGGTGGACAAATTTTTCGACGAAATTGAAAAGTTTCAAATCGCTTTGGAAAAATTATTTTCTGTCTCGGGGGTCAATTAGAATCATTTTTGATGAATAGACATATCCCCGAAATCCTGCGCTTTTTCGAGAAAAAAATTCAGAAAGATGTGGAAGTTTTCGACGGAAAAAAAAAATATCAAATCGTTTTTGAAAAATTATTTTCTATTGCGTGGGTGAATTGCAATCATTTTTGGTCAATAGACATAGCCCCGAATTTCTACGCGTTTTCGAGAACAAAATTCGAGAAGGTGTGAAATTTTTCGACGAAAAAAAAAAATTTCAAATCGTTTTGGAAAAATTATTTTCTGTTGCGGGGTTCAATTACAATCATTTTTGGTAAATAGACATACCCTCGAAATCTTACGCATTTTCGAGAAAAAAATTCAGTATTGGTGGAACTTTAAACGTTAATAACTTTTTAACAAAGCCTCCATCAACAAATTGGTATTCTTGATTTTCGTCCTATTTTGGCCTGTATAGTTATTTACCTGTACAAACTTATACTTCTGAAAGTTTCTAGAGCGTAATGTAAAATAGAAAATAAATTTTCTCAATATTTAATAATTTCTTGAAGGATCCGCCCTTGCGAGTAGCGAACATTACGGATGGCGATTTAAAAAGTAAAAATACGTACTTTGGAGACGACGTGAGCACAAGTTATGAAAGTTCCTGTCCGTTCGTCGACGAGGATGCCTGTGCCCCAATTTGGTCCGCACCTCACTATCACGACGCTTCTTTCAAGGGTATCTAACAGACGGATCAATGATTTTCTGTAATGCGACGGTTGGCTCGCGGTGAACGGAAATCGCGAAACACGTGAATCGAATGGAAACACGGAAAGGTGGCTTACATACCGATTTCGCCGTTGCGATTATTCCGCCGGGTGAAAGGGAGAACCGCAGAGGCCAAACATCGAGATTCATCTCGTATGACTCGGCTCTGAACGATCTGCTTCAACGACGGTAGCAAATTCACTGCGAAAGTATAGTCGACCCATTCTCCACGGCACCAGCTCAACGACGCGATTACCATGCCGCAGATACTTTTACGGCCGCTTTGTGGAATATGTTGCAAGGCCGGTCGGGACCGCGAAACGGAAACACAATTAATAGGTGTACCGGATGAATAAAAAATGGTAAAGAAAGTCTGGCCAGAAAAAGAACGATCTCGATCGCGTTAACACGTTGACCGCCAGTCTAAAATCCTAAAATTCTTTGCAAGACCAAAACTTCGATCTTAGTCAATTCTAAACTGCACAACTTAAAAGTTGTCCTAGTAGTTACTCTCGTAACCTCATTAAAATTTATATTCTTTAAAGTTTCAACTTGAGAATTAATTGTTTTAGTTCCACTGTTAAAAGTTCTGTCGCCCATATGTGGGTGACGTGGCAGTCAAAGTGTTAATACAGAACACCATCAGAGATAATCAGGGGTAAAGTTCTTATTTAGATGTTAACGTTTAAGGTAATCGTCTAGATCAGGGAAGAATGTCCCTTTAGGCTTGGTCTTTACTCACGTTCTCAAGAACCACCATTTTGAACTTCCCCTTTTTTAGAATAATTGGAGAAAAGTTTACCGGTTGTTGACCAGGTACACAGGACCACCCTCGCATCCTGGGAAGACAGTCGCGTCCATCAGGATGAGGCATTCCTCGACTCCCAGTAAATTCCCAACGATTCCACGGCTGACAGTGTCGGCGAAGAAAGCGTTCCCAAAAGGCGTGGAAACGATCTCGACGGTGGATCCTTTAACAGGCCTGCGGACAGTCGTTTCTTTCGCGAACGCGTGCAAGGTTTCGTCGATCCTCCTTTTCACCTCCAATTCCCTGTCTTCTTCGCCCTCGAGGAACTCGGATACCAGTCCCTGTTCGCACTCGATCAGCAGGAAGATCGGTAGCAAGAGACGATCGAACCTGTGCTCGTCTTGAAACCTCCAACTTTCGAACGAGTCCTCCAACGTGTCCTTCAAAAGTGGACATTTCCAAACGGCTGATAGTTTTCCCGACACGGTTGGTGAACCGCTACGATGGATCAGGAAGGTCAAATCGTCGATGGACTCCAACGTTCGAAGCGTCGTTAGTTCCCCTGGATCTAGGGTGGCCACAAAGTCGTGGAGGTTGCTGGATCGTTGCAAAATGGAGGCCAATATGGAGCCGTGGGCGAGAACCCAGGTTTTTGCAATCGAGATACCAGAGTAGCCTTGCGAAAACAGCGTCGGAGTCTCCGTGGAGGATGAGAACGTTATGAAAACGCTTCTAGGCACATGCATGATGCTCTACTTTTTGATCTCAAGATTTATTCTAAAAAAAAAAGAAAAATAGGAGGTAATCGTGAGTCATCGTTTAACTTAAACACAGTGTTAGAGTTGAGAACCCAGAGATTCTTCCTGTTTTTTAAGGTTTCCCTAGGAATCTCCAGGCGAAGGAGGAAGCGTTAAATAATTAATATTTATAACAGGGATAGTAATTGCTTCCTTGTACCCTTCCCGAGCGAGCCATTGTTGTCTCATGACTTCACGTACATACTCTTATGCGTCTAACTGTTCTTGATAGAGAGATCGAACTAATCAGCGAACACACACGTTTGTAAAATTGTAAAAAAAAAAAGGAAATAATCAAGGAACGAACGGACATCGTGACAATGACTATGTGGGCAGTCGCTGAATGTACCCTGACGCGTGTATTGTGTCGCCAGGCTAACGAGCGATCCATTATCTCTGGGGCAAGGGGAGAAAATAGGATCGTCTTATCGAGAAGTCATTTCTGGTAACCGCGGCATCTCCGCAAACGATACGAGAAAGGAGTCAAGGAGAATTATCTAATGAAAAACGGCAGATGAAAAGAAACAAATTAGATCAACCTCGGGGAACAGAGTCGAGACAATGGTAACAAATGAAATCCAACAATTACAGCGACTCCAAATATACAGGGTCATAACTCCGTTATTATTGCATTTACGAAAAAATGCCAAAGGAGAAAGATAAATGGTTCGAAGAGCACTACATCTGTAGGCCTTTGAATTTTTTTTCGATGCAGCGGTGCATGTGCCATTAACAATTGCATCGTTTCTTTAAATAGAAATGCATATTTTTTTTTATATAGATCGATTCTTTGGTTAATTCTACATAAAAAATGATTAGGGTACCATGGCGAAAAAATTATTAGATCTCGAGATATTTTCAAAAAATGTCTTTATCGAAGAAGATGCTCAAATGCTTCTCCATTATATTCTAAACATTTCTAAATATCTCTAAAAATTATCTGCAGTTATTCTCAGATTCTCTACGGAATCTATGGGATTTGAATAAATTCTATCTTTCAAATAATCCCACAGAAAAATCAGGTGAACGGGCTGGCCAACGTATTGATGTATTTGTTGCGATAACGTTATTGCAAAACTTAGTTTTTAGAAAGTTTCTGTTATGATAACAATATCGAAAGGGTGTTTACCTTTGCAACATGGTCATGAAGTGTTTGAGTATCTTCTTCAATGAAGACATTTTTTGAAAATATCTCGAGATCTAATAATTTTTCGACCATGGTACCCTAATCATTTTTTACGCAGAACGAACAAAAGAATCGATCTGCATAAAAAAAAATATGCATTTCTATTTAAAGAAATTATGCAATTGTTAATTGCACATGCACTGTTGCATCGAAAAAAAATTTAAAGGCCTACGGATGTAGTGCTCTTCGAACCATTTATCTTTCTCCTTTGGCATTTTTTCCGGAAATGCAATATTAACGGAGTTATGACTTGTACCAATTGCGTGGACCGCCCTGTAGATCTTCTATAGAGTTTCTTGTATCTTCCTTTTCTAATTTAAAATAAATTCGATAAGAAACTTCTGCGTTACTTAGTTTCATCGAGCAAACATTCTGGAATTAATTTCAACGAGCGTTTGAAAATCACTGTGAAGTAAAGTGCAATGATTGTTTTCAGTGACCGATTCGAGGAGTATCGCTTATCGGACGTTGAAAAGCTGAACGAGTCCGTGGCGGAGCAGGTAGCGGCGAGAAAAGTGGATTGAAAAAGCGATATCGAGGAGAAGATGGAAAGAAGAAGGGAAGGAAGTTAAAGAGGAGAAAGGAAAGGCGAATATGTTCAAGTTAGACGCCTAGACAGCGTGGCAGCAGCGCCGGTATTGAAATAAAAGGAGAGTAGATTCGCATTTGCACGTGCATGCAAGCAGCACGGGAGCAATATCTGCTCGCTAATGCTTCCTTTTCGTCGGTACGGCGTACTTAACATTTACAGATATTCGTGACAACGGTCGACGATATCTGTTTCGATCTTTCTTTCGTTCCAGATCGTTTTGGAACGATTCTGTAATAATTAGACTGTGGATCTTTATGCAAATTCACATTTTTATTAATAGAATTAATGAAACGGAAGCTTCGCGGGCTGTCTCAACCCCTAAATATAATAATATAATATTTTATATAATTAATTAATTATTTATAATTAATTATAATATATATTTTTGCATATTAAATGCATTCTGTAGTTCTTTGAGGATTAAAATTTCCCATAAATGCATAAATATAATAATTCGTATCTTACTTTAAGTATTTCTTATATTTCTGCATATTAAATGCATTCTGTAGTTCTTTGAGGATTAAAATTTCCCATAAATGCATAAATATAATAATTCGTATCTTTAAGTATTTCTTATATTTTTGCATATTAAATGCAATTCTGAAGTTGTTTGAGGATTATAATTTCCCATAAATGCATAAACATACGCAGTCTGGTAATAATAAAATACCAACAGCTTTGTTATCGAGTCCGAAGTAACGGAGCTCGAAGACGTGGCGCCATTTTGTTTTTGCGAGATAACAGGCACGCCAAAGAGTTTCTCCAGGGACAATTAAATAACCAAAATTTTAACTTGCAGGTGCCGTTACTTTATCTCGACTGCTCCTTCTATTCATCCTTGAGGAGAAAAAGTACCACGCGGCGAGTAATTTGCAACGGGGATACGCAACGTTGAGCATCGTTGAATTATAATTGAGTCCCGATAGAGTCGTCGTAGCTCGGAGCAGCGCGTTGACTATCGGTACGAGTCAATTACCGCGGAGTACGTGGCTAACTGGTCGTGGAAAGTGCATATTACGACAGAACAGTGACTTTCAAAGCGTTTCGAAGAATGTTACACGCGCAGCGGCGGAAAACTCGCGGTATTCCTGCACGGCGGGCGTGTCGAATTCGTTTTGGTCATTGCCATTTACGCCACGAGCGCCAGACGTACAATCATTTCGGAACAGCAACGAATATTCCAACGCTGCGTCTAACGAGAGTGTCTTATATCGATAGAATTAATTTTGGGCGCCTTTGTTGATGAAATATTTTTTGCTACCCCTGGTAGGTGAGCCCCTAAGGTCTTGGACCCTTTTTTAATCATTCTGTATACAGTGAGAAATGTGTAATTTTGTCTAAAAATATTTTGCTTGGCTATTTTCAGGCACGTCCTCGGTTTGATCACAGGGGAAGTTTCGATCGTCTAATCAAGCCCCCGGGTTGGGCGTGAACGTTGATTGGGTCTTGTGTTCATCGATCGGTTATTTTATTTTTAACGCGTCGGCGGAGCTGGGTCAGTTTCGAAGATTATTATCGTGTTATTATTAAAAGTCTTAATTACATGCTTAATATACAAGGTGTATCGTTTTGGAATCGACGATCAGGGGTGTAAAAACAATGGAGAAAGTTGTGGTAATTTTTGTATCCCGAGGATTCTTAAGAGCTATTGGAATCGGTATAATTGATTCTATTAAACTGTTTATAAACAATGTTCGATGACTCCGTGTTCCTCTCAATGGAAGACTAACAGGCCAATCTTATGCCAACTGCTTGAGTAATCAATTGCATGAATTATTGAAAGATGTTCCATTAGATGTTGTACGTTGCATGGGATTTATGCACGATGATGCATCGTCCTATTTCAGCCAAGTAGCCAGACAGTGTTCCAACAGATGGATAGTTCCTGCGTGACCTATTGTCTGGCCTCCTCGTTCCCCGGATTTAAATCTGCTTGATTTTTATTTTTACTATACTCATCAAAGAAGGTCAATACATTAAAAATATTTGAAACACGGAGACCTTTCTGACACGAATTCTACAGGTTCGTAATTAGGCCGAATGGCGGCCATTTTTAGCACTTGTTGCAAAGGTGAGCAACTGCGTATTACTGGATTATAAAAATAGTTACAACTTGGGTACACTTTCTAGTTCTATTGCAGGTACACTAGCACGGAAAACATTGTTGCTTTGTTAGTAGATGAAGACTTATTCAACCCTAATCTAAATGTGACTGTGGATCATATACGTTGGACTAAAAAATAGTTGTCCCTTTACTAGTAGCGCTGCTAGCGGAGAAGCGACGAAATACAACTACTATACCCTGCTCAGGGTATTTCCACCCTTTTTAATTATTTAATCTCATCGTGTAACGGGTCCTTGAATTCGTCTCAGCAGCCATCGTGAGATGTAACAAAATTATGCCTTATTCTTCGCATTAGGAGAAAGCTCTGTCTCAAATAAAAATTTCTAAAACATTATAAAGAGTCTAATTTTATTGCAAAAGCATTTAAAAAATTATTTTTAACTCAACACTACTTTGCGGCGGAAACGTATGTATTCTGGAGTCGTCATATTATACAGGGTGTTCGGCCAACCCTGGAAAAAATTTTGATAGGAGATTCTAGAGGCCAAAATAAGACGAAAATTAATAATATCAGTTTCTTGACTGAGGCCTCGTTAAAAAGTTATTAACAATTAAATTAAAAAATTTCAAACCGTTCTGGAAAAATTATTTTTGGTCGCGGGGGTCAATTACAATCATTTTTAGTGAAGAGACGTACCTGCGAAATCCTACGCATTTTCGAGAAAAAAATTCGTGAAGATATGATATTTTTCGACGGAAAAAGAAAATTTCAAATCGTTCTAAAAAAATTATCATAGATTACAGGGGTCGATTACAATCATTTTTGGTCATTATACATAAACCCGAAATCCTACGCACTTTCGAGAAAAAAATTCGAGAAGATATGAAATTTTTCGACGGAAAAAGAAAATTTCAAATCGTTCTAAAAAAATTATCATAGGTTACAGGGGTCGATTACAATCATTTTTGGTCATTATACATAAACCCGAAATCCAACGCATTTTCGAGAAAAAAATTCGAGAAGGTGTGAAATTTCTCGACAGGAAAAAGAAAATTTCAAATCGTTCTAAAAAAATTGTCATAGGTTGCAGAGGTCGATTACAATCATTTTTGGTTATTATACATAAACCCGAAATC